TAGGCATCGTAACCGATCGTAAAGGATGTCAAGAACCAAAATCCGCCAACGTTGATTCTTTACTGCGGCTGAAATATTCATTTTTAGAGCGTTAGTGAATTAAAAAAAAGCAGTATAAAAACCGGAATGTCCTGATAAGGCTGAAAATTTTTTCACTTGTTACTTACAGTAAGATAAATACATTCACTAACTTTTATTAAAATAAAACCATTTAAACTGGGTGTTCGGATTTATATGTCACTTAGTATATATTGGCCACCCTGTATTATACGCAGCTCAAATCAATTACCGGATCACTTTTTGATCACATTTTTAATTGTAAGCCTTCCTACGCCTTAGCAGTAATCTTATTTGAAAGTAATACGAGTATTTGTGCATCGGTTTAGATATAACAGGCATGACCTGTATTGAGTAACCTCGAACATCTTTGAAGCCTTTACCTCAAAATGTTTCTGTCACTTTTTTAAAACCATACTGTTTTAAATGTTACACTACTACCCTTGAATGTTAAAAGAAATTAGCAATATTCATATTTTCATTCGATGAGTAAATATCAACTTTTTTAGTTCGATATCATCAATTCATATGGTGTTACGTATAACATTAAATTATGAAAATCAGGAACAGGGATTCTTTACCTATGCCCACTTCATAAGAACTGCATGGCCGATGGTATTATAATTACAATTCAGCATTGTCAATGTATAAAATATACATTTTTGACAGAAAAACAATAAAGGCGGTAGTTGAGGATAAGAGGTGAAACATCAAATTCAAATTATGCCATCTTGTAGAGAAGTGTCAATGTTAATGAGCAATTTGTTTCGAAATATTACCTCAACTAAGATAAAGAGACAAACACGATTACGGGAAAGTTCAGTATTTTTGTCTATTCAGTCGCCTAAATGCGCAAATTTGTCTCCGTTTAAGCGACTTCGTGTCTCTTGCCGTTTTCGAGATACCAATGAGGAGAGTTGAATTTAAAATTTCAACGTTTTTCACCAGCTGATTAATCTGTAGCAAATGGGTAAATTTCTGTAACAATTTATGAAATATTCTTAAGAATTTAGTTAGTTCCTCATGTCTGAACATATTACAGGCAACCTATTGTGAAATTCGCCAAATGATGACCTACGTGAAAGAAGCTCACGGTAGCGTCTTCAGAAAAGTTGCTTTGAGCGCTCTCATCGACACCGCGGACAGACCGTCAAAAAAAGAACCAGCCACACAGACCACCAGAGTAATTAGGTATTTTGAGATCCCAGATATACAGGGTGACTTCGGAGTTGAGTCATTAATCTTCAGATAATGATTGTAGAAGGAAGATAAACCAAAATATGTGTGTAAAAATAAAAAAAAAATTAAAAAAAATGTTACCTTGTTTTATAAAGTATCCTCCCGACAAGTATTTCAGTGCGGACCTGTATTTGATCGTGCGGTCTTGGAGCACTGGCATGCCGTCCCCTGTGAGGTCTTAAGTCACCTGATTCACGAGCCCTTTGTACTACATTAACAAAGGCACGAGGGTTGGTTGCACTCGATTGGGAAACCGATCCGCATAAATCCGTGATACCGCGTAAATAAGAATCATGTCCACAAGTTCAGCATTTTCGTAAACATGTGCCATTTTTGATTTCGTTTGAGCCACGCAACAGACACCACTATTCACTCACGCGTTACCGACTGACACTGACTGTATACAACTGAATAAAATAATTGTAAAAACATCGTTCCAAATTTTTTAGCTTTTTTGTTTCCGATGCGATAAACCGATAAGGCGGATTATATCCGTTGTTGCCAAACACGAGCACATAATATTATTATTGAGACAGGGCGGTACTCAAACTTCCAAAGGGCTATAACTTTGTTACTTTAATTTTACCAGAAAAATGGTAAAGGAAAAAACATTTCTTTTGATCAGATCTACTCACTGTTAAAATAAATGACTCAACTTCGAAGTCACCCTGTATATTAATATTGGTAATATTCTTTAAGTTTTTGCATTTCTGCTTCGCTCATATTTTTACTACAAACAGATTTAAGGTCTCTGAAACAGTAATTGAGTGTAAAATTGGAAAATTGTATGACCGATCATTATCCTGTTTTGTTCAATTTTGGGTATTTGAAAGGAAGTAATTGTATCATTAATAAAAACAGCTATGAATTTAAGAAAATTGATGAGAAAAAGTTCACAGATTATTTGCAAGTGGTGACTTGGGGCAGTGTTTTTTCAGAGAGTGATGTCCAAAAAGCAACTGCTAACTTCGATAATGAATTATATAAAGGCATAGATCATTCAACGTATTATTTAAAAATAAATAGTAAGACTAGAAAACGCAAGCCGTGGACGACTGACGGTATTCTTACTTCGATCAAGAAGAGGGATGAGTTGAAACAGAGTTTGACGAAAGACAATGATAATTTGATATTGAGACAGTCCTATATCTCCTACAGAAACAAAGTAACTAATCTTATTAAGATCTCTAAAAATCAATATTATACACAAAAACTCATTTTAGCTGGTAATAACTATACTAAGAGCTGGGATGTTATTAATGAGGTAACTAATGCTGGTAAAATAAAAAAAACTGACGTAAAATCAATTAATCACAATAATCAGCAGCTGGACGCTCCCACTGATATAGCCTGTGTTTTTAATAAATATTTTGTTGATATAGGTGAGCAAATAACAAGTCAGATTGATCAATACTCAATTCTTGATACATCAGATCCTCATGTCGTCAACATTGTTCACTCTATGTTTCTAATTCCAGTGGATAACATAGAGTTACAACAAATAGTTTGTAATCTGAAAATAATAGCGCACCCGGAAAAGATGGCTTACACACTAAAACTATCAAGATGATCATGAAGTATATCAGTCACCCTATAACTCACATTATCAACCTCTGTTTCAAATCCTCAGTAATTCCTCGCCAATTTAAAGAAAGCATAGTGACACCAATATTTAAATCTGGAAGTAAAGACAATATGTTCAATTATAGACCTATTTCAGTTATCAATGTATTTGGGAAGATTTTTGAGAAGTGTTTAAATAACAGACTTTGTTCTTTTCTTGAAAAATATGACATAATATCGAACTGTCAATTTGGGTTCCGCAAAAATTGCAATACAGAGCAATCTCTACAAGAACTTACAGGACAAGTGCTTGACAATTTTCAAGATGGAAATAAGACTGTTGCAGTTTTCCTAGATCTTCAAAAGGCTTTCGATTCAGTATCTCATACAATTTTATTAAAGAAACTAGAAAGTGTTGGAGTGCGTAGCGGAGTTCTGAACTTATTTGAGAACTATTTGGCTGATCGATTACAACAAGTTAAGGTAGGGTCAGATTTAAGCAACATTCAAAAGATCAAAATAGGTGTGCCTCAGGGGACGGTTTTGGGACCAACACTGTTCCTCATATACATAAATGAACTACTTCGATGTAATTTCAACTGTAAAATGATATCATATGCAGACGATACTGTTTTAGTTTGCACTGGTCATTCATGGGATGACCCAATACGGAATAAAGTCAAATGCTGGTTAAATAACAATTTACTTAAACTTAATATCTCTAAAACTAAGTATGTAACGTTTTCTCCAACCAAAGCAGGCATGCCATTACACCACCGAACATTAATTATAAATGATAGTGCTGACACTGTCGAAAGAGTTGAAGTTATTAGATACTTAGGAATCATTGTTAACAGTAATTTAAAATGGCAGAGTCATGCCGAGCTTTTGGCATCGAAATTAAGGAGAATTATTCATAAGTTTTTCATTCTTAGGAATATTTTAAGCAGAAAGAGTCTTCTCTCAATATATAACTCGTTTGTGGGGTCTCTACTAACTTACGGGATAAGTATCTGGGGAGCCGCATACACTAGTACTTTAAAAATACTACAAACCACGCAAAATTATATTGTCAGGACTATTTTTCGTATCCCATGTAGGTCAAGTTGCAGATTTGTTTAGATTGAAAATGATCTTTTGAATGTTAGAGGTTTATATATTTTTGCTGCTCTAAAATTTGTTCACTCCCGAAACAATGTTCCAACCAGCCACGCTTATGAAACAAGAACTAAAATAAATATAAGTTACACCTATACCAGAGTGAATAAATCTGTTTGCCAAAAATGCATAAAGTTTGATTGTATTAGGTTGTATAATAAATTACCGCTAGAATATAAAATCCTCTCGAAGTATAGTTTCAAAAAAAGAATTAAGAAGTTCATCTTAAATAACTTTGACATGCTTGCATCGACGGTAGCTTGACTCAACTCAGTAATATCGTTTCTATCTCATGCTTTTTTTATTTCTTTTTTTTTATATACAGTTGCTCATAATACACCTTATAACCATTAGCCATGCATTGAATTTGTATATTGTATGACACACACAAGCTTATAGCTTAGATGTCTATTCTTTTGTAGTAAATTCTTTTATAGTAAATTGTAGTACTCTTGTTTCTCTGCTTAACCTTTACGCAAAATTTTTATTTTTTAAACCAACATAGTTTGACCTTACTCGAAATATCCCTATATTATCATATTTCAGATATTCATATTTTATGTACTCTATACTTATACTTCTGAGTGTTTTTAGTATGCTTCTGTACTATTGTTATGAATTTTAGATTTGTCTATGCAGACACGTAATTTAGGATTTGTGACGACAAGATTCAGACATTTACCCTTTACGAAAGTATACAGAATTTTCACAATTCATATACCGTTACTTGCTGGTCCTAGATCTGATGCTAGTATCTTTGCTCAGATTTCTGTTGCAATCTTGGTTATTCAGGGTAGCAAGACTATACAAGCTCATGTATTTTTGAAGCTCTTTTCAATTAAATTGTACTGAAGGTTGAAATAATATAAGTTACTCAATAAAATAAAAAATTTAAACGTGGTTGCACACATCTACAAATACCGACTGTGATAAGCGCAGCTGGATAGTACGAATAGTTTTGAAACGTTTGATATTTTAGGCACATGCATCCATCGGAAATTGAAGATATACCGGACGCACCAACGGACAGCCAGTCTTTCAGCGTAGACGACAAAGGCATCAGAAAGCAACTGTTCAAGAAACGAAGCACCTCTTCAACATGTGCTGTATGTCAAATTACCTACAAATACTTATGTAAAATAACTACTACGTCGCTAGTAAAACCTTAAAATATTGGGAGTAAGAATTAAAGGAGAAAACCCAAGAAATTATCTGTAATCTGTGGGTAATTTGCCTTTGTACTATTGTTCAAACTGAGTATGTAAATATATACAGGGTGGCGAAACAGACGCATTTAGTGGCAGCTAAGTTTTTTTAAATTCTCATACCCGTCGATTTTGTTTTCGAGGGGGACACAAGTTTGGGGGTCGAGTGATACCTTATTTTAAAGGTCTTTCAATTCCCTTTATAATGATATAAAATTAATGTACTTCAGTTCAGTAGTTTTGAAGATTTATTGATTTAAAGCTTAAATAAAACTAATACATCATCACTAGTGGAGATCGATACATTTAGCAGCAAAGTAATTTAAAAATGAAGAATGAACTGACCCGTTAGGCAAGTAAATGTTGAAAATGGCCACCATGCAATGATAAGGATTTTGATCAAAACGTTGCCGCACATTTTGCAATATTTGAGGAGTAATTTGAAGGCACTCATTCACAATTCTTTGTCGCAGGTTTTCTAATGATGTTGGCTGAATAGCATAGATGTTGCTTTTTAAATGACCCCACATAAAGAAATCCAAAGGTGATAAATCTGCTGATCTTGGTGGCCTTTTAATGGCACCTCTTCTACCAGTCCATTGATCTGGAAACGTCTGATCTAAATATTGTCGAACACGTAATGCGTAATGTGGTGGGGCACCATCCTGTTGGAACATCAACCTATTCGCAATGTATCGCCGATCATTCTGATTTTCAATTATGGCTGTTAATGCAGGATCTATAGCGTCTTCCAGTAATTCCAAATACATTTCACCGATGAAATTTCCAGGTAAGAAAAAAGGACCAACTAAATACTATGTAATGCTGTGTATGAACCTCATGATAAATTCTGGGATTAGAATCGGACCAATATCGGCAGTTATAACGATTTACTACGCCATTTAAGAAAAAGGAACATTCGTCAGAAAAGCAAGTGTTGAATAGAAAATGTTCATCGTTTATAATTCGTTCACTCATATCTTCACAATCGCCTATCAAAATGGTCTTCATTAAGTTCTTGTACCAGGTGAATTTTATACGGTTGAAAACTATGGGCCGTTGGACAGTACATTGACTAACACCACACACAGTCTCCAATTTGCGGGTACTTAACGTAGGATCTACATAAACTTGCCCTAAAACTCCCACTTCTATTGCTTCGTTCCTTATGGGATTTTCAATGTTGCGTTTCTTATTGTCGACTGACTAAGTTTCCCGAAATTTAGCTACAAGTTCTAGAACATAATTTCAATGCACAATACTGTTCTCATTTCGATAATTTCAACTCTTTCTGCTGTGGAATATACTATGGTTAATTTATGTAATAAAGTTATTTTAGCAACAGCGTATGGTCAAATCAATCGCAAACTATGTACTAAATTCCTATTCAAAATAAGTACGTGATATTTCCTTATCTTTCTTCAAGAAATAACTTTTTTGCCACAAAAACAACAAAATGATAAACAAACCATGGTCGTAGTGAAAAAAAGCATTTACTTATTAAGTAAATTCTTTTAGTCAAATTTCTTCTGAAAGTAGTAAAAACTAATCTGATGTATCTATTAAAGTCTACTTTAAGCTTTAAATCAATAAATCTTCAAAACTACTGAACTGAAGCTCATGTATTTTACATCATTATAAAGGGAATTGAAAGACCTTTAAAATAAAGTGTTAACGTGATTTTTTGCCAAAGTTTTGTCCCTCTCGAAAACAAAATCGACGGGTCTGAGCGTTTTTCCAAAAAAAACTGAGCTGCCAGTAAATGCGTCAGTTTCGTTTTCGATGCGCCACCCTGTATTTCAATGAGTAAAAGAATAATAATTTCCAAAAGAAACTTTTCCATATATTCCTTGTGTGGTCTAGGGATATGCAATTAAGTGAACTTTTTTATCGAAAACTAAGCAAGATACGAAAAAATACAAAAGATAAAAAAGTTGTATTTCAATTTGCTTAATCCAAAAAAACATAAATGAAAATTGCACAAAAGTCAGTAGCGTTTCTGGTCACAAATATTCGTTCAGATCCCGCTCGAGGCGCCACTGGACTTATAAATTCAATTAAGTCAAATTATCTCATCAATGTTACAAATACCACCGCCAAATTACAAGAAAATTATGTTAAGAATATTTAATGCATTTACTACAAACTTTTTTTTTTTAATTTCAAAACCCTATGTTTTGTCTCAAACTTACACAAAGAATCGTCTGATAAATTTACGCTACATACTACCCTGTATACTCTATACTTCTTTAGAGTCTCCTTGAAACAGAAGCAGAAGAATTACTGAGAACCAGTCAAAGTCCTTTAGGGAATTTGAGAAAAAAACACCATGTTTTGACGCCGAGGCACAGCGAAAGAGCTTTGGGAATCGCAATGGATCCATCAGTCTGCATGAAGTCAAAAAGATCCAAATTCGGAGGAATAGGTAAAATTTGTGCCTAATTAGAGAACTCCCTATATAATTGTAATGGTGCTTAATCTGGCAACCTATAACTATGATATAATAGTTGCTAGAATTACAGGATACTCTTCTTGATACATTATTACTTTTGATTGCGATTCTAGTCAACTGGTTCAAAAAGGGAGACAGTTCATCTACAGATGATCAAGAAATGCGAGATAATGGGGAATCCGTCACCGACACAGCCAGTTTTGTGAGAAAGCCTTCGGTATACTATCAAAAACCAAGCAAAAGGTAGCTATAAAGTGTTTGATGATATTTTACAGCCCTGACTTTATCAATTTTCAGCAATGTTATAAAGAAGGCCAAACGGAGGATGGAGGGAAAGTTCAAATTTGTCTTGAAGAAAGGGAAAAAGAAAGATGGTGGTTCGGAGGACTCCGGAGCTGGCCGTAAGTAAATCAAACTTTAATATTTTCAGTGGCTTGCTATCGAGACGTCACATATCAAAAACATCATACAAAAAAGGCCAATAACAGTTTGTTTTGAAATATAAAACATTATTCGTTCAGCATAATTTATTTTCCAACTTTGATCTTAAATGCATTTTAGATTTCAGCAGGAAAAACTCCTTCGACCAGGGAGAGACTTCCAGGGAATCAGAATTTGTTGTGCTCAAAGAAAGGAAGCTTGTATCTACAACGCTTGTACATGAGGGAGTAGCGAGGCTGTCATTTCTGCTAGAAACTTGTCCACCTGGATCGGTGCCAGACGCGCATCTTTTAGCATCAACGTTGGATCTGGTAAGCAGGTGTACTTCAAAAAAATACATATATAATCCTTTTCTTATAAATCATATATTGTTCTAGCCTCACTCGACAGTGGTAGCTAGAGCCGCATTATTGCTGGAATGCGCGTCCTTCGTCCACAGCTGCAATAAAGGGCAATGGCCATCCTGGATGAAATTGTCATTTCCGGTGTTCAGGCCATCAGGGCCCCTCCCGCATAGGGGGAATAATCCAGGCATAAGGAGATCACACATTTTACAGAGTACGGCGGGAAAGATGTTTCACCAGTGGGCCGAGGTTGGTAATATACTCTGTATCATACAAGTATATCATATTAAACATTCTGAAATACCAGCTGCTGAGCAATGAGGAATGAGAACAGCGTACAATACTGTGGGAGCATTATTAGACTTCGTAACAGGCTTGGGTTATAAATATTTAGTCCTCTTAAATTGTAGCAAGGTATTTATTTGACTTTATACTTCGAAGTTGAGTCATTTATTTTAACAGTGAGTAGATCTGATCAAAAGAAATATTTTTTTCCTCTAACATTTTTGTGGTAAAATTAAAGTAACAAAGTTATAGCCCTTTAGAAGTTTGAGTACCGCCCTGTCTCAATAATAATATTATGTGCTCGTGTTTGGCGACAACGGATATACTCCGCCTTATCGGTTCATCGCATCGGAAACAAAAAAGCGAAAGAATTTGAAACGCTGATCACGATGTTTTTATTCAGTCTGTGTCAGTCGGTAACGCGTGAGTGAATAGTGGTGTTTATATCTTTCAAGCGCAAGCAGGCTTTCGAAAAAAATATTCCACAGAAACGGCTTTCCAGTTGGTAACTGAGAATTGGAGAAGAGCCATAGACTCAGAAGAAGTTGTCATAGCAGTATTTTTGGTTTTGAAGAGGGCATTTGAAACGATTGATAGAGATATTTTGTTAGGTAAATTGAAGGTATATGGTATAACAGGAAGTGTTTTAGATTGGTTTACAAATTATTTGTCTAAAAGGATGCAAGTTACAAAAGTTAATGACACTATTTCATCAAAAATTGAAAATACGTTGGGTGTTCCACAGGGTAGTATCCTGGAACCACTTCTTTTTATTTTATACATAAATGATTTACCTGCCATAGTCAAAAAATGCAAAATTCAGATTTTCTCAGATGACACTATGATTTATATAAGTACTAAAAATATTCAGACTGGTATCTCTTATATAAATGAAGACTTGAAACTTGTCTCAAAATGGTTAGCATCTAACAGACTAAGATTAAATACAAGTAAAACGAAAGCCTTGTTAATCGAAAAAAAACAATGTACAAATGTTCAACTGAATATTGATGGTGAAGATATTGAATTCGTAGAAAATTTTAAATACCTGGGGGTTTTTGTTGACTCTCGATTAATTTTTGATATTCATTATGAAAAGTTATAAATAAGATTAGTAGTAAAGTGAGATATTTATCGAGAGTTTCTGGATGTCTGAGTTCATATAGCAGAAAAATTATCTATAATACTATCATTCTTCCAAATTTCTTGTACCGTTCGACTATTCTATATTTCGCAAATAATTCCATTTTTGAAAGACTGCAAATTTTACAAAATAAGTGCATGAGAATAATACTGAATAAAGATAAATATACTCCAATTAGGCAAATGCTTAGCAAATTAAAATGGCTCAATGTAAAATTTTGATCAAATATCTTGTAATGATATTCATTTATAAAGTAAAAAATAATATATTTCCATCAAGTCTAACTAATTTAACATCATCAAATGTCGACCATCATTTACATAATAGCAGAAATAAAGATGACTTCCATTTAATGACCAAAAAGTATAACTTATGCTACAAATCTGTATTCCATCAAGGGTTGATTGAATATAATGAATTATACTCAGAGATAAAAGACCAAAAAACTTTGACAAAATGTAAAGTAAAATTGAGAAATCACTTGTTAAATCTACAATTATAGGTTGCCCAGCATTTACATCATACACCATATGACTTGAAATTACCAGTTCTAAGTTGTTTACAATTATTCTGTTTATGTAGCCAAATGTGCTAAATACATCTTTTCTTTTACTACTACTTATGTTCGCTAAATTTAAGTACTATTGCTCTTCTTACTATTCAGTTAGTATACTCAAAAATGTTACCACTTAGCCCGACTCATATTTATTTTAGACTATCGGTCAGCGTCTAGAAGAAATGATGAAGGAAGACAAAAATCTTCAGCCGGCAATTACAGAAATCGTGTCTGATGAACAGAAGCAGAAAGAGCTACTGATCCAAGACGAAGAAGAAGATTTCTTAGATGAAGGTATGTATGAATAATGTCCATTCAGTACCATTTATCCGATTGTATTGTTATAATAATATAATCGAATCTTATTTTATAAAATTCTTTGATAATACTAAACGTTGATTGAGGAAAATTGTTCCTGTTACCAAGGACATATCGATAATAATAAGATTCTAAATTGTTCACTTTGTTTAATTGCTTATTTCAACCTACAGAAAAGAAAATATGATAAATGATATCTGCATTGATTTCCACGATATTTAAAATTTGTCCCTCCTGCTCTACAGTAACCTGTCTTTCACGAGTGAGAATATCAGTGGGCTGAACACTTCCTGTATCTCGAAGTCTTTGGAACTCTTGCACAAATGTCTTTCTGTTGCGATAAATTTGAGCTGCGAGATTTGAATTCTGACGAGCTCCACCGTAAACTAACAACATGTCGGCGAACTCTTGATTCGAGAACATTGTAAATAAACACGGCGACGTACGCGAACAATAACTAACCATTGTTACCGTTTGCGATCGATTGCCGGTTCGATAAGAGTGATGAATGACCGACGCGCTGTTGTCATGTGTGTTTTAAATATTTAATTTAATGAAACTTACTGACTACAAATTTTGGCTTAACTTAGAAAAACTGCCATTTATTTATTAATTAGGTACCCAATTTAAAAACGTTTTAGATTAGATTATAAAAATTAGTAAGATTGTGGTGATTGTGGTTGATATAAGTTGTAAACTGCAAAGCCATTTACTTAGCATTAATGCTAAAATGTCAATTTTGTATAATTATTCCTGTACACATTTTTTTTTTAGACACGAGCTGCCTATAGAATTAAGATTTACCAGAATCGATGACTAGCGACAGATTATTACTTGTCTGAGGATATTACTAGTTGAATTCAATGTTCGATCTCGTCTTGTATTTTTCTTTTGTGTTCACAGCTAGTATTGAAACATACGGATCGTCATGTCCCATGCCGCTAAGGATCGTCGCTTGTGTGTTGCTACACGAAATCACAGCATTTCTCAGGGAGACCTACCAGACTCTACCCAAATCGTCGAGGATTGTCAGCAAGGACAGACCTCCTCCATGGGAGAAATTGTATAGCAAGGAAGCGAACCGAAGGTGGAGCATGGCTCTGAGTTCTATGGGTCATTCTCAAACTTCGGCGCAAAGCTTGCAAAGCATTGCGGGCGGCGATCCCGGTAAGAATTAAATCAGTTAGTGGATGTTAGCTTGCTCAACGTATGATGAGTGTCGAAGAACACTCGTATCTAATCAGGGGAAAGATCAGCAGAGAGAATGAATTCTTACTTGTCTTTGGTGTACCTTCTGACCTAGGTTAATTTGAAGAAGTTTTACAGCTCATATGTTCTTCCTAGTTTAATTGAGATTGTAACTGAACACTGAACTCTAATGAATTTGTTAACAGGACAAGCTGAGAGAAAAATTAGTTTTGTATTACATGAACCAGACAACGAATCAGAGGGTAGCAGTAATACGACAGTCACAATGCAGGTAGGTATTTTCAATAATTAATAACATTTCTAGAGAACAATATACCGTTATGAACTTGACGTAGTGTAATGGTAGGCCTTTGCAAGTTTGAAAATAAAAAAATCTATATTCAGTCTTTACGTATATCCAGGGTGATCTATCAAAACATGCCAAATGTTTAACAACAAATATCTTAGGAACCATCAAACTGATTTTAATGAAATTCACCGGTTCATCCATTCCTTCAGTGTCGCATGGTCAGTCCGGATCAAGAATTTTCGCCCTTGACCACAGCCAACAGCTCTCATCTAGTGACTCAGAGTCACCCTGTAGTTACTGGTGATGTACTCCTATTGGGTCTGTACAACATGTATGAGTTTGTTGGTGGCACAATTCTTCGTTTGAGATCCGCGATTTTTTTTTAGTTTTGTATGTAAAAATTTGCTTAAAAGTTTTATTCGATAATAAGTAACATAAAGCAACCCTCAGGACCTGAACATACCAGTTTTCTAGCATATCGGCGATTTGAGCTCACTACTGAACTGGTTGACTGTAACTCAATCATATTTGAATCTGAATCTGAAGATAAGTTCAGGGACGTCTGATCTTTGTGATAAATGTTCAAAGCTAGCTAACGCTCATACATATAATGCATAGCACACTGAACAACACACATGATTGGTGTTCTGTGGCTAACGAAGTTGTTGGCTACGTACAGTGTAAACTAGGCTACTGTTTCACAACGGGCAGTGTTATTTGACGTTTGTATGTTGCAACCATATGATTATTTTTTTTTCGTAATATTGCAATAGACCAATCAAGGAGAAGAGCCAAAACGAATGGCACATCAACCAAGACCTCATCTCCTTAGAAGAGGGACAGCCGCTCAAACCGGTGGATCTTTCAAAAGACGAAGCCTGAAATTGCGAAGAGGCACGAAAGAAGGAAAAGACATGGATATGGAGGGTACGCTTTCATCCTTTACTGTTATCTTCACCAAACATATACAGGGTGTTTCAGTTTATTGTTGCATAACTTTAAGATTCGATAGAACTTTTAAAATTAATGCATAAAGTCTATATAAACATGGGTCGAAAAATGCGTGGCTTCCGAAATACAGAGTGTTCAAATTTACTTTCTAAAATAGTGTTTTTTAAATATTTCGAACAATATTTGATGTATAACAGCATAGTTTTACTGTAGCCGCTAGAGGGCGCTCTCTACTGTACCTGTAGTGTATTAAAATGACCGAAAATTTTTTCTTAGTGCAATTTTTTGTTTTTTGAATCAAAACACTGATTCTTCGCACTTTTCAACATAAAAAAGCTCTCTTGTGAGTTTTCATGATAGTTAGCCGTTTTTGAGATATTTCGATTTTTAAGGTTCGATGCATTTTTAATTATTTATGGGAAAATCATATTTTTTTTTACATTTTAGATTTGGGCATTACAAGTAATTAAGATGATCGTTTAGATTGTGTTTTTAAATACAGCAATAATTCCTAACTCCAAATAAATACAAAAAAAACAATATTAATTTGTTTAATTTTCCAATATTATTTTTAACAAATTAAATTAATTATTTACAACTATAATGCTATTGGCTAGTTACGATAAACATACAAAATCTAAAGTAGTTGCTCGAAATGTAAACCCAATTGTTCAATACACAATTCACATCTACGATTCTGATTCTGTCTATTAGCATATCTCTTGTGGTTACGGGAGTCTGGTACACTTTTTGTTTTAGAAATCCCCCACAAAGAAATCTTATGGATTTAGGTCAGGGGATCGTGGAGGCCAGGAGACTGGTCCTCCACGGCCGATCCATCTTTCTGGATAATTTTCGTCCAGCCAGTTTCTAACTATTCTCGAATAATGAGCTGAACAACCATCAAGATGGAACCAGGCCAATCTTCTTAAATCTAACATAACATCATCCCACATATTTGCATGTTCAGCCTTTAAAAATTCCAAGAAGGTCGCAGCATTTAACCTTGCAGGCAAAGGTAGGGTCCATATAGTCGATTACGGTAAATACCAATCCACACGTTCACACTAAATTCATGCTGAAAATTTCTTTCCCGAACTGCATGCGGATTTTCATGCGACCAAATATGTTGATTATGAAAATTTACCACTCCACGTCTAGTGAATCATGACTCATCGGTCCATAAAACGTTACTTAAAAACTCCCTATTATTATCAGTTCTATCAAGAATCCACTGACAAAATGTGATTCTTCGTTCTCCGTCCCCTGGCTGTAGTCCTTGCACAGGTTGCAAATGGTAAGGACGTCTATGGTCATTTTTAAGAACACGGTGAACATGGCTTGCTGAAATTCCCAAGGCACCAGAAACACTTGTGGTCGGATCCCTATCAAACTCACGCAGAATCATACGGGTAAATCTGCGCTGACGAACATTTATGTTTTGATTCCTTTGGAGATTTCCAAAACCATTTTCAATTATTTGGCGATGCACTCTTAGAAATACTGAGCGAGTTGGATGTCGTCTCTTTGGAAATCTTCGTGCGTATTCTCTGGCTGCTTCTGCTGCGTTTCCATTTACAAAGCCATACACAAAATGAATATCCGCTAACTCTTGATTGGAGAATAAAAATGGCATTTTTATAAAACTTACAAAAAAAACAGGTAAAAGAAACTAAATTTCATGCATTCACAATTGCAAAAAAAACGTTTCAGGTTTCAACAGTCAACAAAACTAACTGTCAACTAATTGACGTTTAACCTTATTCTGCTTTCAATTTCAAAAATATTTGCAGGCAGAGCATAAATAATTAAAAATGCATCGAACCTTAAAAATCGAAATATCTCTGAAACGGCTAAGTATAACGAAAATTCACAAGAGAACTTTTATATGTTGAAAAGTGCGAAGAATCAGTTTTTTTATTCAAAAAGCAAAAAATTGCACTAAGACAAATTTTTCGGTCATTTTAATACAGTACAGTAGAGAGCGCCCTCTAGCGGCTACAGTAAAACTATGCCCATGGTTCGTTTTGTCGTACCAAAGAACCCTTGTATACCATCAAATATTGTTCGGAATATTTTAAAAAAACTATTTTAGAAAGTAAATTTAAAACTACCCTGTATTTCGGAAGCCACGCATTTTTCGACCCATGTTTATATAGACTTTATGCATTAATTTTAAAAGTTCTATCGAATCTCAAAGTTATGCAACAATAAACTGAAACACCCTGTAGATCATTTAATATTTTTTGGCGAATCGCAGTAAAACAACGGGAATTACTTTCAACATCAATCTTCCTCACACAAACATAAGCAAATATGTGCGGAGATTTGCTTGTGTAAGCTGACAATCATGAAAATTCTCTCGTCACCGTATGAGTCTTCCACATTCATGCTTGTCACTGCCAATATGACAACTTGCAATAGACCTATAAAATAATTGTTCGATACCTTTCAGCATTCAGAAACAGCTACGCTTCTGCAGGGAGAATTCCCGAGTCGGTCAAACGAACCGATTCGATCCAATCGAAGCGAAAGGTGAGCTCTTTATCGGACAGAAGTGACACATCAGAACCTGGCGGTGCAGGAGATGCGAGCGAAGAGGAGTCTACCGGAGTGCCAAGTGACGAGCAGCCTCCAGAGAGTCCAAGTGATAGCAATGACACGGACGACACGTCCAGAAACATGCCGTGGCTGAAGGTAAGCGAAGAGCTTTCAATGTCCCAAAATTTACCGCTCCACTGCCGAGGAAATATTGTGATTGAAAATATGTCACTTATTTCCGCCGGCCTATCTGCCTGCCTATATGTCGGTCTGTCAGTTTGTCTATCTACAAACAAGGACCATTTGGCCTCACAAAACATATGCAACCAATAATGCGTGTAGTTTAGTTGACTGATTCCTCCTTCGATGGACGTTCACAAAGATCCTAGTGAGCAAACGTGGAATGACTGTTTGCACCCTAAAAACTACCTAGTTTGCAAGATGACATCTTGTAGGTTCTTTTTGACGTTTTATAGGTTTTTTACATGATACCCATTCGTCTAACTGTTCTCTAATCCATGGACCGTCTTTAACCTGGAAAGCACAGCTCGGATTTTGATGAAAACTTCACACCAGGCTTTCGTTACGCTAGTGACGAATCCTTATTCTCACTAATACTCATTTTACTCTACGATCCTTATGTCGAAGGCCGATGATTTTCATAGTTGCCGAATAATAAACTTGCCAGGGCGTACGAAAGTTGACTCAGATATGATGTACATTCTAAGCATTCTTCCAGCTCAATAATTCTATTCTACAATACTTATGTCGACATAAAATACAGGGTGTACGCAAAGTTGGGGTTTTCCTTTTCAGAAACAACTACCTTTGAAATAACAAAGGTAATGTGTAGTGAAACGAGGACGACCAAGTAAAAAAAGTACTCACTCTCCAGTTGACGAGAAGGGCTAAGTACGTCGCTGCCCGAAATCATACCGCTCCAACAGAAAATGAAATCAGCTGAAGCGCTACCGAGCAGACGCAGAAACCACATTGATTGTCTTACTCTTAATGGCACATCTTTTAACAAGGAAGGCAAAATGTTGCGTAAAAAGTCTAGGTATTGCATCCCGTCCAATCGATTTGGGAGAATTGCTTATGTTTTCAAGATCTACACGTCGTGTAAAGGAAAACCCCAACTATGCGGACACCCTATATATATATATATACCTTGAGACGTGGTCATTGTCGTCTAGACCAGTTAGGTGAAAAATTAAAGCTTCCGCCTTTTGTTGGGTACTTCGACAAAATTTAAGCAAAGAGGACTCTTTATACTTTTTTAATTCTCTCTAGCTTTCAATGGACTTTGCCATCATCATCAGGAGAGTAGTATGTGAGGATGTTGCTAATTGTTGTTTACGTATAGGATGATTGCAATCATCAAGTGGCTTCACGATGTAATGCTTTAATGTTTTTAAATAATTTTTAATCTGTTTTTAACTTGTTCTTGTCATATTTTATATAATTTTGACCATTGTACCATCTATCCAGCTCTCACCATGTTACTGGACGTTTCCCTCATCCTATACGTAAACAACAATTAGCAACATCCTCACATACTACTGTAAGTTGAGTCAATTTAAATTAATTTTACACTATTGTTGCTACTGTTATCATTGTAATTGAAGCTCCTGATGATGATGGCAAAGTCCATTGAAAGCTAGAGAGAATTAAAAAAGTATAAAGAGTCCTCTTTGCTTAAATTTTGTCGAAGTACCCATCAAAAGGCGGAAGCTTTCATTTTTCACCTATATATTTATTTTTTTCAGGTAATGGTGGATGTATCAAATTCCCTCTACTACTACTGTCCGCATCAGAGCTTCTGTCATCCTTTTTGTTACCGCAGAGTGATGAGGGGTTGTGGGAGGCTCATCAAGGCTGTGCGTAAGGTGTACGGTGAACAATTTGGAATTGTAGAAGACCGATTAAGTATGGATTCTGTGGGGAAAAAAAAGAACAAGAAAGATAAGAATCAAAGTAGAAAGGTTTCGGATCAAACCAGTTCAACGGTTTCACCGATCAGGCGTAAAGACAGCGTTGGAAAGAAAGACAAGTGAGTGGTAGCATACTTTGTGGTAGTATGGATTGTGGTGAATGCTTAGTGTACATTAAAGCCAGGTGAATATATTGGGAAATTTATTTCAGCGATATCGTTGCAAGTTAGAAAAACACAAAATTAAGTTGTCTTTTTCAGGATTGATAAATCGTTTGATAGTTCGCAGCTAGGAAAAAACACTTCCAAGGAATCATCACGGGATGTTCTAGATTCGGAAAGTGGTGATGTTAAAGGCAAGATTAACGAAGAGAAAACCAAATGTGATCCTCCCCCAATTCTGAAATATATTCATGGATATGTAAGTGAAATGATACAAGAAATCCTATTTACTTTCAAATCATGGCATACCTCGTTGTTTTTCCTGACAAAATACTCAGCGAATAATCCAAATTAAAGTATATTTTAAAAAGTTCTATCATTATGGAAGACAATATACGGGGTATCCCATTTAAAAGTGCATCTTTGCCAAGTGAATCGTCTTGCGGAAATTAAAAAACAGCAGATACTTTCCTAAAACGCCAAAAATTTGTTTAACGTACTATTCGACCTGCATCTGTAATCATTTATTTATCCATTCATCCAAAGATGTTTCAACTTAGCTCACGATAAATAATGACGTGACGAGGTAATGTTTCTAGGTGAAAGACGCCTTTCATGCTCCACTAGCAACCCTCATTAAAGGTGCCGCGGTGTTGCCTGAAGACCAATTTCCGGAAATAATTCCCGTGGCCTGGCAACTACTTTTAGAGACGAATCAGGAGGTAGCAGCATGTGCCGCATCCATATTTATTTTAGCTGCGGTGAAGGCACCACAACAGGTGTCCGATATTATGCAACATGGGCTTTCCCATCCGGATTGTTCCGTGAGAATTAATGCTATTTTGAGGTAAGCGTATCCAAACACAATACTATATGATTTACCACAAGGCGTATAACTAGCAACACATGCTAGGTTTCGCCCGCCAATAGCAGAGCTGAAAAATGTGCTGACAAAAAACTCTATAATATTTATTTATAATATATAGGTTCCAAGTTCTTTGGAAGATGAGATACCAAGCGTGGTCCCGAATGGAAGAAAATGCTCAAATGTTGTTTAAAGTTCCACCACCTGGAATTGAATTTACACTTCCATCTCCAAAAATTGGTATCGAATCTCTTGAAGTAGTGGATGCACCTTGGGTCCCTTCGGTTAAAACAAAGGTCGAAGAAGTTACCATCAACCAGGAGAGACACGTAAGTTACTCGTAATATTTACCCAATATTCCATACATACTAGCAGATACTTTGTTACGTTAAATTTTGGACCTCAAAATATGTCACTCAGTATTCATATAAATGATTCCAACGTAACGCAAGAACACATGACAAGCGCCCGCACCAAAATCGTAGCGGAAGTGGAACCTCCAAAATCGTAGGGCAGGCAGCCCCTCCAAAATCATAGAAGCAAGAGGTCCTCCAGAACCGTAGAGCAAGTGACCGACAAAATCGTTGAATAAGCGGCAAGCAGATCTTCCAAAATCATGGGGCAAGCGGACCCCCCACACTCGTAGGGCAATCGGTCTCCCAAAATCGTGGGTCAAGCGGCTCCGCAGAATCGTGGGACAAGCGACACCCTCAACATCGTGTGACAAGCAGCACCTCCAGAATCATAGGACAAGCGGCCCTCCAAAATCGTGGGGTAAGCGATTCCCCAAAATCGTTGGGTAAGCGGCAAGTAGACCATCCAAAATCATGGGGCAAGCGGACCCCCCACACTCGTAGGGCAATCGGTCTCCCAAAATCGTTGGAATAGTTGGATAAGCGGCAACTAGACCTTCAAAAATCATGGGGCAAGCGTACCATTCCAAGATCGTAGAGCAAGAGGCCTTCCATAATCGTGGGTCAAGTGGCTCCCCAGAATCGTGGAGCAAGCGACACCCTCAACATCGTTTGGCAAGCGGCACCCCCAGAATCGTAGGATAAGCGGCCCTCCAAAATCGTGGGGTATGTGACTCCTCAAAATCGTTGGGTAAACGGCAAGCAGACCTTCCAAAATCGTGGGGCAAGCGGACCCCTCCAGAACTGTAGGGCAAACGGCATTCCAAAATCGTGGGCCAAGCGGCTCCACAGAATCGTGGGGCAAGCGACATCCTCAACATCGTGGGGCAAGCGGCAACCCCAGAATCGTAGGAAAAGCGGCCCTCCAAAATCGTGGGGTAAGCGACTCCTCAAAATCGTTGGGTAAGCGGCAAGTAGACCTTCCAAAATCATTGTGCAAGCGGATCCCTCCAAAATCGTAGCGCAAACGGCCTTCCAAAATCGTGGGTCAAGTGGCTCCCCAGCATCGTGGAGCAAGGGACACAATTAAAATCGTGGGGCAAGTAGCACACCACAGAGTAGTAGGGCAAGCGGCCCTCCAAAATCGTGGGGTAAGCGATTCTCCAAAATCGTTGGGTAAGCGGCAAGCAGAACTTCCAAAATCGTAGGGTAAGCGGAGCCCTCCAAACCTGTAGGGCAAGCGGCATTCCAAAATCGTGGGCCAAGCGGCTCCACAGAATCGTGGGGCAAGCGTCATCCTCAACATCATGGGGCAAGCGGCACCCCCAGAATCGTAGGATGAGTGGCCCTCCAAAATCGTGGGGTAAGCGATTCCCCAAAATCGTTGGGTAAGCGGCAAGTAGACCTTCCAAAACCATGGGGCAAGCGGACCCCCCAAACTAGTAAGACAAGCGGTCTCCCAAAATCGTGGGTCAAGCGGCTCCGCAGAATCGTGGGGTAAACGACACCCTCAATATCGTGGGGCAAGCGGCACCCCCACAATCATAGGAAAAGCGGCCCTCCAAAATCGTGGGGTGAGCGATTGCCCAAAATAGTTGGATAAGCGGCAAGTAGACCTTCAAAAATCATGGGGCAAGCGGACTATTCCAAAATCGTAGACCAAGAGGCCTTCCATAATCGTGGGTCAAGAGGCTCCCCAGAATATTGGAGCAAGCGACATCTTCAACATCGTTTGGCAAGCGGCACCCCCATAATCGTAGGACAAGCGGCCCTCCAAACTCGTGGGGTAAGCGACTCCCCAAAATCGTAGAGCAAGCGGCCTTCCAAAATCGTGGGTCAAGTGGCTCCCCAGAATCGTGGGGCAAGGGCACAATTAAAATCGTGGGGCAAGTAGCAAACCCCAGAGTAGTAGGGCAAGCGGCCCTCCAAAATCGTAGGGCAAGCGACTCCCCAAAATAGTGGGGCAACTGGCACCCCAAAACCGTAGGCCGCGCGGCTCCCGAATCTGTGGGGCAAGCGGACCCTCCAAAATCGAAGGACAAAACACATGTTGTGTTATTCCAGTTGTTTAGTTCATAAGTCATTTGGCTGCAAAGTTCCACCTGTCGAAATTGTACCTAGAGTGGTGCTATTTAAACCTCTTTTGGCTATAAAAAGTCCGATAAGGAAGCGGCGAAAAATGTCACATTCGTAAACTCTGTTAGCCGCGATTGTTAAATTAGCTTTTGAAATGATTACTTGAGACTAAACCAAATTTTACATTATAGATAGATACTCTCAAGTTACAAAAAAGCTACGTGAATCGCTGGTGACGTCAATAATATTAGTCAGTGTGGTGTCGTTTATCATCCGTGTTTGGATCAGTAGTGACTTCACATCCTCCAAAATAGCTGTGTCTGAAATTTCAGAGGTCATTGGTGACTGCAACGAAAACAAGGAAGAAGCAACAAACTGAGTTGATCAAAATGGCTCTGCAGGCGCAGGATGACAAAAAAAGAGAAGAACGAGAAAAATTTTTGATCACTACAATACCTATCACTATACAAGCCGCTCACGAGCCAAGTCTGCACCATGCGAGTGAGGAGCACGAAGAAGGTAAAATCTACTATGTGAAACCACAAACTGTTACTTTGACGATTGAAAAAATAATCTTACATTACAAGAGTGTAACTAGTTGTTTGCTTCCAAAATCCACATATTATTTTTACAGTTACAGTTTTATATTATAATAGTAATAAACTGGAATTAGGCATTATACTCATCATGTGAAAACTAATAACGTCGCATAGTTTCTTGAAGCACTAGTCCATTATTAAGAGTAGTTTATAAGACATGAAACGGAATGGAAGAGACTCTGATCTATTCATATTAAAATTCTCTTTTACAGTGGACGAAGAGCAGGCGGACGGTCCACCCAGAAACACCGCAACTCACCATCTACATTCAGCTCATTCCCTTTTCCCATCTTGCCTTTGTTCGGCAGTTGTACAAATAATCAACTTACTCGACGACGCTGCAGTATCTGTCGATGGAAACGCAGTCTATGAAGTCGCGTATCAAGTAATATGGACTTGTTTGGTGGAGGACAGTGCGCTATTTTTGAGGTAAGCGACGGTCGAGTCTAGCGCCGTTATTCTACCATCTGCTGACCTCTGTAGAACTCTTATGGCGACTTTGTATCTAATTGCCTACAACCTCCGCAAGGGCACAAAAAGCTGTAAGATCCTTCCTAAGGAATAGTTTTCATACAAAGTAGTTGCGAGGTAAAAACCTGACAATTCATCCCATATTCTAAGCTGCAACGACACTCGACCCTACCTAATCGGGGATTTGGATGAATAGTTGACTATAACAATACAGAGGCACTTCAACTATAACGCCTTCATTTTACAATACAACCATAACATATTCTATGAAGTGTCCATATATGCACTTGTACACAGAATGACAACTTGTGACACATAGTATGGTTAATGAGAAATGTGACTTTTTAAACTTATCAGTCTCCATGTTCTGCTAACCGCCGAATGAAACCATAAAGTTGTCCAGAAAGTTCTACTTTTACATCTGATCACGGTTGAAGAAGATAGACATTATAAGATGCTTCAGTAGATAGAAATGTTCTTTTGCAGATATATCCTTGAGCGGCTGACAAGAGAGAAGCAGGATCTTATGATAAAAATACTTAGACATTTGATAAGATTCATTCCCAAGCTACCCCAGCAGGCAGCATTCGCCCTTTATAACTACATAATAGGATATGTCATGTTCTACGTAAGGACACCGCACGAAAACGGTCAGCAGCTGATTGGGTCAGCTTTGTCCTTACTTTGGATGGTGAGTAGCCTACTATTCGCTGTAATATGGTATCTTGTGTGCAATGTTTGCTAAGGCTAAGTATACAGGGTGTTTCATTTGAAACTTTTGCGTTATGCGAAACCCTGTAAAAATAGAAAGAAGTTTCAGCATTTTTTCCAGATCAGTTTCAAATCGATGACGATCGAATTGTTGTGAAATAAGATTTATCTAAATATGGCGGAGCTGCGAGCCGACAAAGCTATTCATTTTTTCCAACTTTTGATCAAATATGTAAACAATTATGTCGCTCTTCTTATTGTTGTAGGTTGTCCACAGCGTTCACGGAATAATGTTCAAAGATCTGAAACAAATTTTAAGGAAAGAACAATGCGATGCTTCAATCCTCTTAACTGCAAATGTCCCATCGGCAAAGAAAATAATTGTCCATGGACCTCAAGGTGGGTAATTTTTATTGTGGTTAATACTTTTTGACTCTTGTCATACAGAGTGTCTGAGAATAACATGCCCATTTCTCGCATGCATATAAACAAATAATGCCATGAGTTCCTACAAGGAGTCTTTACTGCAAATCGGTTTTTCTTGACCAATACTTGAATCAACATAAATGATAGATTAGTAGTTAGTTGGTGCCTCATTTGATGCTATTCATGGAATTCGGATTCGAGCAGAAAATAGGATAGATAACCGGAGCAATACGCATTGCTGCTTAATGGCTTCATCGGGCCCGAAATGAATGCACATATGCAAGTACACACATATCCATACATCCGGATACGGGTGTAACCTGAGGAAAAGAAGATCGAGAGAGAACAAAACGACCCACGAAGTCACCAACAAGACCCAACCTACAATGTATGGTGTATAATGGCCAGAAGACCTCGAGTTTTTAAGGCCACATCTTACCACAACCACGCGGCTGGTTATAGCTACTTGGTACTTACAAAAAGAAGAGGATCATGCGGCGAAAAGTATGTATATATTGAATAGAAAAAATAATGAGCAAAATCCGCAAAAAGAAGGAAAGTGGAATCGAGCAGAAAATAGGATAGGTAACCCGAGCAATACGTATATCTTCTTGTTGGCTTCATGGCTATTTATTATATTTACTGATTGACAAAAAAAAGGTAAGCACCTACATGTGTTTATCCGATTTTATGAATCTCGGCGAGAACTTATTTGGGTCCACACTCGCAAGGTTCTCAATACAGTTCTCGTGCTCGATGACGATAACCGCAGAATTAAATGTTGTGACATATGAGTAATCCGATTTCTCTTAAGGAGCTTGTACCTCTGTTAGAATTTATGGCATTGTGCTCTGTACGCAGACAAGAGTTTGACAACTCATTCTGGCACAGAGTGCAAAGTCATCGCATCACCAAAAGATAATAAATATGCGACAGCCATTCTTAGATGATTTTACAGGCCAATGATTAAAGAGTACTTTCAGACGAGCGTTTAGTATTTGTTTAACGGCTGCTTATGCTACAAAATTTAATTTCCAGATCCAGATGCTGGGGGTATTCCGTCACAGTTTCCCGTTCAGGAAGATACGCAATTCTATCAGATCCTGCGAGAATCGCTGGACTTTTTCGGCATTGACGAAAACAAGCACAAGGAATATTTTTTGGTAGACTATAAAACCCGTACGTAAATCATTGGTATTCTATTTTTTTGTTAAAGTATTCACCGTTGAAAAAGTAATTATATGATCAAACGAACTTACCTGTAAGTGATGTTCGATCCTAATTATGTCAAGGCCTCGTCTCGTAAATAGAACAGGTGTAGTACCCCGTTTTCCGGCCACGAGTTCAAAGCGCACACAAGATCGAGCATCACTTACAGGAAAGTTCGTTTGATCATGCCATTATGTTCCCGAAAATAGAACAGGTGTAGATGTTCAATGCGAGTTTCAACAACATACTACTAACGTTCTGCAACAGTAAACGATAGGTTGTACATAACTACACAAATTGTACACAATGCATGTGTCAACTAAATTTACATTTTCATTCTAACAACTAAAGTTGAAGCTTTTAACTTGTAATTCGACGTACATGGGTTCAAAAATAAAAATACGATCTATTACATGGTGAAAAGCAAATCACATAGTAACATAGTTGTGTTTGAGGTGTGGGAACTTGAGTTTCCTTAAATGCCGCTTGAGCAAACTTATTGTTTGGCATAAGAAATTTGTGAGGAGTCTCGGAAAACGCGCTCCAGACCGATGCGAGTCTGAGCGTACTATCGTGTTTCCCAATAGGGACTTGACAACTTCGAACAAATAAATTACCGTTAACTGTCACTGTCAAAACATTCAGAAAATATCTTCATCATGGTGGCTGTATTTGCCTACTGATGTACCGCTTATCTTTTTTAGATCAAATTCGTAATCCATCAGCTTACGTCCGCGATTTTTATTTCTTCAAGAGGTCTCAGTATCCGCAATTAGAATTGGTTCATATGGACCCAGATGCAGCATTCAATGCCTTGCAGCAGCATGAGCTTGTTCACAAATTTGTCGAAATAGGAAAGGTTTTATTAACCTGGGCTATATTGAAGAACGTGGATATGGTAAGCGACGTTTCGTCCGATCAAAAATTGTTGTATCGGTGTATTCAATTGCTGTCGACTTTCAGGTTGTACAAAGAGTGGTATTTCTTCACGAAGAGCTGATGAAACTGCCCTCTTTTCCGAGAAAGGCCTTAGAATCCAGCTTGGAACTATATAAGTCAGGTCCCTTGGGTAAAGAGCTTCTCGGATTGGATGTTTTACATAAGTTTATGTGGGTTAGGCTGATTGCTAGAATGTTCGAAGCTATGGCTGGCAATTTCGCTTACTCCGGAGATATCCACCTCTTTGTTAACGTACTCAATGGAGCTGTGGTTCTACACTCGGAAGATGCATGTATTTTAAGATACGTTATGGCTACCTATATCAATGCAGCGTTCCATTTCAAAAACATATTTTCAACTAACGGGCAAGTATTCACTTCAATCAAAATTAGTTTGATTGACATTGTCACTTTATTAACTACTGTAAACGTTTTCAGCTACCTATTGATTATGCCAACTTTGTTGAAGATATATTCCAACCATCAATCCAACAAACTAGTAACTACTACGATCGAATATGCAGTGAAGCAATTTTATATGATGAACAGAAAACCGTTCATATTGCAGATGTTTGGATCTGTATCGGCTATGTTGGATACCGATGAAGAAGGCACATTCGGAGATGCCCATAAGGTACACACAGAATACTAGATAGAGTACCTGTATAAGGAATATTGTTTATTCTTTACCTTACGTGCGCACATGGTATTTGGACGACTTTGTATGATATTTGTTGTGTGCTATTTCGTACGTTTAAAAAAATAGCAAGCCATTTGATGTTAAACCATAGTTCGAATTCCATAATATTTTGTTTTTCTTTTTTGGGTGTCACAAAGTAAGGACAATATTGCAATCTCAATGCCATAATCATTACGTTATTAAAATTGACCAAAATTGTTCTTTCTACAAAACATTTTATAAGATGTTCCAAGTTTTCGAGACTTTCCTAACTTTCAGCGTGACAGAAAACTCCCGGAATGGCTCTGTATTTTCTCAGATAAGGTAATTTTGTAAAAAATGAAGGTCATGTCTTTAGTAACGTTCAGAAAGGAATTCAACGGTGACCTTGAACTTGAACTTGACCTTGACTTTCAACGTTAACAATAGAAACTTTTATTTTTGGAGCCGGCAATCGAAAGGAAAAAAAATTGCGTTCAAACTAAATTAAAGTGCAAGGTCAGGATAAATACCGAAGGTCAAATGAAGATCAAATGTGTGCTGCTAGGAAAACCTCATTAAATCATCACAGGATGAATGATGAAAATAACTATCAACGTAAGGTATTTGACATTTAACGAGGAAGTGTTGTCTGACCTTGTATTTGACCTTGACCTCCACCTTCAAGGTTATTTCAAAGTCAACTTTATTTTTTCATGACAATCCATATTTTTGATGCCGGCAATCTAAAGAGCGGAAAATTATACGTTCAAATACGAACTGAAGTCCAAGGTCAGGTTGCCACCTTAACGTCAAATGTGTTCTGCTAGGAAAACCTTTATAAATTACACAGTATTAGTAATGAAAACAACTATCAAGGTCAGGTCGTTGATAAATTATAACGAGGGAGTTAACGGTGATCTTGGGTTTGACCTTGATCCTCATCTTCAAGGTAATTTCAAGGTCAACCTAATTTTTCAATGGGAATCTCCATTTTTGATGTCGGCCATCGAAAGAACGGAAAATTTTATGTTAAAATTCAAATTAAAGACCAAGGTTAGGGTAACGGCGAAAGGTCAAATCGAGGTCAAATGGGTGCTGCTAGGAAAACCTCTATGAATCTTGCAGAATCAGTGATAAAAATTACTGTCAGGGTCAGTTCTTTAGTAAATTTTGATAAGTGACCTTAGTTTTCACCTTGAGGCACTCACCTTCAACGTCATTTCAAGATACACTTATTTTTTTAATGAGAACTTGGTGCCGGCAATCGAAAGAGCGGAAAATTTTACAAAATGCAATATCAAGATTACCGTTGAAGATCAAATAGGTTGAATAAAGGTCAAATATGTGCTACTAGGATAACATCTTGCAGAGATCGTGACGAAAATAACTGATAGGCTCAGATCTTTAGTGAATTTTCTCAAGTAGAATTTGAGCTTCTACCTTACCTTTAAGGTCAGATTTTTGGGTAAGTTTTATCGGGGAACTACGGTGCTTGTTATAAATAATATTTAACTGACACTGTTCATGCGAGTTTCTATTTGAACAAAATGACCTTGAAAGTGTCTAAATGTGTCTAAATTCACTACAGACCTGACCTTGATAGTTATTTTCATCACTAAGACTTATAGAGGTTTTCCTAGCAGCACATTTGATCTTCATTTGACCTTTAATGGTCATCTTAACCTTCGAAATTGATCGAACGTGAAAAAATAAAGCTGACCAAGAATTAACCTTGAAAGTGAAGGTCACCGTTGAATTCCTCGCTTAAAGTTACTGAAGACTTGACCTTGCCCTTTTCTAAAAATGCCTTGCCCGACAAAATGCAGAGCCGTACCGAGACTTCGGTGTCACGCTGTATATTGTTGCAAGTACTATCATCGATAGCGAGAACAGCTCTTGGATTTCTATCATGTTTAACATTGGAATTATTTTCTATATTATTAACATGTACGAATTAACAACGTTGCACACGTTTTTTTACGTTGAGTACTTCCAAACATCCTTTTGTTAATCTAACGTCAATGATGCAGATACGGAAAAACCAAGTTTGTAATCAACCTTGTAATTTAGCTCCGGTACTCTAATTAAGGTTTTTGGAGAGGAAAAAGCAGTTTCGTTGCTAGAAGGTGGATCTGGAGCATGAATTGATAATTCCATAAATTTTGTTTACGTAAAGTATGTTCAATTTTTGGTATAATTATCAACAATGTTAATTGCAGATACAATCAAGCTGTCTGTTTAATTTATTACTCAGTTTGGAAACTCCATCTCCGGATCCTTTGAATATTGCAGAGTTGGTGAAAGAGGACAAGCCTCTGAAGGCCATAGATTTTTGTTATCACGACGAGAACGAAATGGTTACCATTCTGGATTGTATTTCCATGTGTGTGATGGTAGTATCGTATGCTTCGGAGAGTGTCAGGGGCTATCAAATGCTGGTAGGTTGATTAATACCAATTTATATTTGCAATGTGAAATGATAGTTTCGTTATTGGCAACAAACCGAAGTCAACACAACCCTGGACCATTTTGGATTGTCAATGGCCGAAGGGCTGGTAATGCGGAGTAGTAGTTTTTGAAGTCAAAATAGTGTTGTTCTATTTAACTATTTTTGTTTTTTGAAAATATCAGGCTTTGTGGAGGGTAAAGGTATTCTTATGTAGGATCATGAGAAACTTAATACATATTAAACGCTGTAGAATTACATTGCAGCGGACCCCCATTACGTATAACTTTTGTTTTAGATTATACTGGAGGCTATTCTACCGTGTTACGTGAAGCAAATTCAAAAACCTTCGTACAACAAAGAAGGAAAGGCAGAAAAAGAGATTATACACCAGCTGGCTGTGGCGATAAGGACACTCGTCAACAACTGCGAGGCACTGACTAAGTAATTCACTATTCCTCATTTCCTTGGTGTCTAACGAACACGCATAGTTGGCGAAGCCAGAGAGGCTATAAAATTTATAATCATATTTATTAAAACCATCAGAGTTCCACAAGGATCCGCCTTAGGGCCGTTACTGCGGAACGCGTTCTATAAGCTTTTATGGCTAGATGCCAGGAATTAATTTGATGAGGTATACTAACGACTTGGCAATGGTGGTTACCAGCTAGGAGGGAGATAACTCAGATAAAACCATGCTGTTTTTCATATTCTATTAGCATTAATTTTTTGAGACCATGAAGATAATCATATTTTCATTTTGAGCGTGTACTTTTAATATCTATATCGCAATATCGATAGCTGAGTTACCATTCTTTGTAGAAATTTCTACCGGAGAAGCTATAACGGTCCTTATAAATCAAGTCCTGAACACAAAGGTTCTAGCCAAAGGAACTACAGTAGAGGGCCGTATTCGCCTGGGTTTGACTTTGAGGACGACTCTCATTCTAAATTCATGAGCGAACATTCCAGGGCGAAAAGCATGTACGACCACGAGGTAGAAGATTCTGAGGTAAATGTCGCTGAAGCTATACAGAGTGTCCGCAAAGTTGGGGTTTTCCTTTTCAGAAACAACTACCCTTGAAATAACAAAGGTAATGTGTAGTGAAACGAGGGCGACCAAGTAAAAAAAAATTTAAGGAAAAAGTACTCACTCTCCCGTTGACGAGAAGGGCTAAGTACGTCTCTGCCCGAAATCATACCGCTCCAACAGAAAATGAAATCAGCCGATGCGCTACCGAGCAGACGCAGAAACCACATTGATTGTCTTACACTTAATGGCACATCTTCTAACAAGGAAGGCAAAATGTTGCGTGAAAAGTCTAGGTATTGCATCCCGTCCAATCGATTTGGGAGAATAAATGGTACCGTTCACCATGCCAGCCCAAACATTCACCGAAAATGTTTGTTGAAAATGACCAAACATGAGTGTTGCGAAAGTTATTCACCCCATTACGCGTGAACGTAGATTCGTCTGTCACCAATATGCACTTCAAAAAGTCCGGATTATTGTCATGTTGATGCAACAACCACTCACAAAACCGCACTCTCGCTGGAAAATCGTCAGGTTGAAGGGCTTGTACACGTTGGACGTGAAACGGATACAGCCCCTCTTCACGCAGCGTTTGCCACACTTTAGTTTCTGATACTTGCACTTGTCTAGCCACGTCTCTAGTGCTTGTTGAGGGATTCTCGTCTACGCGATTACCTCTACACGCGTGACCGTAACCGTCGGTTGAAGGTTGCATACTAACTTGACACACTGACCCCGACCCAGTTCTGCCGTCGGGTTGAGACCTTGTAACAGTCGGGGATATCCCGGCGGGTCGCGGCTACAGGACGGTATTCAGATATTTTTGATGTTGCAGAGCCCTTTATCTCGGTTCCCTTAAGACATTGGTGTATATGGTACTAAGGAAAATTGCTTATGTTTTCAAGATCTACACGTCGTGTAAAGGAAAACCCCAACTTTGCGGACACCCTGTATATTCGACATAACAGAAATATTGAACACCACTCCATAACGCCTAATACACAAGCTGTCACATTCGCTTGTACTCCTTGGAACATTTTTTTTACTGGAACTTGTGACATCATTTTTCGTTTCCTATGTTGCTGATAATCATTGATAAACGTAATAAATTAATCAAGGGCCCTATCTACCAGCCAAAAAAATGAGTACAGTCAATAATGAACAGAAAATAAATCCCTTCTCTATTAAGCGACACCATCTACTAACCTAAAGAACTGCCAGTAAGTTTGACGTATACTAAGTGACATATAAATCCGAACACCCAGTTTAAATGGTTTTATTTTAATAAAATTTTGTATAAGTACTTAATGAAGCATAATAAGTAAATGATAAAAATTTAAAAATGATTGCACTGCTTTAAAGCCCTTTGATCTTTAATAATGTGTGGATGCACCCTGATGTGCTACGCATTCTCCAACGCGCCTAGGCATGCTTCTGATCAGGTGGTCAACGTCCTCCTGTGGTATCTCATTCCAGGCAACCACCAACTCCTCTCGAAGTGCTTCTAGAGTCTGAGGAGGACGTTGCAAATTGAGCAATCTCCTACCCATCATATCCCACACGTGCTCAATTGGGGATAAGTCGGGAGATCTTGGTGGCCATGGTAACAATGTGACATCATTATGTTGAAAGAAGTCTATTGTGACTCTTGCAACATGTGGTCGGGCATTACCTTGTTGGAAAGTTGGATCTGCCAGGGTGTCAAGATAGGGTAAAAGATGGGGTTCTAGAACTTCGTGGTTATAACGCTGCGCGTTCATGTTACCTCTCATGAAGATTAAAGGTGACCTGGAACCATAAGCTATAGTACCCCAAACCATAACTCCAACAGTGTGATGAACATGTCTTTCAACAAAAGCTGTGGATTCCTCCTTTCACCACGTCGCCTTCTAACCCTGGCACGACCATCGTGCATGCCTAAACAAAATCGAGACTCGTCACTAAAGACAATACTGTTCCATTCCTGATCCCAGAGTGACCGTTGTCTGTACCACTCAAGGCGATTACGTCGGTGTTCTCGAGTTAAAGGGAGGACCCAGTGTAGCCGGTATGAAAACAAGCCAAAACTTCTCATTCGTCGGTAAACACTTCGCATGCCAATAGGTCTTCCGTGTTCTGCAAACCATTCATTTGCAATGGACCTGGTAGTGGAGAAACGGTCCCTTAAGGCCAATAATCTCAGGCGGCGATCTTCACGGTCTGTTGTTCTACGGCGGCGTCCAGTGCCCCTTGCTCTTTGCGTACGGCCTTCTCGAAGCCATGCCTGACAACACCTAACCACAGTGTCTACACTTCTTTGCACTCTAACTGCAATTGCCCGAAAAGAAAGTCCAGCTTCCCGAAGGCCCACTATACGGCCCCTATCAAACTCACTAAGTTGACGAAATCGTACAGGTCTCCATACTCTAGGCATCGTAACCGATCGTAAAGGATGTCAAGAACCAAAATCCGCCAACGTTGATTCTTTACTGCGGCTGAAATATTCATTTTTAGAGCGTTAGTGAATTAAAAAAAGCAGTATAAAAAGCGAAATGTCCAACTGATAAGGCTGAAAATTTTTTCACTTGTTATTTACAGTAAGATAAATACATTCACCAACTTTTATTAAAATAAAACCATTTAAACTGGGTGTTCGGATTTATATGTCACTTAGTATATTTATAATTTAACCTTGTCTGCCCAATTCCTGGTAAATTTAGAATCCGAAGAAGAACCACCTTCAAGTTCTACATAGTTTGCGCGAAGGAAATACTTGAAATCAAGTTGGAGAGTTGTGGTCTCGACACACAGTACGAGTGTTACATTTGACGGCAATGATTTATAATGTGAAACGGTGCCGAATTGTTTAGTATTCTATCTCGTGAAGAGATGCTTAACCCTTATACTTGCAGGTGCTGAGAGCCGAATATCGTAGACCAAGGGACGTTCTTCTATCGTTGGTAGGAGAGTTTGTGAACAGAGCGTCGATGCGCCTGCAAGAATTGTATAAAAAGAATGACTGCGATGGAAAAGTCGTTGAATTGCTGGATATTAGGTCGCACATCGTAAGTACCATTACGATAATTTGAAACACGCTGTATAACGTGTGTGTATTCGCAAATCGTACGACTAATAGTATGGAATGAAGGAAGTCGGCTCACAAGGAAATGCTGAGTCTTAAATATACACTTCTGCACTACACTGTTTCGGACTTCCGTTGTCTATAAAGTTTTATTTTTTCGATTAATATGATCTCCAATCATCAGCAGGTAAACTGGCGAACATGGTCTTTTCTTGACTTTTTATACCGTTTGAAGACATAACTGGATGTTGATTGTGACGAGTTCCGCTTGGTTGAGTTATAGTTGTTTGATATTTCTTATAATAGGTCGCCAAAATCCCACTCATAGTCTAATCATATTAGACGAAAATATGCCTGGTTTGTGAAACAATTGTCTGGTCTTATTGTTGCAAGTTGTTCAAGGGGGTAGTCAAAACATGGATCCATAAAACGGGTAGAAAACTTTTTATTCGATAACAAAACTAGACTTTACAATTATTTCTGGGAAATTTGCTAATATGATTAGACTACTCGTATTATCAGTTATCCTGCAGAATGGTGAAACTATACAAAATAACGACGTGTCGAACAAATTTCCACGTTCCTGTACTTATTTTTAGCGCCTGGCTGATATAGCTCATACGCTGCTCAAAGTTTCTCCTTACGATCCCGAATCAATGGGATGCAGAGGTCTTCAACATTACATGGGCTACATTTTACCATCGGCTGATTGGTCGAACGATGCCATGCGGCCGGCATTAGTTACGATTTTACGCCGGCTGGACAAGGTTTTCCAGAAGATATCGAAAAAGCCTTCGATAAGAGTGAGTGTTATTGTTGTCTTGTCGGTTAAGCATAAATAGTCTCTTCCTCAATTACATCTTTGTAAAGAAAACATAGTTTGATGTTTGTCTTGATGAATCGTCGTGAAACTGTCAACATTCATTGAAATGTGTGAAATTTTTAAGAACAAGGGGTAGAGACACAGTTTATTGTTCCTTGCATAATTGTTATAAAATTGGCACGAGCCTTTATGCGAAATCTGATACCAGGCAATATTATAGCAATTTTCTTAAGAATAAAACTTGTTTATTAACCCTAATTATGTAATACTCGAAAGGCTTCGAAACCTTATGCTCGATATTTACAGACAGCTATTCTTTTCTTTTATGTAAGAAAATAATCTCAGAGTGTTTAAAATTATGAAATTTCGAGAGCACATTCAGCTTTTTGGGACTTTACACATCGTATAGTCCACATAATTAAAAGAAAATTTTGAATCCAGCTGTCGAATTCATCTTTAACGATAACGAGAAATAAGATATACTAAGTGACATATAAATCCGAACACCCAGTTTAAATGGTTTTATTTTAATAAAAGTTGGTGAAGGTATTTATCTTACTGTAAATAACAAGTGAAAAAATGTTCAGCCTTATCAGTTGGATATTCCGGTTTTTATACTGCTTTTTTTTTAATTCACTAACGCTCTAAAAATGAATATTTCAGCCGCAGTAAAGAACCAACGTTGGCGGATTTTGGTTCTTGACATCCTTTACGCCCGGTTACGATGCCTAGAGTACGGAGACCTGTACGATTTCGTCAACTTAGTGAGTTTGATAGGGGCCGTATAGTGGGACTTCGGGAAGCTGGACTTTCTTTTCGGGCAATTGCAGTTAGAGTGCGAAGAAGTGTAGACACTGTGGTTAGGTGTTGTCAGGCATGGCTTCGAGAAGGCCGTACGCAAAGTGCAAGGGGCACTGGACGCCGCCGTAGAACAACAGACCGTGAAGATCGCCGCCTAAGATTATTGGCCTTAAGGGACCGTTTCTCCACTACCAGGTCCATTGCAAATGAATGGTTTGCAGAACACGGAAGACCTATTGGCATGCGAAGTGTTTACCGACGAATGAGAAGTTTTGGCTTGTTTTCATACCGGCCACACTGGGTCCTCTCTTTAACTCGAGAACACCGACGTAATCGTTTTGAGTGGTGCAGACAACGGTCACTCTGGGATCAGGAATGGAACAGTATTGTCTTTAGTGACGAGTCTCGATTTTGTTTAGGCATGCACGATGGTCGTGCCAGGGTTAGAAGGCGACGTGGTGAAAGGAGGAATCCACAGTTTTTTGTTGAAAGACATGTTCATCACACTGTTGGAGTTATGGTTTGGGGTGCTATAGCTTATGGTTCCAGGTCACCTTTAATCTTCATCAGAGGTAACATGAACGTGCAGCGTTATATCCACGAAGTTCTAGAACCCCATCTTTTACCCTATCTTGACACCCTGGCATATCCAACTTTCCAACAAGATAATGCCCGACCACATGTTGCAAGAGTCACAATAGACTTCTTTCAACATAATGATGTCACATTGTTACCATGGCCACCAAGATCTCCCGACTTATCCCCAATTGAGCACGTGTGGGATATGATGAGTAGGAGATTGCTCAATTTGCAACGACCTCCTCAGACTCTAGAAGCACTTCGAGAGGAGTTGGTGGTTGCCTGGAATGAGATACCACAGGAGGACATTAACCACCTGATCAGAAGCATGCCTAGGCGCGTTGGAGAATGCGTAGCACATCAGGGTGCATCCACACATTATTAAAGGTCAAAGGGCTTTAAAGCAGTGCAATCATTTTGAAATTTTTATCATTTACTTATTAAGTACTACAAAGTACAAAGTACAAAGTACTACAAAAGTACTACAAAATTTTATTAAAATAAAACCATTTAAACTGGGTGTTCGGATTTATATGTCACATAGTATACATACGACGTCAGTTGAAAATCACTCATTGGGAATGAGGAATTTTGCTTCGATTTTTAGTGACTCGAACTGAGTCTAGCCACACTTTTAATAGGTTTTCTCGATTTATATTTTAAACAACTTTACGTTAATAATATATAGTTCATCTGGAAAATGGAATTTAAACTATTACGTTTTTCAGAGAAACACGGATTGGGATGCGGCAGCAGGATTGCTCAAAGGAATTTACGATACGATGATTAAACATTCGTACATTGTCCACTGGTCGCAAATTAAGGCATTAATTAATACTTGTCAGGTAAGTGCTGAGGGCGGAGTGACGTGTTTTTGTTAAAAACGCACATGACTACTACTATTTCAACATATTTAGTCGGTATTTCTATCGTGCACTTCATATTTAGTAGAAAATCAAGGTGTTTTAGTGTGAAAGCACACCCGATTCATACTTTTACATTGTAAGGAGCTTTCATAGCCATTCTCGAAACCTTTTTAACGGATCCTCTTCATGTTAGTGGCAGTAAAACAACTTTTTCTCCCGTATGATGCAGCTTAGTAGCTTTGCTTGGTGTCATGAGCGCCCATATAGCAAAATCCAGAGAGGGCCATGTTTTGTATACAGGTTGTGCAAGATTAAAAATGCTGATAATTAACCAACCCGTTGGTGACAATTGAAGACGGGGGGGGGGGGGGGAGGGATGTGCAACTATTCAAAATGGTAGCAGAAATAATATCGTCTATGTTGGGATGCTTTGAAGAGCAGAAAAAACACATACGCCACTTCTTACCCAAGGATTGGATATCTTATTAAGAATATTTTACTTTGAAACAGCAGCCAGGGGGAGGTCTGCCCCCCTTGCCCCCCATGCGTGTATGCACATTGAAAGATAAGCAACCTCAAACTACATAATCGCAAAGAACCAAAGAAGAATAAAGTATCGATGGAAGTTATTTTTTATCAAATATTTTTATTGAAAGCGTTATTACTCCAACGCATTTTGAAGTTGTTCAGGGTTCAAGAGTTCACAGTTGTATACCTCAGATCAAAATATTAATGAAAAGGCTTCCGATATCTCCACATATAAGCTGTTATTTCTTCTATAACAATTTTTATTAGAAGCATATTATACACGGTGGCGCATCGAAAACGAAGCAGAAGCAGTTTTTTTTTTGGAAAAACGCTCAGACCCGTTGATTTTGTCTTCGAGGGGGACACAAGTTTGGCAAAAAATCACGTTAACACGTGCAGCCCCCTGGGCGGGGGTGACACCAACCCTAAAATCTTAAATGGAAAGGGGTGTCGAGTGATACCTTAGTTTAAAGGTATTTCAATTCCCTTTATAATGATGTAAAATACATGAGCTTCAGTTCAGTGGTTTTGAAGATTTATTGATTTAAAGCTTAAAGTATACTTTAATAGGTACATCAGATTAGTTTGTACTACTTTCAGAAGAAATTTGACTAAAAGAATTTACTTAATAAGTGAATGCTTTTCTTCACTACGCCCATGGTTTGTTTATCATTTTGTTGTTGGAAAAATCACGTTAACACGTGCAGCCCCCTGGGCGGGGGTGACACCAACCCTAAAATCTTAAATTGAATGGCCCCCAAGATCGCCGGATTTATCACCTTTGGATTTATTTATGTGGGGTCATTTAAAAAGCAAAATCTATGCTACTCAGCCAACAAAATTAGAAGGGAATTAAAAGAACTTTAAAATAAGGTCACTCGACCCCCCTTTCCGTTTAAGATTTTGGGGGTGGTGTCACCCCCGCTTAGGGGGCTACACGTGCTAAGGTGATTTTTTGCCAAACTTGTGTCCCTCTCGAAAACAAAGTCGACGGGTCTGAGCGTTTTTTAAAAAAAAACTGAGCTGCCAGAGTTGAGAATTTTCCTCTTCTGTACGTAATTATTTTGTACAGTACTATTGTCATTTCTAGTACAGTTGCACAATTATTGCCACACATTCCATTTAGAAAACATCAAGAGGGGTGTGACTGCAAATCATACTCGTAGATTCTCCATTTTATAGATAATCCTCATATCCTTCAAATACTTTTTTCATTGTACCAGCTGATGTTGAATGGTTATTTTGCTGTTTTAGTGTATGTTGCATGCATTCACCATCCAAAATATGTTAAACCGGTCCTAAGAAAGTTGTATTTTAAGAAATGCAAGAGTTTTCAGTTGCTGTCACATTCTGAAGTGGGTGCTTGCAGATTTGCAGACACACTCATGATTTTCATTCAGTGAGGTTCGGTCACTTGAATGTACGTTCGATGAACTTTTCAGAGCCTGATTGTGAGCGATTTGGTCCCTGCAGAAGGCGTGTCCGGTGCTACGGTTGCTCTTATGAGCCAAGCTCCCCCCGCACACTTCTGTTCAATGGTCGTTAGGCTTATAGCTTTACAAATACAAAACGGCCAGGTAAGTTTATAAATTTAAATTGTCTTTCTCAGGATTTTTTTCACTTATCATATCAGTTGATGCTTACATACAGGGTATTCTACGTAGAACTGCAGAGATCAATTGCTAAAAAAGTTGAATTGTTAGTCAGTAAAGTATTATACAGGGTGGCCCAACGAAAACGTCGCTCTCCATTTGTGATTCACCTGGTATATTATGCGAAAAACGCTCGCACACGTCAATTTTTATTTCTAGAGGGACGTCTTTTCATCTATAGCCGTATGATACAGGGTGATCCAAAAATAAGATATTGCGTTACAGTTTCGATTTTTAAACGGAAACCCTTAATTTTTTGTAATTTTTAGATTTTGCATGAAGTTTTTAGTATGATAAAGTTTATACCTATCTTCAATCGTTTTGAAGCTATTTGCGGCCACAAAGCCCGCTCGTAGGCCTTCATTCGTTGTTGCCTCTAAAGATCCCGTACTAATGACGAAGTTTCATCTAAATCATTTAGGTAGTTTAAGGAAAACTAAGGCCTAAGTATTAGAAGAAATGAACTTGAGCCTAATAGTAGGTAGTAGTAGAAAGATTTATTTAGCACATTTGTCTACATAAACAGAATAATTGTAAACAACTTAGAACTAGTAAATTCAAGCCATATGGGGTATGATGTAAATGCTCGGCAACCTATAATTGTAGATTTAACAAGTGATTTCCCAATTTTACTCTAAATTTTGTCAAAGTTTTCTGGTCTTTTATCTCTGAGTATAATTTATTATATTCAATCAACCCTTGATGGAATACAGATTTGTAGCATATGTTATACTTTTGGGTCATTAAATGGAAATCATCTTTATTTCTGGTATTATGTAAATGATGGTCGACATTTGATGATGTTAAATTAGTTAGACTTGATGGAAATATATTATTTTTTACTTTATAAATGAATATCATTACAAGATATTTGATAAAATTTTTTACATTGAGCCATTTTAATTTGCTAAGCATTTGCCTAATTGGAGTATATTTATCTTTATTCAGTATTATTCTCATGCACTTATTTTGTAAAATTTGCAGTCTTTCAAAAATGGAATTATTTGCGAAATATAGAATAGTCGAACGGTACAAGAAATTTGGAAGAATGATGGTATTATAGATAATTTTTCTGCTATATGAACTCAGACATCCAGAAACTCTCGATAAATATCCCACTTCACTACTAATCTTTTTTATAACTTTTTCATAATTAATATCAAACATTAATCGAGAGTCAACAAAAACCCCCAGGTATTTAAAATTTTCTACGAATTCAATATCTTCGCCATCAATATTCAGTTGAACATTTGTACATTGTTTTTTTCCGATTAACAAGGCTTTCGTTTTACTTGCATTTAATTTTAGTCTGTTAGATGCTAACCATTTTAAGACAAGTTTCAAGTCTTCATTTATATAAGAGATACCAGTCTGAATATTTTTAGTACTTATATAAATCATAGTGTCATCTGCGAAAATCTGAATTTTGCATTTTTTGACTATGGCAGGTAAATCATTTATGTATAAAATAAAAAGGAGTGGTCCCAGGATACTACCCTGTGGAACACCCAACGTATTTTCAATTTTTGATGAAATAGTGCCATTAACTTTTGTAATTTGCATCCTTTTAGACAAATGATTTCTAAACCAATCTAAAACACTTCCTGTTATACCATATGCCTTCAATTTACCTAACAAAATATCTCTATCAGTCGTTTCAAATGCCCTCGTCAAATCCAAAAATACTGCTAAGACAACTTCTTCTGAGTCTATGGCTCTTCTCCAATTCTCAGTTACCAACTGGAAAGCCGTTTCTGCAGAATATTTTTTTCGAAAGCTTGCTTGCGCCTCCACTTAAAATTTTGTTTTCTTCTATAAACTGCATTAATTCGTCATGCACTATGGACTCTAATAATTTTTCAATGTCTGGTAACACATTTACTGGTCTCATATCGCTGCATCTTTTAGAATTTTTTATTTTGGGAACTGGTGTTATTGTAGAGCATTTCAAATTTTCAGGAAAAGAACTGCTTCTCAGTTATCAATTGGTCCAATTTAATACAGGATATCCCAAAATTTCGAAACAGCACGTTTTTAGTAGTGATTTCGGCACAGTTGTTATTTGATTTTGCACTGTTTACTTTTTTTCTTAGATAATTTAATGATACACTGTGAAATTTTGAAAGTGTATGCAACATTTCTCACTGGAAACTGATTTTGATATAGTCAGGTGCAGTATTGGCAGTACCCACAATATCAACAATACTTTCCACAAAATATTCATTTAGTTTATCTGCAATCACCAAAGAATTTGTTTCGGTACCGTTTTCGAATTGAACTTGACTTACACAATGCGGCTTCGAATTAATCAGTCTTTTTTTCTTCGAGATCTTTACACTGTCGCACTTGTTACTATCGATTTGTTTATCGTAGAATTTCCTTTTTTCTTCTCTAATTACATACACACATTTATTCCTAAGAGTTTTATATACCTCCCAATCATCATTTGATTTTGTGAATATACATTTATTGTTTGTCTCTCAAATTTTGAGCTGCCTTAATATTTTTGTTATACCAGGGTGTATTTTTTGTCGAGCAAATCAGTTTTTTTATCAGTTGCAAGATCTAAACAAGTTTTTATATTTCCTATTATGTTGTCATATATTTTTTCCATATTCTCACCAAAATTCCAATAGCAGCCAGCAAGTTGTCGTTCAAGTTTTTCGTACTTAATAGTATTTACGATTTTCTTAATTTTTGTATCAGAAAAATGCCCTACCAAGGGCGGCATTGTCCAACTGCGGTCACTAACTTTAGGTGTATGTACAGCTTTAATCCCTGCACATTCGAAATTTACAATAACAAGATCTAACAAAGTCTCTGATAATGATGTTATTCTGCTACACTCTTCAATTTTTTGCTTGAACCCATATTTATTTATGGTTTCTTTCAATATTCTTGTTTGAAGCCAATATGTTCGTATGATATTTTTTCTTATCAAGTGGTATATTTAAACATTGACAACCGTATACATTAAATCGAATATAGTATGAAATTAAAAATCAAAAGTGGCCACAATTATTACGTCAACTTTTAAACACACTACACGAAACATTGTAAAAATCCATGCAGTGAATCCGGGCTCCTAACTTTAAATCTAATGTTGCTCCGTTTTTGAAAACTTACTTGAACGCTAGTTTTATTTGCTTTCAGGACTCTTGCACCTTAGAACAAGTCTGCGGAGGCAGTTCGTTGTTTCCAAGCCAAGAGAAGACTGAGAGTATGATAATAAACCTCGTTATGCCGCTGTGTTTGAGAGTTGGATCCGGCAGAAAAGGTGTGTTTGCGCATTTTACCTACAATAACACCGACAAAAAATTCTTATAAACAAATCTTGGCTTTCTAACTCGTAAACAAACAGCTTTTTGTCCAATGTGTCTTCAACCCATAATCTAACAACCTTTTGTTCGATGTATTTTAGTGCTCTTGGAACTATATTATAGAGCATACCACTGCGAGTTGGATGACGTTTAGCTTTAATGTGTTCTAGGCTCATACCGTTTGTTATATTATAACAAAAACATCATTTTTACTGTCCGAAGTCTAATTTATTACTCTTCACTAAACCTAATTTATGACATATTCATGAGCGTGTCGACTGGGCTATCGCGTCCTGTGGTGGATCAGTGCTTGACTGTGACTGACTGCTTCCGTCATCTGGTCGGATATTTATGTCATAATTCTACGGTTCCCGATGCACTCCAGAATTTTCAAGCAAAAACTCGATTCTTCCTCGAAGCTGGTGCTTCAAGACGGGTATCGATGTTTCTTGAGTCTCGGCGTAACCTTCTAGTTAGCGCCGCAAATTATGTAGTCGAAACTTCACACTCCGTTCGTCCACCATTAAAAGGATCACCCGACTATCAGCCCGAATGGCGTTGAAACGATGACCAACCGCATACAACGTTGCTTATTAACAACAAGTAGTGCGTTATAGATCTAATCGTTAAACACAGAAACAAGATAAGCTGGTATAATCTATCATCTATAATTTCATATTCCGACTGTCTTTCAGTAAAAGTCGGAGACGTAGGACTTCCTGTCATTATCAAGCTTTGGCAAACCATTTGTAGATTACGCTTGGCAGTGCTGCCGCTTCTTTGCGCACAACATACTTTCTGTTTTTTGTAGACCATACTCGCTTGTTTGCTTTCTGTTTGCACGTCTCCAACGACTAGGCTTATACCGCACTGATGATTGCCAATGAGCATGAAACACAGCTGTATGCAGTCGGCCATGGTTACAGGGACGAAAAGCAGATAGCTTGATTTAATTTGGTGTTCATTTATTACCATTATTAGGGACACATACAAACACGTCTCATTAGATATACAGGGTGTCCCAGAAGTCGACGTCAAGCCGAAACCGGGTGATAGGCAAAGTCATAACAGCTATCAGAAAAATATTTAAAAAAATTTTATGTATGTGTTTTGAAAATTATAGGTCTTTGAAAAAGATATAGAAATTTCACACCCTACGGCAGTCTGTCAACTCCTGTTACTACAAATATGAACTTTTTTTGGATTTTATTTTTACAATGTAATGATGAATAATGCATCTTCAAACTGGTCTCTCAACCTTACTGCCAACTTTTCTCGTTCAGGAAAAATTGCCACTTATTTCCCAACCAAGTATTCCAAAGTAAAACTTTGCTCAAATTTAACTGGCTGTACTGGAAAAAAATGTACTACGAGAGTTTGGCAAGTAACCTTAAAAGTTGGCGCATTTAATAACGATTCCAAAATGGTATAACACTTAGAAGATTACTCGTTAACTTATGCACAATTTTTATTTGAAGAAAAACTGATGAAAATTTTTCAGAATTTCCTAATTAAACAGCGATTATGAAAACGCACAAGGACCCTTAAGGATAACTGTTTGCACAACAGTGGGCGTCAAAATGCTGCTGATGATGATTTACCTTTACAGCAAATGCTCAAACTGTTTTCCTTCAGCCGCAATACACGCTCGACATCTTCTTAAAAAAGATCGGGTTATTAAACGAGCGAATCCACGGTTATTAACAAACTCAGCTGCTTCCAATAGTCTTTGCCGTAGCTCAGCTACATTTTGAATCGGCTTGAAATACACTTTTTCTTTTAAAGTTCCCCAGTAAAAAAATCTAAAGGATTCAAATCAGGTGATCGGGCTGGCCACGGTATTTTTCCAGACCGACTTATCCATCTGCCTGGAAAGTTTTGATCGAGATACTCTCTCACTGAGAGTGCATGTCCCTGTAAATACTCAGTGGCACGTCCACCAATAAATTTTGTACATGATTTTTCAAAAAATCCAAATAAACTTCAGTCAAAGTCTCTGGGAACTCAAACGGACCGATTATTTTACCATTTAAAATTCCTGTCCAATGGTTTATCTTGAAGCGATATTGAGATTTATCTTCTCTCATCAAATGTGGGTTTGCTACTCGTGTAAGTTATGCAGGTTCATGTACCCATCTTTCTTAAAAGTGGTCTCTTCCGACCATAACATTTTTTCAAAGAACGGTGGATCTTTCCTGTGTCTTTGTGCGACAAAAAGCAACTCGGGGCTCATTATCCCGGGGCAGGAGAAGTTGAACACGCTGTATGTGGTATGGATGAAGCACATCACTTACTTGCTATTGCACACTTTGATACCGATCAGTACTCCTTCGTTTATTGCGCATCTTTACATGTTCGTGCTTGTTGATTTCGTACTGTTACTAATTTTGGATTCGTGAACTGGACTGTTGATCGCTTGTGATTTGGATTTGGACTGTTTAATTGCTCTTCAAAACAACATTTGCTTTCCTTAGACTATCTTTGATAGTGTGATTGTGCAGTGCCGCTATGTCCGTGTACACCGTACAAGAATATGCTAACATGCACCTCATTTATGGGGAATGCAGATGCAACGCTAGTGCTGCAGCGAGACTTTACTGTGAGAGGTACCCGAATGCAGCTCGTCATCCAGATCATCGAGTGTTCACAAATGTGCACCGCTTACTGTTCTCAGAGGGCCAACTACCAAACCAATCACACGGTGAGGGAAGATCTTTCCTTCCTTACGAAGACGTGGTGCTAGGAGCTGTCGAAGAAGACCCGAGTACTTTAGTGCGTGCAATAGAACTAAAAACAGGTGTGCCCAAAAGTACAGCCCATAGAATCTTGCAAAAAAACGTGCTCCATCCATACCACGTACAGCGTGTTCAAGCTCTTCTGCACCGGGATTATGAGCCCCGAGTTGCTTTTTGTCGCACAATGTTAGAAAGACACAGGGAAGATCCACGGTACTTTGAAAAAATTTTATGGTCAGATGAGACCACATTTAAGAAAGATGGGTACATGAACCTGCATAACTTACACGAGTGGCACGTAGCAAACCCACATTTGATGAGAGAAGATAAATCTCAATATCGCTTCAAGATAAACCATTGGACAGGAATTTTAAATGGTAAAATAATCGGTCCGTTTGAGTTCCCAGAGACTTTGACTGCTGAGGTTTATTTAGGTTTTTTGCAAAATCATTTAGAAAATTTATTGGAGGACGTGCCATTGAGTATTTACAGGGACATGTGGTTTCAGCATGATGGCTGCCCAGCGCACTATGCACTCTCAGTGAGAGAGTATCTCGATAAAAACTTTCCAGGCAGATGGATATGGCGGTCTGGTACAATACCGTGGCCAGCCCGGTCACCAGATTTGAATCCGTTAGATTTTTTTTACTGGGGAACTTTAAAATAAAAAGTGTATTTCAAGCCGATTCAAAATGTAGCTGAACCTACGGCAAAGGCTATTGGAAGCAGCTGAGTTTGTTAATAACCGTGGATTCGCTTGTTTAATAACCCGATCTTTTTTAAGAAGATGTCGAGCGTGTATTGCGGCTGAAGGAAAACGCTTTGAGCATTTGCTGTAAAGGTAAATTATCATCAGCAGCATTTTGACGCCCACTGTTGTGCGAACAGGTATCCTTAAGGGTCCTTGTGCGTTTTCATAGTCGCTGTTTAATTAGTAAATTTTGAAAAATTTTCATCAGTTTTTCTTCAAATAAAAATTGTGCATAAGTTAACGAGTAATCTTCTAAGTGTTATACCATTTTGGAATCCTTATTAAATGCGCCAACTTTTAAGGCTACTTACCAAACTCTCGTAGTACATTTTTTTCCAGTACAGCCAGTTAAAGTTGAGCAAAGTTTTACTTTGGAATATTTGGTTGGGAAATAAGTCCCAATTTTTCCTGAACGAGAAAAGTTGAGACACCAGTTTGAAGACGCATTATTCATCATTACATTGTAAAAATAAAATCTAAAAAAAGTTAATATTTGTAGTAACAGGAGTTGACAGACTGCCGTAGGGTGTGAAATTTCTATATTATTTTCAAAGACCTATAATTTTCAAAACACATACATAAAATTTTTTTAAATATTTTTCTGAGGGCTGTTATGACTTTGCCTATCACCCGATTTCGGCTTGACGTCGACTTCTGGGACACCCTGTATGCGCTTACTTTAGCGCCATGATGCAATTATGTTCACAGACGTTCCACAGATGAAGCCTAGCGATGTCAGCTTCTCGCTAACGTTGATTCTGCACGCCATGAGCCCTCCCAATATAAAGACAGCTGGACCATCAGGGGCTAACGTGAAACCAGTGGCGGAAATAAGGACCGGTAGCCTTACCTTTACAGGAACTAGGGATACGAAAACCTCAGCTAAAATAAACAGCTCTCTGTATCAAGTGGCATTTTTAGGTAAGATTTTTATTAGCAACGCCGCATTTTCATTCTTCTTTAACCAGAATCTCTAACACTCGCAAACAGACGAAGTGGACAGTAGATTCTTCATACATACAGTATCGCAATATGTACGCAACCTCTCGAACACGTACCGGACACTAAAATGCGTCAAAAACATCATAAAATAAATCTCCCCGCAACAGTGTAGAGGGCGTAATCAGGATAACATTATCACTCACACGTTTCGTGGAAATTTGAAGGCGGTGACTGCAAGCACCTAATTTCGTTATTTTTAGCTCTAAAAATTATGAGTATCTGCTTCGAAAACGAACTAACAATGGAATGGATGAAAATAGGAAGAACCATGAGAGAACTAGGAAAACGTAATGAAGCGGCTAGCTATTTATGGGACTTTCTCGACTTTGTGGTGACGCATCGAACTACGCTGTACATTTTGATGCAACCTTTCATTTTTTTGAAGGTAACTTTCAATCGGTATTCTTGATTTTTGAAAGGCGATTTTCTATATTAACGGTAACAATTTTGCTTTCAGTTAGCTCAGCCGCCAATATCCGATTTCGAAAGAAACATGCATACGAAAATAAGAAACAAAATGAGAAGTATCGATTTGCCTTTGCCGAAAGGTAAAGGGGCGCTGCTTATGGAACTGGCTCAGGAGATGAAAGTTTTGAAAGAGGAATTAGACGAGTGTGAGTCACAAACAAGTAACTAGGATTGTAGGAATTAGGATTTTCTTCGCTATCCTCTACAAGAAGCATGCAAACAGAAAAGAAGAAAATAAATCTATGTACTGCAGTGACTTTTTAGGGCATTGACCACTAGCTTCATCAAGTTTCAATTCATACTCCTTATGTTTTGAATAAAGTCTTACATGTCTAGATAGCAGATGCTACAAACTAACAAATATTATCGTGAATTGGTACTGGATGGTCCCTAAAATGACTCTTCAGCATACCCGTGCTTACAGTTACTGGTAGTTTTTTTGCAAAATCCATAAACAGGTTATGTGCCTCCACTTTTTTTACTTAGGTTCGCTGGTTCATAATTGATCGTTACTTGTCCGCGAAGTTTTGTCATAAATATGGGGTTGTCCAAAACGAACGCAGGAAAGTAAACGCATATTAAAACAAGAAAGGTTGATATTCAAATCAAGCAGGGTACTTTATTTTGAAGATTCATTTATACCATTTATATATGAAAAATAATATCGCTCAAATGTTCACCACGACTGGATTTACAGACGGTCCACGCGATGGTCGAAATTTTCAATGACATTTTGCAACATGGTCGGTTCTATGGCATTTATCTCGGCAATGATGTTGTATTTGAGTTCTTGGAGGGTGGCTGGTTTGTTGACGTAGACTTTACTTTTCAAATATCCCCATAAAAAGAAGTCCAAGGGAGTCAAATCGCACGACCTTGGTGGCCATGGCACATTTCCTCTGCGCGAAATCACGCGATCACCGAAGAAGGACTGCAATCGATGGATATTGACGTTGGTTGTGTGGCATGTTGCACCGTCTTGTTGGAAATAAACATCGTCCATATCCATTCCTTCAAGTTGTGGCAAAAAATAGTCCTCTATCATCACGTGATATCGCTCAGAATTGACGGTAACGGCGTCCCCGGCCGCATTTTCGAAAAAGTAAGGTCCGATGATGCCTTTTGACCACAATGCACACCACACAGTCACTTTTTAAGGATGCATCGGCTCCTCTTGATACTCACGGGGATTTTCGTTCGCCCAGATGCGGCAGTTTTGCTTATTTGCCGTCCCATTCAAAGTGAAATGCGCTTCGTCGTGATGAAAAATTGGCATCAATTTGGCGGTGTTCAAGGAGCCAATCTGAGAACGTTCGGCACGAAAAATGGTCGGCCCGACGCAGCTCTTGCGTCAATTGGATCTTGTAGGCGTGTACATTCAAATCCTTGTGGAGAATGCGGAGCAAACTGGTTCTCGAAATGCCCAATTCTTGGGATCGACGCGTTGTTGATTGTTTCGGATCGTCTCTCACACTCTCCTTCACAACAGCAATATTTTCCGGTGTGCGAACGCTCCTTGGCCGGCCAGAGCCTGGCAGATTTGCCACAGAACCTGTTGCCTCGAATTTACGCACCAGACGACCGATGGTTGTTTCGTTTGGGCGGTTGTTGCGACCGAAATGTTCACGAAGCGCGCGAAACGTGTTTATGCACCATTGTTGTAGTGCTCTTGAATAACTTTAATGCGGTCTTCAATCGAATACGACTCCATAGCGATCAATTGTAAACATTCAACTAACAAAATGACATGTCGGTGACAGAAAACAAAGATGGCGTCTATGCCAAATTGAAGTTTACTTTCCTGCGTCCCTATTGGACAACCCATTATTTATATTTGTATAGCTACCGAATCATCCTCTGAAGCAAAGAAACCGGATTCAACGCCGACTTGTCAAGTGACCAGCGAGGTTCAACAGCCAAGGCATCAGAGGCATTCTCTCATCGGTTTGTTCACTAGCGAAGGACACCACGGATCAAAAACTGCACCGGCTCACTCTCAGATCAAAGGTACGCTTAAATCAAACGTTTATTCGACGAGAATTTAATAAAAATGAAAAAAGGTGTACACCTGTACGCTAATATTGAGGAATGATTTATTTACGGTAGCACTGATGAATAAAATAAGATATAAGAAAACGTATATTATGTTATATCAATGGGAAGTAATGCCTGAAGTCTTAAAATATGGTCAGGATATAACAAAAAATCCACTAAAAGTCTCCAAACAATTTGATGGCAAATATTTAAGTGTCTAGCGATCTTCCTCGTACTCGTTTCAGGATGTTCTTCGACTTCGCTTCCTCAATTTCAGCTGTTCTCACACTTAGAGGTCAACCTTCAGATGTTCCTTTTCATACAGAACCAGTTTCAACAAGACGACGATGAATATTAGAAAAGGTTCTACTATCTGGCAAAGCACGATCGGGATATCTCTGGTGATAAATCCGTCTGGTTTGCTCACCATTACCGTCGGCAAGGCCATATACGTAATGCATTTCTGCGTTTGAATAATTCACCATTATTAGCAAGATTGTAAAAACTAAATAATGAAAAAGATGTCACCGCGAACAGATTTGAATAACAGAGACTTGTCAGATGTCAAAGGCCAGTGACATATTCCAAAACAACTTGATATTTATTGCAAAATTGCATTCTTCAATTATTACATTAATTTTCTCGGACAATAGAACGGTTTTTATTTTTTTACTCAAAAATGGTGCATCGAAGGAAAATAATTCAAGAAAGATTTGTTTTAAATTGAATGGGAAATTGAAAAATATTTTATTTAGCAAAGGACCATTGGCGTACCATTCTTTTCTTAAAAAATATCGCAACTTTATTAACTTTCACTACGTACTAAATACCAGTGAAATATCTGAAGCGGTTCTGAAAATATTAATTAATTTCCATTTTTTTCCTAAAACTTCAACATCCCGAGTTTTTGTGAGGAAACATTTTTGGACCATAGTTTATAGAGCAAACTAACAATAATTTTTCATATACAAGTAGATCCACATCCTTAAATATTCGCATATCATTAAGGAACACCCTGTAAATTTACTGTTTCGTAATGGCGGGTCGTCTAAGTTGAGCGCGTTTGTACTTTTGCTTATTCTCTAAACGGTATACTATAGTCACGAATGGCCCCTTCTTGCGCTTCAAGTGAAATCTCAATCTTTCACTATCGAAGTCGTCGAAATGTACAACCTTGTGCGTAACCTTAACTTCCAACTCCACACACCTTTATACCGATTATAACTATTGTATCAGTTCATTCAGATCTATTATATCACATTTTGATTTGCTTTCAAGAATCTTCAACAAGTACCAGCCATGTATCTACTCCAAACCAAGGGAATACAGTGAGTAGTGAAGGACATGATACAAACGCAAACGGCAGTTCTGCAACTTGTAATATCCCAGGTATGCTATTGTGATACATATACTAAGTGACATATAAATCCGAACACCCAGTTTAAATGGTTATATTTTAATAAAAGTTGGTGAATGTATTTATCTTACTGTGAATAACAAGTGAAAAAATTTTTAGCCTTATCAGTTGGACATTCCGGTTTTTATAATGCTTTTTTTTAATTCACTAACGCCCTAAAAATGACATCCTTTACGATCGGTAACGATGCCTAGAGTACGGAGACCTGTACGATTTCGTCAAGTTAGTGAGTTTGCTAGGGGCCGTATAGTGGGACTTCGGGAAGCTGGACTTTCTTTTCGGGCAATTGCAGTTAGAGTGCAAAGAAGTGTAGTCACTGTGGTTAGGTGTTATCAGGCATGGCTTCGAGAAGGCCGTACGCAAAGAGCAAGGGGCACTGGACGCCGCCGTAGAACAACAGACCGTGAAGATCGCCGCCTAAGATTATTGGCCTGAAGGGACCGTTTCTCCACTACCAGGTCCATTGGAAATGAATGGTTTGCAGAACACGGAAGACCTATTGGCATGCGAAGTGTTTACCGACGAATGAGAAGTTTTGGCTTGTTTTCATACCGGCCACACTGGGTCCTCCCTTTAACTCGAGAACACCGACGTAATCGCCTTGAGTGGTGCAGACAACGGTCACTCTGGGATCAGGAATGGAACAGTATTGTCTTTAGTGACGAGTCTCGATTTTGTTTAGGCATGCACGATGGTCGTGCCAGGGTTAGAAGGCGACGTGGTGAAAGGAGGAATCCACAGTTTTTTGTTGAAAGACATGTTCATCACACTGTTGGAGTTATGGTTTGGGGTGCTATAGCTTATGGTTCCAGGTCACCTTTAATCTTCATCAGAGGTAACATGAACGCGAAGCGTTATATCCACGAAGTTCTAGAACCCCATCTTTTACCCTATCTTGACACCCTGGCAGATCCAACTTTCCAACAAGATAATGCCCGACCACATGTTGCAAGAGTCACAATAGACTTCTTTCAACATAATGATGTCACATTGTTACCATGGCCACCAAGATCTCCCGGCTTATCGCCAATTGAGCACGTGTGGGATATGATGGGTAGGAGATTGCTCAATTTGCAACGTCCTCCTCAGACTCTAGAAGCACTTCGAGAGGAGTTGGTGGTTGCCTGGAATGAGATACCACAGGAGGACATTGACCACCTGATCAGAAGCATGCCTAGGAGCGTTGGAGAATGCGTAGCACATCAGGGTGCATCCACACATTATTAAAGGTCAAAGGGCTTTAAAGCAGTGCAATCATTTTGAAATTTTTATCATTTACTTATTATGCTTCATTAAGTACTTATACAAAATTTTATTAAAATAAAACCATTTAAACTGGGTGTTCGGATTTATATGTCACTTAGTATATTATTTACACATTTTAGGTGAAACTTCAACAACTCCACTTAGTGCAACCAGCCCGGTAGACGACAGTTCTGGGGAAACATTTAGCAAGCCTCGGCTGCAAAGAATCAAACCTCAAAGTCGTAAGACATTTCGCCTGAAGAGAAGTCGTAAAGGGGAGGTAGGTAACGGCGATTCGTGCAAATTTATCATAAACATGTCTTGGACGTAATTTTTATTAGATAGGGGAAATCTTTTATAGTCGCTTTCGTGCAGGAAAGCTCGATAGTTCCCTTTTATCAGCCCTTTCTTCAGTGTGAGATTCTCCAAAATACGGCATATCCGCTGTAAACCTCCCAAGCGAAATTCATTATGATTTGATATATGATTCTTGGAGGTTTTGAAAAATGTGTTTGTTTTTTTAACTGTAAAATCAATGAACTGTAACTTTTTAATCAATAAATACTTATAGGGTGTTACTCCTAGGGCGCATTCCTGAAACAAACAGCTCCATTGGTCCATTCTTTTTTTATACATTACTTATTTTGTCAAAAATGAGACGTATGGCATTGAATAGTGATTCTATGTATGTACTTTCATTTACGACGTAGAAAAAGGTTAGTCTTTCGTTTTTCAGAGCGAGACGTCGCATACCAGACTAGACTCTGAAGATTGCAGTCCTCCAACGTCTCAACATTCTCATTCGTTGGACATTTATTCGCCTCCATTGACTCCCGTAATAATGACAACGCAGACGGAAGAATCCTGTGGATCACCTTCTGACGGAGCAAAAGATCAACAGGGAACATCAGCGTCGACCGCAGTTATCGACGATAAGAAACAGCAGACACTTTTGTCACAAACCGAGCAAATCGCAACTCAAGATTCTCATCGTTTGCGGATCGCTACTAGAGGAAAGATGACAGATGGATCGTGGGATGAAGACTCGGCCATATCTCAAACGTCCAGCACGTCTGGATATAGGTAAGTTATCCACATATGTAACATATATAGCATATTATAGAATACTGTCATGAATGACACTTCTCAAAATTTACAACACTCGTAGCTTTACTTACAATTCGACACCCGTCTCATTTCCTGTACAAGATTGCATTTTTGGCTCTCCAAGAAAGCGAAACCAGTACAATAGTTGAATAGTTATGTTTGCTTAACCGCTCATAACTTGTCAATAGTTTAAATGATAAATAAATATAAATGATACGACCGCTCCTTTGTCCCGAGTGTGTAGATTGTGGAACAATCTACAAGAGGAAGCTTTTCCCAGTTCTACTAACCTTAGGCAGTTCAAAAATCGTATTAACAAAATTTCGATTCCACCAGTAAATTTCATTCCACTCAAAATCTAATAATTCTCTTCTCACGATTTAATAATAATTTTTAATTTAATTTCCCATTAATTAAAATATAGTTTATTCAACTGCCTCTGGTCGGTTTAACAATTTCTTACATAACATTCTGAAAATCACATCATCTGAAGTGATTTGGTAACGTTGGAACACGCCCACAATTCGTTCCATCTTTCTACACAGACATTGACAACCTTCGGCCTTCTGTCAAAGGGTTCATCTCACTCATTATTCCATGACCACCATTTTGTGCAATCATCAAGTGGCTTCACGATGTAATGCTTTAATGTTTTTAAATAATTTTTAATCTGTTTTTAACTTGTTCTTGTCATATTTTATATAATTTTGACCATTGTACCATCTATCCAGCTCTCACCATGTTACTGGACGTTTCCCTCATCCTATACGTAAACAACAATTAGCAACATCCTCACATATACGTACTACTGTAAGTTGAGTCAATTTAAATTAATTTTACACTATTGTTGCTACTGTTATCATTGTAATTGCAGCTCCTGATGATGATGGCAAAGTCCATTGAAAGCTAGAGAGAATTAAAAAAGTATAAAGAGTCCTCTTTGCTTACATTTTGTCGAAGTACCCAACAAAAGGCGGAAGCTTCAATTTTTCACCTAACTGGTCTAGACGACAATGACCACGTCTCAAGTTATATATATAAAAAAAGTAACATATCAAGATAAAATTGCTTTTTGCAGGGAATCGTATCCCGTAATGCACTTAAAAGAATCCCTAGAGACGTCATTGAAGCCTTTTCCACCTTTAGCGTCTCCGGACATCAACAGCTTTCCGTCTACGAGCAGCGCTGCCACAACGGACAACTTCTTTCACTTGGACAACTCATCTCCAGACTGTTCCCTGAACGAAAATGGTGAAAAGACGGCACTCCTCGGACAAACCGAGAGATCTTCCTCGCAGCATTCGTTGCTGATGGTTTTTGATCATCAGGATGAGACAACGTTTATGTAATATCCAACTAGTCGTTTTCAGTAATTCCTGTTACGGGAAAGTATCGCACCTCCTCGGGGTGGCTATAAAATACAATGAATTTCACGCTGTATATGTATGTATATGGTCGAAAATTGAGAGAACAGATGATTAAGATCATCCACTTCACCATCTACCTAGCAGAAGGATGAATCTCTTAATCTTATTTTGAAAAGGTATGGAGAAATTTTTCTAGTTTTTTTTTATTGATGTTACAATTGAAGGCGTGTGGAATACACGTTTTATGTAGCAGATAGTATGTGCTCTATAAAAATAATAAACAAATCTCTATACAATGGTAGTTTTTCTCTAGTTCTTGAAGTATTGGATATTGACTAAAATTAGCTCACAAATCAGACTAACAATTTTGTCAACTGATAAGTAATGTATTGCCAGATGTCGAGAAGCTCTTAGAAGGAATCATACGTATATATGAACACGTCATCGAATATATTGAAGAAAATAAGATATTGACAAAATTTCAAGCAGGATTCAGAAAAAAGTATTCTACTGAAACAGCAATTTAAATGGTAGTAGAAGAATGGAGACGAAATATGGATGAAAAAAAGTTTACAGTAACATTGTTCTTAGATTTCAAGAGAACATCTGAGACTATTGACACGGAGGAATTGTTAACGAAATTGCATTGCTATGGATTTCAAGGTTCACTGTTCGACTTATTACAAAATTATTTAATCAATAGAAGTCAAAGAAGCAATACATTATCAAACATTAAAAAATTTTCGGTAGGTGTGCCACAGGGTAGCAAATTAGGTCCATTACTATTTATTTTACATATTAACGATATTCCTGGTATTTTACAACACTGCAAAATTCAACTATTTGCAGATGATACATTAATATATATATCTTTAGATCAAAATACGATAAATCTTACAATTCATCATGAAAAAATTTTGTCAATCGAATCATTTAAATATAAAAATTCCAACAAATTGCCCTATATAGTATTAACCACGATACACGTGCACTGCAGTAACGTTATGACAATCCTGCCGCTGGTAGCCACGAGCCGACAACTCTCTGGGTGACATCACGAAGCCCCGCCCACATGCGCAACATCCTATCTTCAGTGTACTCGTATGTGTATCGTGGCTAGTATTCTCCAACGCATGTGGACAAAAGATAATCAGGTAAGAATTTTCGATGCAGCGAGTCATCTCTTATGTTTTGGGAGAATATATAGAAATTAGATCCTTTACATCAGTTTATGATAAGCATCAGGAATTTGATTTGAATTATGATGGGATAGAAGAGGAAGCGATAGATCGAACCTGTTCGGTTTTCCTCGATTTTTGTAAGGTATAAATAGTCGAATGGCTTGTAGGGATGCGAAGACTTTTAAACTGATGAGGACGATCCAAAGGAAGTACCAGATGATACCAGATCTTCCGCTTATAGCAGCATATATAATAATCGTACAGAGAATACAGTTATTTTTGACGGCATTTCGTGGCTGGTATACATAGTTCACGAAGGCTTATCGTGTCTGCTTACATTTTTCGCTGCTTTTTTATGATACTGACACGTGTATAGTTCTTTATACATACAGGGTGACTTCGAAGTTGAGTCATTTATTTTAACAGTGAGTAGATCTGATCAAAAGAAATGTTTTTTTCCTTTACCATTTTTCTGGTAAAATTAAAGTCACAAAGTTATAGCCCTTTGGAAGTTTTAGTACCGCCCTGTCCCAGTAATAATATTATGTGCTCGTGTTTGGCAACAACGGATATAATCCGCCTTATCGGTTCATCGCATCGGAAACAAAAAAGCGAAAGAATTTGGAACGATGTTTTTACAATTATTTCATTCAGTTGTATACAGTCAGTGGCAGTCGGTAACGCGTGAGTGAATAGTGGTGTCTGTTGCGTGGCTCAAACGAAATAAAAAATGGCACATGTTTACGAAAATGCTGAACTTGTGGACATGATTTTTATTTACGGATGGGGAGTCTTTACAAAATGCTGCCGTGGCATCACGGATTTATGCGGATCGGTTTCCCAATCGAGTGCAACCAACCCCTCGTGCCTTTGTTAATGTAGTACAATGGGCTCGTGAATCAGGTGACTTAAGACCTCACAGGGGACGGCATGCCGGTGCTCCAAGACCGCACGATCAAATACAGGTCCGCACTGAAATACTTGTCGGGAGGATACTTTATAAAACAAGGTAACATTTTTTTTTTAATTTTTTTTTTATTTTTACACACATATTTTGGTTTATCTTCCTTCTACAATCATTATCTGAAAATTAATGACAACTTCAAAGTCACCCTGTATATACTGACTGACAGAAAAGGTAAACACCTACGTATGTTTATCCGATTTTAGTAATTTTTGGCATATATGTTCAGTGTCCCTTACTGATAAATTGGTTAAATTTTCAACTTGATTCATCAACTGACTGCAGAAACTGGTTCAAAATGTGCTGAGGATACACTAATTGATTAAGTGTGTAAAATAATTATATTCCAAAAGTATAAATAAGTAGAACTCACAGCATTTGTAAAACGTCAGTCATCTAACTGACACAACGAGGCTACACCCCTGTTGATCCAGTGCTTTTCTGGCAGATTTGTAGCGAAAGACATGTACATGACAAAGTTAGTTGAATGACCTGTTGTGGACAACACTCCTCTTCTCGCCGACGTCTTGTACACGGGACAATTGTAGGATTGTTCTGGTTTGAATTTAGCTATTTCGGCTGGTTTCAACCATATCACGGGGACGGTGTCGAACAGGATCTTTGGAAAGGACTCGTTCAGCATGTTTAAGTTTCTGTCCCAGCGGGCTCCCTCCAGAAACAGACCCTGTGACACAGCAAAACAACATGTAAGAACCTGAATTATTACGTGTATTTTTGAACTTAAACCCTTAAATTAATTAAAATTTTAAATGGAAGCCTATGTCCGTATCTAATGTCTACTTTATACATCTACTATAAAACATATTAAAATCGGTACCGCCGGTTTGGCATGAAAACGGAACGTACAATCCATTTCACGGTTTTTGGCAGGCCAAACTTAAAGTTTTGTAAGCAAAATTTGGAGTTATCGTAGACCAAAATTTATGCTTCAGTTTCACATTAAACGACGGGGTCGAGGAACTTATTATGTTATGTCACAGCTTAGGTGCAAAATTTAGTCTGAAAATTGGGAGCTACTTTTGCCACGTCTACTCCATACAAAAAAGTGTTAGTACCCAAAATAATTTTTGGAGGCAAAACAAAATCAAAATGCTACGAAAAATATGGTGCCATCATGCTAGATGAAAATACATGCATTACTCACTGCTATCAAAACACTGAACTCTTCTATTTCTTTGCATTGCTGTATATAAAATTTTTTATTAAAATGATGTTAAACGTTCGGACATAAAATCAAGTTACCTTGTCATATTTTTCTATTTCTTCCAATTGCTGCTTGAAAATAGAAAGTAGTATTATAGATATTCTACGCTTATATTTCCATTAAAAGCACCACTTATTTATTTGTCCGTGAAATACATTTGATATCGGAGTTTATTAAATTCGATACCTTGCAAAAAACGCCATAAAAAGGACAGACGTCTGGTTCTGTTTCGAATTTCGAAATGTAATATTCAAAGTGAATCCAGTCTATCGGAAGCTTCCGCTTTCTGGAGAAATTCTGCAGGATGCCAGTCAAGAATGATTGGGTGAAGTAAAACCCGGAGATCCAGAACACGTTGGGTGTCCCACCGTCGATCCAGTCTTGAAAAAATTTCAATCTGGAACCATAGTAAATATTTTCAAACTGTTTATAAGACGTGGGAGCAATATGCTTTTCGTCATTGTAGGATACACTACTTTTTCTACAGGTTTTAAAAAAGGCTGTTGTGGTACCTTGCGATCAAATCCGTTACATAAGACCCTAGTGGTTTCAAGCTAGGGTAACTTTTGCTCGCCCAAGCGGTAGGCACTTTTCCTATAACCAGCGAGTTGCAAGTTTCCTCTAACTCAGCAGACATCACTACCAATCCTGCAACTGCTTTTATCATGTCTCTGAGAGTCCTTTTAACAACTACCACCAGCCTGTTGAATCTTATTAGCTCCTAAAACAATACGTACGGATATCATAAAGTTTATAGAATTCGTCCAGCTAGTGAAACGCTCCCGAAGTAGAAAATGGCAGTTAGTCAATTTCCAGGTACCTAGCTATTTGCAAGGCTTCGTCAAACTCGTTCGCCAAATTTTTTTCTCAAAGATAAAATTATTGCATTAAGAAACAAGCCTTCTTACCTGTCTCAAAACTGTATTCATGGAATTTTTATACATCACAGGGTATTTCTTGCTGACATCTTCTACATTGAAAACATCCGGGACTTTACTAAGTATATCATTGGCCAAGTCAATGATCATATCTTGAGTATCTTCACCACCTCCACCAGCCGTTATTTGGGTTTGCGTCAACAGAACGCCTTGCAAAAGCTACAAAGAAATGGCGCTAGCTAAAATTTTAACGACGTTATTTCCGAGACCGGTACCAGGTACTTGGAGAAACTTTCCAGATAACCAAACAAAAACGTATATATATACATCTACATAAACTTGCCCTAAAACCCCCACTTCTATTGCTCAAGAAATAACTTTTTTGCCACAAAAAACGCTCCAATAGCTATTTTCAACAACAAAATGATAAACAAACCATTACTTATTAAGTAAATAAATTCGTTTAGTCAAATTTCTTCTGAAAGTAGTACAAACTAATCTCATGTACCTATTAAAGTCTACTTTAAGCTTTAAATCAATAAATCTTCAAAACTACTGAACTGACGCTCATGTATTTTACATCATTAAAAAGGGAATTGAAAGACCTTTAAAATAAGGTATCACTCGACCCCCTTTCCATTTAAGATTTTAAGGTTGGTGTCACCCCCGCCCAGGGGGTTGCACGTGTTAACGTGATTTTTTGCCAAACTTGTGTCCTCCTCGAAAACAAAATCCATGGGTCTGAGCGTTTAAAAAAAAAATGAGCTGCCAGTAAATGCGTCGTAAATGTAGATGCAAACGATACCAAGTATGGGTAAAAGCACCTCAAATCATATGGAGTGTAGTGTTACAACCTTTGTTTTAATAGTCACCAAACTACTATAGTTACTAGTATCTGCTTGCATCTGGTACCGTCTACTACTTTTTTTTACATTGTCAGTTTCTCTTTTAAGTATAGAAACAAAATATTAATAATCATAATAATAGAAATGCGCATATACAGGGTGTCCCAGAAGTCGACGTCAAGCCAAAACCGGGTGATAGGCAAAGTCATAACAGCTATCAGAAAAATATTTAAAAAAATTTTATGTATGTGTTTTGAAAATTATAGGTCTTTGAAAAAGATATAGAAATTTCACACCCTACGGCAGTCTGTCAACTCCTGTTACTACAAATATTAACTTTTTTTGGATTTTATTTTTACAATGTAATGATGAATATTGCAACTTCAAACTGGTGTCTCAACCTTACTGCCAACTTTTCTGGTTCAGGAAAAATTGCCACTTATTTCCCAACCAAGTATTCCAAAGTAAAAATTTGCTCAACTTTAACTGGCTGTACTGGAAAAAAATGTAGTACGAGAGTTTGGCAAGTAACCTTAAAAGTTGGCGCATTTTATAACGATTCCAAAATGGTATAACACTTAGAAGATTACTCGTTAACTTATGCACAATTTTTATTTGAAAAAAACTGATGAAAATTTTTCAAAATTTCCTAATTAAACAGCGATTATGAACACGCACCAGTGGGCGTCAAAATGCTGCTGCTGATGATTTACCTTTACAGCAAATGCTCAAACTGTTTTCCTTCAGCCGCAATACACGCTCGACATCTTCTTAAAAAAGATTATTAACAAACTCAGCTGCTTCCAATAGTATTTGCCGTAGCTCAGCTACATTTTGAATCGGCTTGAAATAAACTTTTTCTTTTAAAGTTCCCCAGTAAAAAAATCTAAAGGATTCAAATCAGGTGATCGGGCTGGCCACGGTATTTTTCCAGACCGCCTTATCCAGCTGCCTGGAAAGTTTTGATCGAGATACTCTCTCACTGAGAGTGCATAGTGCGCTGGGCAGCCATCATGCTGAAACCACTCAATATCGCTTCAAGATAAACCATTGGACAGGAATTTTAAATGGTAAAATAATCGGTCCGTTTGAGTTCCCAGAGACTTTGACTGCTGAGGTTTATTTAGGTTTTTTGCAAAATCATTTAGAAAATTTATTGGAGGACGTGCCACTGAGTATTTACAGGGACATGTGGTTTCAGCATGATGGCTGCCCAGCGCACTATGCCCTCTCAGTGAGAGAGTATCTCGATTAAAACTTTCCAGGCAGATGGATAGGGCGGTCTGGTACAATACCGTGGCCAGCCCGGTCACCAGATTTGAATCCGTTAGATTTTTTTTACTGGGGAACTGTAAAATAAAAAGTGTATTTCAAGCCGATTCAAAATGTAGCTGAGCTACGGCAAAGACTACTGGAAGCAGCTGAGTTTGTTAATAACCGTGGATTCGCTCGTTTAATAACCCGATCTTTTTTAAGAAGATGTCGAGCGTGTATTGCGGCTAAAGGAAAACAGTTTGAGCATTTGCTGTAAAGGTAAATCATCATCCTTAAGGGTCCTTGTGCGTTTTCATAATCGCTGTTTAATCAGGAAATTTTGAAAAATTGTGCATAAGTTAACGAGTAATCTTCTAAGTGTTATACCATTTTGGAATCCTTATTAAATGCCCCAAATGTTAAGGTTACTTGCCAAACTCTCGTAGTACATTTTTTTCCAGTACAGCCAGTTAAAGTTGAGCAAAGTTTTACTTTGGAATACTTGGTTGGGAAATAAGTGGCAATTTTTCCTGAACGAGAAAAGTTGGCAGTAAGGTTGAGACACCAGTTTGAAGATGCATTATTCATCATTACATTGTAAAAATAAAATTCAAATAAAGTTAATATTTGTAGTAACAGGAGTTGACAGACTGCCGTAGGGCGTGAAATTTCTATATCTTTTTCAGAGACCTATAATTTTCAAAACACATACATAAAATGTTTTTAAATATTTTTCTGATAGCTGTTATGACTTTGCCTATCACCCGGTTTCGGCTTGACGTCGACTTCTGGGACACCCTGTATGTAAAAATATGGAGTCACATACGATTGCCGTTTCTTGGTTGTCTTTCGTAATATCCGCATTTTCATGCAAACCATACACCTCTGGCATTGGATTTAACGGTAGAGACTTTATGTAGTTGACACAACCATCATAGCTGACGTCATCAGGGACGTGGTAGATACCACTTGGTGAAAACGTATACCTGCAAGCAACAAATACGTTATTTTGACAATCAATTGTTTCAACAATTTCGGAACTTGCACTATAGTCTAAAAGCATATAAGCAAATTTTCCCGAAATAATCGTAAAGTCTGAGTTTATTGGTGCAAGTTGTTCAAGGGGATTTTTAAAACATTGACGCATAAAATGGGTACATCAATTTTTGTGGGATAACTTTTTATTCGACAACAAAGAATGAGAAAACGTGTTTTTTGGGATTCAATCGAAAGTGTTGATAGGAACGACGATTTTATGGTATTTATCAGACCTACAGAATGAGACCACACGTTAAAAGGTCAAAAAGTTATGGCCGAAAGCCGAAGCAAAATGCAGGTTATGGTTCTTGAAATTCTTCGAATCCGTGAGATTTATACTTCTAAATAACAGCAACAAAATTGGAGTATGTTAGTCAAGTAGTTTTTTGAGTATTTTTAATTGTCTATCCCAAAACACCTGTTTTCCGGCCATCATTACTAGTTTATTGAGCAATATACAAGGTTCGTTTAAAGAGCATTTAATAGCAAAATACACGTGTTTACCTTGCCGATATGAGTTACAAACCATTCCGAAAGATAAATGTTATTTTTATGCGAAACGCAAGAGTTACGTTTTTTTCTTAAACAAAATCAAACATTACGTATTTGTGAGTAATTGAACAAATGCGCTACGACGTAACTATACTCATTTTAAAACAAAGCGAATGTGTCGATCACCTTTTGTTGCGAATTACCCACAAATACGAAATTTTTGAATTTGTTTAGAAGAAAAAACGTAACCCATTCTTTTTTGCATGAAAATAACATTTACAGGTATATTCCGGAATGGCTTGCGATTCATATCGGCAAGGTAAGCTAGTGTATTTTGCTATAAAATGTCCTTTAAACTAACCCTGTATATTGCTCAATAAACTAGTAGTAATGGCCGGAAAACAGGTGTTTTGGTATAAACAATTAGAAATTCTCAAGCGACCATCGTCGCATTACCAACAACTGCAGTGTTCCTCGGTCTTCGGCCATAACTTTTTTGCTATTAGTCGGATCTTTTTACGTGTGGTCTCGTTTTTGTAGGTCTCATAAATAGCTAAATATCGTATATGAAGAGTTTTTCCGTTACTGCCAATACTTTCGATTGAATCCCAAAAAACACGTCTTCTGATTCTTTGTTGTCGAATAGAAAGTTATCCCACAAAAATTGGTGTACCCATTTTATGCGTCCATGTTTTAAATACCCCGTTGAACAACTTGCAGCAATAAAACTAGATTTTACAATTATTTCGCAAACCAGGGTATTATACTAAGTGACATATAAATCCGAACACTCAGTTTAAATGGTTTTATTTTAATAAAAGTTGGTGAATGTATTTATTTTACTGTAAATAACAAGTGAAAAAATTTTCAGCCTTATCAGTTGGACATTCCGGTTTTTATACTGATTTTTTTCAATTCACTAACGCTCTAAAAATGAATATTTCAGCCGCAGTAAAGAATCAACGTTGGCGGATTTTGGTTCTTGACATCCTTTACGATCGGTTACGATGCCTAGAGTACGGAGACCTGTACGATTTGGTCAACTTAGTGAGTTTGATACGGGCCGTATAGTGGGACTTCGGGAAGCTGGACTTTCTTTTCGGGCAATTGCAGTTAGAGTGCAAAGAAGTGTAGACACTGTAGTTAGGTGTTGTCAGGCATGGCTTCGAGAAGGCCGTACGCAAAGAGCAAGGGGCACTGGACGCCGCCGTAGAACAACAGACCGTGAAGATCGCCGCCTAAGATTATTGGCTTTAAGGGACTGTTTCTCCACTACCAGGTCTATTGCAAATGAATGGTTTGCAGAACACGGAAGACCTATTGGCATGCGAAGTGTTTACCGACGAATGAGAAGTTTTGGCTTGTTTTCATACCGGCCACACTGGGTCCTCCCTTTAACTCGAGAACACCGACGTAATCGCCTTGAGTGGTGCAGACAACGGTTACTCTGGGATCAGGCATGGAACAGTATTGTCTTTAGTGACGAGTCTCGATTTTGTTTAGGCATGCGCGATGGTCGGGCCAGGGTTAGAAGGCGACGTGGTGAAAGGAGGAATCCACAGTTTTTTGTTGAAAGACATGTTCATCACACTGTTGGAGTTATGGTTTGGGGTGCTATAGCTTATGGTTCCAGGTCACCTTTAATCTTCATCAGAGGTAACATGAACGCGCAGCGTTATATCCACGAAGTTCTAGAACCCCATCTTTTACCCTACCTTGACACCCTGGCAGATCCAACTTTCCAACAAGATAATGCCCGACCACATGTTGCAAGAGTCACAATAGACTTCTTTCAACATAATGATGTCACATTGTTACCATGGCCACCAAGATCTCCCGACTTATCCCCAATTGAGCACGTGTGGGATATGATGGGTAGGAGATTGCTCAATTTGCAACGTCCTCCTCAGACTCTAGAAGCACTTCGAGAGGAGTTGGTGGTTGCCTGGAATGATATACCACAGGACATTGACCATCTGACCAGAAGCATGCCTAGGCGCGTTGAAGAATGCGTAGCACATCAGGGTGCATCCACACATTATGAAAGGTCAAAGGGCTTTAAGGCAGTGCAATCAATTTGAAATTTTTATCATTTACTTATTATACTTTATTAAGTACTTATACAAAATTATATTAAAATAAAACCATTTAAACTGGGCGTTCGGATTTATATGTCACTTAGTATATTAGTAAAAATAAGCGCACCGTTTTCAACTTATTTTTGTTATTTCTCAAACGATCTGGTAGGTAAATAACATTGGTGTATGCTGAAATGTTTTTAAGGGTGTTTAGGGGTGTTTAGTTGATTTTGGTTCCGAAAATAACACTTTAGCAGCTCTAGTTTCTCGGTTTACACAAAATTTATGTTTTCTTGATACTTGGAGAAAAAAGTCTTTCTTAATATGTCCCTGGATCAGGTGCCTATTTTAGATCCAGATGAAGATTCCATCAGTAATCAGCGATTATATCCGTCCCACCTCCTTTGGTAACGTTCTTCCATTGTGCGAATATTCTGATGGAACCTTTCACTATAATCTCCAAGATTTTCAGGTCCCTAATCGATTCAAAAGAGAATGGTTCATATTTTTGTAGGCTCATCTTTTGCTAAAATTTTCTCAGTACTCCAAATTTTCTTCTATGACAAAATAGGGCAGCAAATCTTTCTCGCAGATACGAAAAAATGTAATTTTTGTTTCTTTCAAACGAGATGCCAATCCAGAATGCTCTTTAGATCGATTTTATTCCTTGTTGGCGTTTAACTCACTTTGATTGACGATTATACTCGAGCACCGAAAACGAAGAGAACAGCAAAACGCATCGCACGCCACTGCCATCGCGGTATTTCTTTGAATACGTGCACTTTTTTGTCAGTTCTGCTGCTTTGTTCGTTTTCAGTACCAGATTTAGATTCATGTCGTTCTTCTTCAGAATTTATGTCGTCAGGTCAATTCCATTCATTTAGAACACTACATATTCCTTGCATTTATTTTTATCTGTAATGTAAGGCTGTATTATACTTTAACCAATATGTTTTAGAACTTGAGATTATTTTAATCCTGATTTACGAATTCCGGCAACACCGCTGAATAAGGAAAGTATAACTTTACGAAATAATCCCTCGCCTGATCAACGTTAACTAGCGATGCGAAACTAGGGAAGATAATAACGAAGCAGCAAAACAAGAGCTCTAAAAGCTCTCTAATATTCCTACCGTGCTTTATTTACTGCATCGGGCGTATAGAAAATAGAAAGTAGAGAGTTCAATAATCGCCTATCTTTGTCGTCAGTTACTCGTCCTCCATAGTTGCATTCTCCTGTCAGATACGTTAACGCGTCATAAGGGATATCGACGTATTCTGTCAAGAACATCTAAAAAATAAAGTCTGAATGCAATAATGTATAAGATATTAACAAGTAAATTGTTACTATGGATTTAAGTGATTTTTCTCAACACTAACTTCTTAAATGACCTATTAGAAGAAAAAAAGTTCCCATTGACAAATATTTTGACGTGTCCCGGTGGTTTTCGATAAATCCGTGGTGGGAAGTATATATTTTGGATCAGAAGAAAGGGACAATCATTTTCCCTGAAGATGCACAGGGTGTCCCATTTGGAAAATACAAGTTAATTAAATAGCACTTTTTTGGGACATCCTGTATACAAAATAATATTACACGAAAAACTTTATACAACTTTTTCTTCTGGAAGGTTATATAAGTCAATTTATAGTCGGACACGTTGTACCTGAAGTTGCAATGCACAAATCCTCAAATCAGACTCATTAAACTCGTAAGGAATGTTCCATCCGAGCGGCCCGAACTTTCTTCTTTCTTGTACCAATGCGTGGAAGAAGCACAACGCAAATAAAAGTCGCTGGAATCCTTTTCGATTCGGGCAGGCCAAGAAGAACTCGGGGTCAGATATCGGATCAGAACCGTAGGATCTTAGTAAATTTTGTCTTAAGCCCTTGGGTGCTTCGTTAGTCATTTTAACACCTAAAAATCAATAGATAATTAGGTAATTCTACTTCGGCAACCAATAGGAAGTCATGTCTATTTTGCTGCTAAGGGGTCGTTCAAGTATTACGTGAGCATTATGGGGGGGCGGGCGGTCTTTGCTTTGGTTATTTTGGATGGCATGGGAGGTAGGGGAGTCTAGATGATGATTACGTCATCGGTAGTTATTTACTTTTTACACGAATGGCAACCCTCACATTGTCTTTGCTTGAAAACGAAACGCATTTTCGGGGATTCCCGCAAATAATGCATACGTTTAGTGAACAGCGCGCGGTAATTCCCCTACTCGCTTTAGAACCGAGTAGGGGAATTACCGCGCGGTGTTCACTTGTCTAAATTTCCTCTATCAGTGTATTGTTTCGTTCGGATACTATAGCGAGTAGACGTATTGTAAGCATAGTAAAGCAAGTTAACATTTGTGTTACCATTGATTCCATTAGCCAAAGTTTAATGTTTAAATAAGTTGTCGTTTCACATAGACAAATCCAAGTTATACCAAAAATTGTTTGAAAGTTTTAAAAAATCTCATACAAGTACGAAAGTACAAAATGTACAAAAGTTAGTTAACGAAGTGTGGCGAAATTAAAAGCAACATTTGACAAGGAACTAGATATTATTGTATCTAAGAGAATCGAAGAAGAATTGCATGCGGCGACTAAGAATAAATCCAATCCACTAAACTTTTTTTCTAAGGTGACTGACAGTACCTACTAGAAATATTAGAAATCGCCAAAAAGTTTCTCTTTACTGATTAGAAAATATTATGGCTTATCTAAAAGTATAGAGGTAATATTCATTATATTATAGATTTATTTCTTATGATTGATTCCGTCAATTAGTCACAAAGTACAGGATGTTAGTTTTATACATATACAGGGTGTTCCATAATTATTGCGACAAAATGATAGGGGTTGTAGAGGGCATAAAAATATGCAATTTTGCCTTATAAACCCCTGTTCGTAAATATGCCGTTTGAGCACTGACAGTTAATTTTACCTTAAGAGCTCATAGGAGAAACAAAAAATTCACCAGCTGCAAAATGTTCGTCTAGCACATTTCATGGTCTCGCCGGTTTGTAGAAAAAGCCTGCTGTGTTTACATTTTTGTTATCGTACACCCGTACCACCTTTTAAAAGTCCAAGCCATGGGTCCAGCAGACTATCTGCCGCGTCGACGTTTTTGTCGTTGGTGGCTGCAGCAGGAGTTGAGGCAACCAAACTTTGGTCGCTACGTTTTGTTCACTGACGAGTCCTGTTTTACAAAGGACGGTTATTTTAATAGCCGTAACAGTCACATTTGGGATGAAGAAAACCCTCATGCCATAGCCATCCATAGAGACCAACATCAGTTTTCAATTAACATCTGGTGCGGCATTGTGGACGAGCATATCATCGGGCCGTATCTGCTTCCACCACTTTTGGATGGGCATGCTTATGGTCGATCCTTACAGCATGTGCTACCGGAACTATTAGAAAATGTGCCACTGAATATAAGAGCCAACATGTGGTTTCAACACCATGGCGGTCCAGCCCACTTTTCTTTACAAGTGCGGCAGTTTTTGGACGACAAATTTCCAAATAGGTGGATAGGCCGAGGTGGCCCTGTGCCTTGGCCTGCGCGGTCACTTGACCTGACTCCACTGGATTATTTTATCTGGAGCTATCTGAAAGCTTTAGTGTACGAAACTCCTGTTCCCAACCAACAAGAGCTACTGGGAAGAGTGATGGCCGCGTCCGCACATGTTCAGGACATACCGGGGGTATGCCACAGAGTTCGCCGATCATTGAACAATCGTGCACAGGTGTGTATTGAGCAAGGCGGAGGACACTTTGAGCAATTACTGTAGGTAAGCTGTTTCAAGAAACTGATCTTTTTTTTTGCTGCAGCCCAAACGGCATGTTTCCGAACAGGGGTTTATAAGGCAAAATTGTTCATTTTGATGCCCTCTACAACCCCTATCATTTTGTCGCAATAATTATGGAACACCCTGTATATGTTAGCGGCGCCGCTGTGACTACCCATAATTCCCTCTCAAAAGGGTGAAATGATATCGTTATCTTCTGCGACGGAAGGAGAAGCACGAGGGGTCCGGGGACGACTACTACCTGCGACCCCTCGCAGGTAGTAGCGAAGATGACGACAGTCACGTACCTACAGCCAAACAAATTGTGCCTAAATACGGAGTAAATGGTGGTACTCGGAATAAAGTATTGATTGGGGATAGACGTGTATTTTTTTGGGGTAAAAGCCAAATCAAATCTACCCCGTTTCTTACATATATAGAAAACTAACAGCCTGTATTTTGTGACCGGAACGAATTGCTCGTTTAAACATATTAGATTTAAAGCCATAGGGTTTTGTATTTACCATATATATTGCCATACTTTGTATTTATGTAGCTTAATAAGAGAATCTTTAGCAGAAGCCATAGAAAGTTTATATTTTTATTCAACCTGTAAACCTGCAGAAAAAACACAAATTATACAGTCAGCTTCAAATATTAAAAAAGAGGAAGAAGATAAAATAAAACCCGGTAATGGATCACAACAGCAATGCAAAATTAATGAAAATACAGATAAACAGAGAGCAAAACCTTCTCAGGAAGCTATGAAAAATAAGATTGCTTTACTCGAAAAAAAATGGAATGCTTTGTATTCTACCAGAAATACTATGCCAAGCCGTGCTGAAGTTGATAAACAGATCATTAAGTTGCGCGAGGAAATAAAAACAGCAAAATAGTCTTTAAACAGGAAGGTACAAAACGCAGTTGCCCAGAAGAAACACAGGGATGGTATGAAAAGAAAATTAGAAGATATTTGTCATGAAAATCCAGAAATAAAAAAAAGACTATCTCTGAGGGATTCAGTGGGACGTCCTAATCTTGAAAGCAATCAACATTCACTATTTAGAAAGATCTTATTTCGAATTTGCAGGAAATGTATTAGCTGAAGTATGGAGTTCAATGGAAATTGATGGCCATAATGTTGGGGCAGGTGAACAAGATCTTCCTGATTTTCCAGACATTAAATATCCATAAAAAATAAACACGCACACTGATAGGAAAGTTAGACCTGTAAGAGTCGCTGCTCGTCGTGCTAATGAACTGATGTGCATTATTCAAAATTTAGAGCACCATGATGTTGAATGGCTCGATGAGAACGAAAAAAAAAATCCGATGAAAGCGAGCGAACTCACAACACTGAGCAGCAATCGAAGCAATCCAATGTCATCGAAAACTTAGAATCATGGGTCCTGGTTTCATGGACTGAAGATTGTTAATTTGAATTTAATATGTGTACCAAAAATATAGAATAAGTTTGTTATGTTAGTAATATATAATATTTTTGTCCTTTACTCTATCTTGAATACCGTATTAGTAAAATATAATCTCTATCCTAAATCTATTTTCTTATTTTTCAAATTATAATTATAACGTTATAATTATAATATTAAAAAAACAATACATTAGTTGACAAATGTTTACGTAAGCATGGGGGGAGGAGGTAAGAGCTTTGCTTACTTTTGCTGACAAGGGGGATGGGGGGTAAATAATTGTAATAAATCTGCTTACGTAATACTTGAACGGCCCCTAACCTACCGTGTGACAACAAGTAGTGAGACGAATGAGGCTGAGCAAGGTACCAGACGAGAAAAGCAGGAACAATAAATTTGTCTGTGCTGGGTATATGAGGAAGGAGATAATGGGTACCTATACATTTAGTATGAATCTTAACGCGATGCTACCCACCATGGCCAAATGCTGGGATAGGTTTCCATGGTCGCGTACCACTAAGAGGTTTCACGTTGAGGTTTCGTAGCAATGTCATGCGTTAACCGGAATGTCTACCTCCTTCCCCCGATCAAAATCAGTAATTGCTTTATAGCTAAACATACCATTTTGCAGTATGGCAACTGGGAAAGCTTTGCTCGGATAGCTGGTCAACCATAGCCTAAAATTAGGATTAGCAACTTCAGGAACGATAACCTCGTCACAAATTCTGTCCAACTCTCTCATCCAGCTCTCTGCTAGATGGCAGTTTTGTAAGACAGCCCATTGACCTGTCTCTAGTCCTGTGTTTATCATGTTCGCTGCAATTGGACCCTGAAGCAAGTAAATGAAACAGTCTTTTTCAACTTTATGTTGTTCAAACCTCACGTTTTTAGCAAACATGACCACTTTATTGCCAAATTTTCTTTGATTATTAAAAGAATTAATAATTTATTACAGTGGACCGTCGGTAATCCGACAAACATTATGCAGGTCAGTGTCGGACTATCGAATTTGTCGGATTATAGAGCACTGCCTAAGACCCCCTATAGTCCGGATTTTTTTACAAAAGACTACCTTCTAATCCGACAAATTACATATCCAATGGTAAGCTTATTTATGTTATGTATATGTATGTACTTTGAAGTACAAATCATACATAGTTTATGTATGTCGAATTTAGTAAATTAAATAACAATAGAGAGCTTACGTTTTATTATAAAATTAAGCATAAATGCACATACATATGTACCAAAATAATCAAGAATTATGAATCAAAATCATTAATGAATTTATTAAATTATGAAGCTTGGAAATATCATTTTTTTTGTTTAAGGTTGTTATGACGCGAGATCACAGCTTTGTCCCTCAGTCTTCTCAAAAGTAAAAGTTCGATGTAGGATGTACCATTCTCTTCAGCCCATTGTAAACCTAGCTCAAAGGCGTTAATTGCGTCTTGTGCTGTGACTTGTGAAGCAGTTGCAATCACGTCGTCGTTATTTTCCTGATTGTTTGTTGTCTAATTAGAAACCTCTTTTATAATCTCTTCGTCAGACATTTCATGAAAAACATTTTCCTCTTTATCCATTCCACGGCACCAGATTTCCAAATCTTCCGGACTTATCTGTGTTTCAGTAGCGACTTGTTCTGCAACTTCCGAAGTAACGCTGATTTGTGGAACGTTGCTAGGAGTGGTGACTATATCTGGCCATAACTTTTTCCAAGACGATTTAATAGTTGATGACGGTAACGCATTCCACGACTGACAAAGAGCAAAAACCAAGTCTTTCTTATTAAATTCTTTTAAAGTTTTTTCTATCGGTTGGCCTTTTGATACGGCTCTCAGAAGTAGGTTTTTCTTATAGTCTTGCTTGACAAACTGAATGATATTCTGGTCCATTGGTTGAATCAGTGCAGTGCAATTTGGCGGAAGAAACATCGCAGTGATGCATTTATCCTCAGTTGTTAGTTCTTCTTCAGACGGATGACCGGGAGCGTTATCAGGAAGCAACAACGCTTTTTGAGGAAAATTATGATCTTTTAACCATTTTCTAACTTCAAGTACGAAGCATTCATCAAACCACTTTTTGAAGAGGTCTTTTGTCATCCATGCACTTTTTTTGTCCGTAATAGTGTACAGGTAAATCAATGTTTTTGAATGCCCGTGGTTTATTAGATTTCCCAATCACCATCATCTTAAGCGCGTGTGTGCCCGCAGCGTTAACACATGGTAGTATGGTTACACGCTCTTTACTTACTTTTCGTTCAGGTACGGATTTTTCGTTACAAGAAACGAAAGTTTTGTTAGGCATCACACGCCAAAAAAGCCCTGATTCGTCTGCATTGTACACCTGTGACGGGTCAAGATTTAAGTCGTTCACCTTTAGCAAAAATCTTAATTTAAAGGGCTCTATGCAGGTGGCATCGTTAGAAAGTTTCTCTCCTGTAGTAGTCATTAAACGTATGCCATGACGACTTTTAAAACGTTCTCGCCATCCTTTGCTGGCCACAAAATCATCTTTTTTTGTTATTTCCTTATAAAAAAAACTTAGCTTTCATGGCCAACATGGGTCCTGAAATTGATGCATGCCTATTTCTTTCCTGAAGAAACCACATGTACAAAGCTTCTTCCAGTTCTGGATGTTCAGCTTTCTTGAGTGTCTATCTCCTGCCTGGCCCGCCCGTAGTCAGTAGTTGACACGAACTTCTGGATCTTCTCGTGGTTTCTTTTAATGTCATAGATTGTAGATCGACTTACGCCGTATTCATTTTGTTTCCGCGTGTTACGAACAATTTGCCCGACGTGGCAACAGTGGGAAGAGTTGAGAGAACTATAACATACAGTCCACACGTTTATTTCTAAGAGCACAAAACTGTCTCTAAAATTGTTAAATGTAGTGTCAAATACCCATTGTAAGTTGTGAAACGTCTAGTAGCAGACTACAACACTGTACAAAGAGAATAAACCCGACTCACCACCGGAAAAGGAACAAATAGCTGTTATTTCACCCCCAAGGCCAACTACCTCTCTCAACACACTTGCTAAACTACTGAAAGTTTCATTGCGATTTAAGCGGTCTAAAATATCACATTTTTCTTTAATTGTCAATGTTTTGTGCTTTCGCTTCTGAGTTTGTGATGACATTACTAGGTACTATACTTAGTACACGATGAATAAATAGTAAACAATGAACGCACGCTAGGCCGTACCGCTATCACCAATAGTCACATTCAAACTAAGTAAAACAATGCTTACGCGTCGAGCACGATAGCGGTGGCGCGTACAAGTTGTAACCTGTTCAAACCTGCGTGATCTACATTAGCGAAGATTGTCAAATACGTATGTATGTAATATTCAAAGACATGTCGGATTACAGGGGGCGCCGGATTAGACAGAGGCCGGATTATCGGGGGTCCACTGTATTAACAATAACAATAAAGCTGTAAGGAATGCATTCTGATGGTGTGATCTATTTGTTTCGGGAAACTATTATTTCAAGACACGTTTATCTGTTTGTAATTTCACTTTGTCGCTTTACCTGTCCTTGTCCTAGAGATATAGTCATAAGACTAGTCTTTGGAATGCCCTTATCAGCCGCAAACCTGATCAGTCCAGCCATCGGGTCAGATCCAGGAGACAGGATGAATACCAACGGTGAACAGCAATTGCTGTCATTGTACGACTCTTCCAAATTGAATTGAGGAGGCTCTAAGTACGAGGGACCCATTTCTTCTACAATGTACGCCTAAAAATTTAGTTGATATGAGTGTGAGACCTCTATTGCTTCTATTAGCCCATCAAGAATCTTCGCGAGCTTCATTAACAATTAAAAACAACATCCCCTGACATGCTTTGGGCTGTCGGTAATGGAATGTTGAAAAATACGAGTAGTTGGGAAATTGGAGAACGTTAAAATTGCGTTTTTTTTTTCGAAAATGGCATTTTTTGCACCTTTTCAAATATTACATCGCTTATACCTCGCTAGCTATCAACTTTAAAGAAAAGCTCATAACATGTTTTGTTCAGAATCGCCCAAAAATCCTAAGAAAAAGTATCCAGAGCAATTTTCTTATTGAAAAAAATCGTCCAAATAGTTTTTGACGCATTTTTGAATAAGATTATGCAAAAACCTGAATCAGACTATTTCTTCGAGCAGATGCGAAGATACTTCCTGGTCTATACCGTTTCTGATTTTGACAGCAGGATTTTTATTTTATTTAATTTCCTATTTTGTCTTCATACCTGGACAGCAGGAACCACCTTATCTGGCCTTATGCACCGTAGTGCAACCAATCGTACTAAGCCTCTTAGATGATCTAAAGGTGCTGGACAAGGTATCTCGTTGGGATTTGGGACATCATAGAACTTCTTCCAAGCTCTCGGGTCATCCATAACCGAATCCTTAAACGCTTCCAGCCTACAAAAAATGTGTAATGATGTAGACAGTATTTTGACCTTCAAGTTCGAAAAGCGCCATCACAACTTTAGACCAATGAGTATAGAGCTCAGTGGCTATGAGATTCCGGACACTATTTATGGAATGAACAGAACCAAAAGAACGTACCCTTTTAGATTACTCGATCTAACAATTTCCGACCACGATTTGTCACTGAGCCATTCTGTGGCAGGATTTGGAAACGGATTGTCCAAAGCTACACCTCCTGTCAGGAGGAACGTCCATACCTCTTCGTCAATTTTCTCCTGATGAAAGATAGTTGATTTGTAATATAATTTATATGTCCGTTACTATTAGATAATGTTGAATGGGTCAGATTTTTTTTCTTGTTAAGAATAAACGGAAATGTTTCCACTCAGCTCTCTAGATGTCCTACCAGAAGTTAAACAGAATAAGCATCCATAACGACGTCGCTTATTATAATCCGTAAAAACAATAAACAATGTAATAATGTCTGTAGGAAATTCTTTTTTTGCCCATTTTCCAGTCAAACTATAATTTAGTATTCCAATAGCACATCTTTGTTTGTCTACAAATAAAATATTCAAATGGATTGATTGGTACTTCCTAATAAATTATCGGAAATACTTAAAATATAGGTTATTTTGACATCCTGAAACATCAGAACCTTAACTGTGATAGTTATAGAGGGACCGGAGTGAATGTGACGATTTTCCATCTAAGAAACATGCTTCCATATCGAAATATTTATTTTGATTACAATAGTTTCTCGCCAGTTGTCATGGTAAGTACATTGTGCAGAACAATCGTAGAAATGGTGAATGTGATCGAGTTATAGATTGGTTACGCATTCACCAATTTTTGAAAAATCATATCCTTGGTCGCAAGCTTTCACCAGATTAAGTTGGGAAGAATAAGAAAATTCGTCTAAAAGCTTAGCAATAAGTGGATCAAGAGCAGGCCGGATAACATTTCACATGACGTACGGCGACAATGGAGATCCTTCGTCTGAAGTTTTGAAGTAAAAACGTGTAATATTTCGACATCAAGAGGAAAAAGGGTGTAATACGCTTTTCTTATAAAGATGAAGGAGCTTCATTGTTGTTTGAATGTTCACAAGCATAAAACGGCATATTTCCAATCAAAAAAAGATTTTTGAATTTTTAGTTGCTTTTAATTATTTGCGGACGATGCACTTATATATACAGGGTGTCCGCAAAGTTGGGGTTTTCCTTTACACGACGTGTAGATCTTGAAAACATATGCAATTTTTCTTAGTACCATATACACCAATGTCTTAAGGGAACCGAGATAAAGGGCTCTGCAACATCAAAAATATCTGAATACCGTCCTGTAGCCGCGACATCCCCGACTGGTGGTGTCAGGTCAGTATGCAACCTTCAACCGACGGTTACGGTCACACGTGTAGAGGTAATCGCGTAGACGAGAATCCCTCAACAAGCATTAGAGACGTGGCTAGAGAAGTGCAAGTATCAAGAACTAAAGTGTGGCAAACGCTGCGTGAAGAGGGACTGTATCAGTTTCACGTCCAACGTGTACAAGCCCTTCAACCTGACGATTTTCCAGCAAGAGTGCGGTTTTGTGAGTAGTTGTTGCATCAACATGACAATAATCCGGACTTTTTGAAGTGCATATTGGTGACAGACGAATCTACGTTCATGCGTAATGGGGTGATTAACTTTCGCAACACTCATGTTTGGTCAGTAGAAAATCCGCACGCTGTCCGTCGGGCACATTTTCAACAAACATTTTTGGTGAATGTTTGGGCTGGCATGGTGAACGGTATGCTCATTGGACTATTTATTCTCCCAAATCGATTGGACGGGATGCAATACCTAGACTTTTTACGCAACATTTTGCCTTCCTTGTTAGAAGATGTGCCATTAAGTGTAAGACAATCAATGTGGTTTCTGCGTCTGCTCGGTAGCGCATCTGCTGATTTCATTTTCTGTTGGAGCGGTATGATTTCGAGCAGAGACGTACTTCTCGTCAACTGGAGAGTGAGTACTTTTTCCTTTATTTTTTTTTACTTGGTCGCCCTCGTTTCACTACACATTACCTTTGTTATTGCAAGGGTAGTTGTTTCTGAAAAGGAAAACCCCAACTTTGCGGACACCCTGTATATATATATATTTAGCACATAAGCATTTGAATACTGCTTTAGAACTGTTAAATAATGATATTGAAAAAATTATGAATAATAATACAATAAACTTAAATTAAACACTAATAAAACAAAATGTATGTCAATAGGGAAACATTTAGGTGACAATGATTAATGATAATAATAAATCAGACTTACCTGTGATCTTAGTATTCCCACGGTCAGCACAAATGAAAATATGAGCTTGTCCTTTTCAAATAACGATCTGCATACATTTCTGTATATATTATTAGTAAAATGATTGTTCAGGTTGAGCAGTCGTTGAGCCAGTATACTCGACTTATCACTATGGATGATTGACTGATTGTACAAGTTTATAAACCATCCTAATGAATACTGGTACATGGGGTCTATGTTCGTCAACTCTGAGATGCAAAAGAACAGAACCGATGAATGTTTTGAAACTAGTACGTATCCATTTCTCGCAGCGTCTATCTCCTTTTCGGTGACGGCTGCCTGTTTTTGCTTCTCCTGGATCTCTTCGGAAAGAACTTTGCTCGAAGATAGAATCTTGATTGCGGTTTCGTCTTCTAGAATGTTGCCTTCAGACGAAGAAAGCACTTCCAATATTTTGTCTTCGATTTCTTTTAACATTCTTTTGTTGTCGGCGCTTTCTACGATCATTGCGTTTTTCTTTTCTTCGAGTTCCGGTTTTTCTTTAGCCACCACGATGCCGAGAAGCTGATCTTGCAATCCCTGAAAAACAACGTTTTTGTTTGCTGCTATATTTAGTTGTCATTGGAAACAAAAAACAAATAAAGGATGAATGACAATAACGCTTTTAACAAAAAACGAAGTAATTCGATACTTTTGTGTTGTGATTCATTATTACAGATTGGTGTTAAAATATAAAATGAATTTTTTACTGTACTGTACTGACCTGTGGAGTGATCATGAAATTGACCAGTGTAATTTTAACGGCCAGCTCGGGTAGATAATGGGGATTCCTGAGTCTTGTAGTGATATAAAATCGAAAGTCGAACGAGTATTCCAAGACGTTGTCGCCAAGCTTCATATACCAGATGCCGGTAGACTTGTAGATGTTTTTCACCAAAATCGGATCCAAAACAGCGTCGATCTCCTCGCCGATATTTTCCAAAAGGACAGGGCTGCCGAATGTTATCGCATTTTCCAGTACCCTCACATAGTTTGAGTCCGTTAGCTTGATCACCTGTAGACGGTTGTTCTTTTCCATATTTTTCACCCATTTATTTGCTTGTCCTGGAATATAAATAATCATCTGATAAAAAATAATAGCAAATTCGGATATACTGTAGTTGATTGTGAATGCAGATTGCCCAATAGACAATAGATCTTATTGGATAGCACAGCACAGTTATTATAACAGGACAACTTTCATACTTCTATAAACACCTATTATATTTGTATGTACAAGTACCTTGTGGATCAATCATCAAAGGCCATCTCCTTGCCGTTGTTGAAATTATGCCATTCTCGATACTGTAATTGTCAAACGGCAAACCAGCAATATTCCAAGCTCTTATGATGACTGGTTCTCCCATAGTGGTCACTAATGAAAAGTTATGTGAGCAGGGTATACCAGTCTTCAAGGAATATTCGTTCCATCTTTTCAGAAGGTCTTGCCTGAAAATAATACTAATGTGAACCTACGAAAAATAATAATTGCCTTTATTATTCGAAAACGATGATACTTAAACACCATATCAATGCAATAAAATATGAAAGAAGACCTCTCTATTCCGATCCGAGCGCTTTTTTCTATAAAATGTACTATTATTTTGATCATCATTAGTTATTAACTAACCCGTAAACCAAAGCCAGTAAAATATTATATTTGCTTGTAGTAACTTGGTGCCAGTATCTAGAAGTGTATAATGTATGGATTTGTCAAAGAGTGTGATATTAATGACATTGTTCGTTCTATCAAAGTGTTATAATGTTTTGAATGTTACCTATAATTGACTGTGAACGGCGACAAGTACGCAATGGTTCCAGCTGACAAAAGCACATCTCCAATAACGTTACCCAGCAACCCATGTAAAGCAACAGCTGTTTCAGACCATCTGCTTTTCTCGCCACCCAAACCACCGATCAGCTTCTCAGCTCTGTCTAATTTCTGAGAGCATAGATTAATCTCATCTTCTAGATCCTTCTTTTTCTTCGTTTCGGCGGCGAACTCGTCATTTAGGGCTTGTAATTTGTCTGCTACCTAAAAAAGCCAACAAAACATCGCTCACTATTGTTTTGTCGCCCCTGTCTGCCAACAGTTTTTTTTTTACTTTAAGCCTGCATGTGCCTTTTCGTGTCAGAAAATTGTATCTCGACCGTAATGATTCTTTTAGAGAATAAAACTGATATATAGTTGATGGACACCATAAGAAGAAATTCGTACTTCTAAATAATCACAACGAAATTGGAGTAGATTGGTCAAGTAGTTTTTGAGAATTTCTAATTATCCCAAAACACCTGTTTTCCGGCCATCACTACTAGTTTATTCAGCAGGGTTAGTTCAAAAGGCATTTTACATCAAAATACACTAATTGTAATTGTTGTATGCCGATGCCCGGTGTACTTACGATTTGAAGCTCCGCCCTTTTGGCATTCAACGTATCCATTTGCTTAGCCAATTCTGCCTCAGCCTCTTCTAGCCTGGCCTTCTTCGGAGCCACAATTTTGATGACTCTGTCGTAGACTTCCATAGCTCTAACCCATTTGCATAGACCCTCACAGGCAGTCGACACGGATTTGATTCTGTCTGGATCAAATTCTCGATCCGACATAAATCTAAAATTAGGGATGGAATCGATATTTTAGGGATCGTCATGATGAGTACATGGAACATATTAATTTTTATAGAGGAAATATATAGAAACTTTAGGGAGGCTCTAAATTATCATTATAGTAAAATGTTGATTTTCAAGTACACATTCGTGATCGCAAATATTTTACGAACTGTGATTTTTTGAAGAAAAATGCGAATATGGAATTTTAGAAACAATATAATACTTTTAAATTATTATGGTAAAAGCATGAAAACAAGAAAATTGAAAGAAACCATAAACAACTATGGGTTCAAGCAAAAAGTTGAAGAGAGTACCAGAATAACATCATTATCAGAGACTTTGTTAGATCTTGTTATTGTAAATTTCGAATGTGCGGGGATTAAAGCTGTACATACACTTAAAGTTAGTGATCACAGTTGGACAATGCTGCCCTTGGTAGGGCATTTTTCTGATACAAAAATTAAGAAAATCGTAAATACTATTAAGTACGAAAAACTTGAACGAGAACTTGCTGGTTGCTATTGGAATTTTGGTGAGAATATGGAAAAAATATATGGCAACATAATAGGAAATATAAAAACTTGTTTAGATCTTGCAACTGATAAAAAAGTGATTTGCTCGACGAAAAATACACCCTGGTATAACAAGAATATTAAGGAAGCTCAAAATTTGAGAGACAAACAATACAATAAATGTATATTCACAAAATCAAATGATGATTGGGAGGTATATAAAACTCTTACGAATAAATGTGTGTATGTAATTAGAGATGAAAAAAGGAAACTCTACGATAAACAAATCGATAATAACAAGTGCGACAGTGTAAAGATGTCGAAGACTTTAAAAAGAGTGATCAATTCGAAGCCGCATGATTGTTTAAATCAAGTTCAACGCGAAAATGGTACCGAAACACATTCTTTGGTGATTGCAGACAAACTAAATGAATATTTTGTGGAAAGTATTGTTGATATTGTGGGTACTGCCAATGCTGCACCTGACTATATGAAAATCAGTTTCCAGGGGGAAATGTTGCATACACTTTCAAAATGTCACAGCGTATCATTGAATTATCTAAGAAAAAAAATAAAAAGTTTAAAATCAAATAACAACTGTGCCGAAATCACTAGTAAAAACGTGCTGAAAAACTGTTTCGAAATTTTGGGATATCCTGTATTAAATTGGGTCAATTGTTCACTGAGAAGCAGTTCTTTGCCTGAAAATTTGAAATGCTCTACAATAACACCAGTTCCCAAAATAAAAAATTCTAAAAGATGCAGCGATATGAGACCAGTAAATGTGTTACCAGACATTGAAAAATTATTAGAGTCCATAGTGCATGACCAATTAATGCAGTTTATAGATGAAAACCAAATTTTAAGTGGAGGCGCAAGCAAGCTTTCGAAAAAAATATTGTACAGAAACAGCTTTCCAATTGGTAACTGAGAATTGGAGAAGAGCCATAGACTCAGAAGAAGTTGTCTTAGCAGTATTTTTGGATTTGAAGAGGACATTTGAATCGATAGAGATATTTTGTTAGGAAAATTGAAGGCATATGGTATTTTAGATTGGTTTACAAATTATTTGTCTAAAAGGATGCAAGTTACAAAAGTTAATGACACTATTTCATCAAAAATTGAAAATACGTTGGATGTTCCTCAGGGCAGTATCCTGGGACCACTTCTTTTTATTTTATACATAAATTATTTACCTGTCATAGTCAAAAAATGCAAAATTCAGATTTTCGCCGATGACACTATGACTTATAAAAGTGCTAAAAATATTCAGACTGGTATCGCTTATATAAATGAAGACTTGAAACTTGTCTCAAAATGGTTAGCCTCTAACAGACTAAAATTAAATACAAGTAAAACGAAAGCCTTGTTAATCGGAAAAATACAATGTACAAATGTTCAACTGAATATTGGTGGTGAAGATATTGAATTCGTAGAACATTTTAAATACCTGGGGGTTTTTGTTGACTCTCGATTAATTTTTGATATTCATTATGAAAAAGTTATAAATAAGATTAGTAGTAAAGTAGGATATTTATCGAGAGTTTCTGGATGTCTGAGTTCATATAGCAGAAAAATTATCAATAATACCATCATTCTTCCAAATTTCTTGTACTGTTCGACTATTCTATATTTAGCAAATAATTCCATTTTTGAAAGATTGCAAATTTTACAAAATAAGTGCATGAGAATAATACTAAATAATGATAAATATACTCCAATTAGGCAAATGCTTAGCAAATTAAAATGGCTCAATGTAAATTTTATCAAATATCTTGTAATGATATTCATTTATAAAGTAAAAAATAATAGATTTCCATCAAGTCTAACTAATTTAACATCATCAAATGTCGACCATCATTTATATAATACCAGAAATAAAGATGACTTCCATTTAATGACCAAAAAGTATAACATATGCTACAAATCTGTATTGCATCAATGGTTGATTGAATATAATAAATTATACTCAGAGATAAAAGACCATAAAACTTTGACAAAATTTAAGTAAAATTGGGAAATCACTTGTTAAATCTACAATTATAGGTTGCCCAACATTTACATCATACACCATATGGCTTGAATTTACTTGTTCTAAGTTGTTTACAATTATTCTGTTTATGTAGCCAAATGTGCTAAATAAATGTTTCTACTACTACTAGTAATTGTTATTAATAAATAACAAATCATGGCTGTAACCAAATCCTGTGGATTGACGTAATCACGATTTCGAAGTTGAAAATTGCATACCAACGTAAGGTTACCAAGGGCTGTAACCGATATCGCACCTTAGCCCCGGGTACGGTTATTCGCAAGTTGTGATCTCGTCACGTTTTGAAATCACTGATATCCAAAAATAACAACATCAGCCATCTCTAAGCCATATCCACATATTCCCGTTTTCTTACAATAGCTTACCTTTCTCTAATTCTCTTCATTACAGGAGCCGGTATGTTATCTTTATCGTAAGCTTTTAGGCTCTCTAGAAATTTCATGTCGCCCAAAAGCTTCACGGATGCCCCCCAGTAGTCCTCGACCATTCGGCCTGTGGTCAAGTCAGGCTTCCTGTCAGGTTTCATCTGTTTCATAACGCAAATCTAAAATTTAATAAATCGTCAATTGCGCAACAGGCTTGACAGTTTATGATAATGGTACGTTTTTCCGCGATTTGGCATAAAATTGCAAAGTTTACGTATGCCCTTCCCTACTAGTTACAGGTTTGTCAGTGCCGTTGCCCGTATACCAGACAAAGTCAGAGATAAGAAACGGGGCAAAACAGAATGGTAGGAAGCTGAAAATCAAAGAGGAAGGGTGTGTCGGTTAGCTTTGTCACCAGGATCCTTGAATCTTAAATCTATAGGGTGACCAGTGCGAAAGTTTACATTTCAAATTTGAATTACGCAGCAACCGTATAAGTTATGGAATCCTGATGATTACCATTTCAACGGTACGGCTAACACCGTCCCGATGCCCTTGTGATGAGCGCCGTCCATCCGGTTTCTAGTTACAGCGTTAGGTGTTATCTTTGTGAGAACATTCCTGACTTTGCATTTTGCTATATTTTACTTCTTATAAACTGAATATGAAATGTAACTAGCGTTGTTGTCATCCTGTTTTCATCCAATAAAGTTCCTGCTATAGCTTCGAACCGAAACCACACTGAGTTTCATTTCTTATACGCGAGGAAGTGGGGAGAGGTCTTTAAAGGAAAGTTATTACGTATTACGGAAATCTTGTGCTGAACGGATGTTGAATCTTTTTCCTACGCCGCGCAGACTCAAGAACGTTGTTTTCAGTGACGAGGCCCATCTTCACTTAGACGATTATGTGAACAAGCAAAATTGCAGATATTGGGCACCAACCAACCCAAAGAAGAAACATCAACAACAGCTACATAGTCCAAACGTGACTGTTTGGCGCGCCATCTCCTCTAGCGGTATTATTGGGCCGTATTTCTTTGAAGATGAAAACGGTCATGCAATGACAGTCAATTCCGAGCGATACAAGGAGATGATTGACACTTTTATTGCTCCTATTATAAAAACAGAACGTCGATTTAGCAGAAACACATGGTTTCAACAGGATGGGGCCACTGCCCATACTTCCAGAAAATCGATGGACACGGCGAAAGCACTTTTTCCTCAAAAAGTTATATCGAAGTATTGAGACATTCACTAGCCTCTTAGGTCACCCGGCCTCACGCCATGCGATTTTTTTTTGTGGGGTTAACTAAAAAAAAGTGTATTCTAATAATCCACGTACACTGAAGGAGCTTAAAGAGAACATTCGACGACAAATAAACAACATCACTCCGGAACTCTCAATTGTATTTAAGAAATAAAACCCGCCTAATTCACGAATATGCTTATAGTAATAAATACAGGGTGAAACAAAATCGACGGGTCTGAGCGTTCTTAAAAAAAAAACTGAGCTGCCAGTAAATGCGTCTGTTTCGTTTTCGATGCGCCACCCTGTATTTTCTTTTGATTGAGTTAGTATTTATTTTCTTAAATCAAAAAGTGAACTTTCCCACTGGACACCCTCTATTTGGAAAATTAATTTTGATAGTACTTATGAATCCCAATATCAAAAATTGTTTTGTGAATTACAAGACGTGATAGAGCTGGTTATACAGGGTGACTTCGAAGTTCAGTCATTTATTTTAACAGTGAGTAGATCTGATCAAAAGAAATGTTTTTTTCCTTTACCATTTTTCTGGTAAAATTAAAATAACAAAGTTATAGCCCTTTGGAAGTTTGAGTACCGCCCTGTCTCAATAATAATATTATGTGCTCGTGTTTGGCAACAACGGATATAATCCGCCTTATCGGTTCATCGCATCGGAAACAAAAAAGCGAAAGAATTTGGAACGATGTTTTTACAATTATTTTATTCAGTTGTATACAGTCAGTGTCAGTCGGTAACGCGTGAGTGAATAGTGGTGTCTGTTGCGTGGCTCAAACGAAATCAAAAATGGCACATGTTTACGAAAATGCTGAACTTGTGGACATGATTCTTATTTACGCGGCATGACGGATTTATGCGGATCGGTTTCCCAATCGAGTGCAACCAACCCCTCGTGCCTTTGTTAATGTAGTACAAAGGGCTCGTGAATCAGGTGACTTAAGACCTCACAGGGGAGGGCATGCCGGTGCTCCAAGATCGCACGATCAAATACAGGTCCGCACTGAAATACTTGTCGGGAGGATACTTTATAAAACAAGGTAACATTTTTTTTTATTTTTACACACATATTTTGGTTTATCTTCCTTCTACAATCATTATCTGAAAATTAATGACTCAACTTCAAAGTCACCCTGTAGGTTCCTTATTTACCGAAAAAGATTGGATGTCCTACAATAACTGAACAACTTCGGTTGAATGGAAGAGCGGATCTCCCTGTACCGTAGAATTCTGCCGTTTGCCAGGAAAGCAGCTATGTAATCTTGTTTGTGCGCTTATCTCGGCAATAAGAACCATTTATTATTATTAGCCAAAAGCGAGACGGAAAATATGCACAAGATGACAAGCAACCACCACAAAAGTCAATGATTCAGAAGATAATTGAACCACAATTCGAAGGTATGTTGGCTGCAGTCCGACTTGGGTGACGCTACGGTATCACACACTATGTCGGATAATTTGTTGGACGCGGGAATATATCATTAGGTCGGCAGGTTGAGTACGTTAAAAAGATTTTGAACGATAGTATGTATATTGTAACAATATTTTTCAAAAGGGCATTTGAGACTATAGTTAGGGAATAATTGTTAATGAAATTGCATCACTATGACTTCAAAGGATCCGTATAACACATTTTACAAAATTATTTAGTAAATGGAAGTCAAAAAACTAAAGTTGGAAATATTACGTCAAGTGTTCAAAATATATCAGTAGGGGTGCCACAGGGGAGTAAATTAGAGCCGTTACTATTTATTATTTATATAAATGATATCTCTGACATTTTAGAACACTGCAAAATTCAAATATTTATATACAGGGTGGCCAAACACGTGACGTCATAAAAAAAAAATTAGATTCCTCACATCGAGAGGAACCCAAATCACCCCATATATATGGTCCGATTTTGTTTAGTTTAGGAGTTATGATTTTTTTTCGGATTTTTCGAGAATTTTTGAGTTCTGTGTTTATTTTTACCATAACTTCGTTAATAATTGTGATAAATGCCTGCTTTTTTCACGATTATGTAGCTAAGATCTAAGGCTTAACTATCATATCATCATTCAAGTCATGTAACTAATACTACTTTTTAATTTTTTTCAAAATCTTCGAACATAACAAAAAAGTAAAAAAGTGCAACAACTTTGAACGTTTATAAAAAATTGAAAAAACATGTTCTTACTATTCGTAAGTATCTTAAAAACTTCCTTACGGTATCAGCTATTTACCGTAAAAATTTCATCAACCTAGCTTTACTACATGCTACCGTAATTGTGGCTCAAATAGAACCGAACCCAAAATTGGATAACCCTCTGCTCAATAGAAATTGTTAGTTTCGGAAAAAAAAATTGCAAAAACCACAAAAACACGTTTGATTTTTACTGAACAGCAGATTATTATTCATTTATGTTATTTACAAGAGGTTTTCAAAATGTCTGCCTCTAACAGAAATGCACAGTGTACACCTACGTATGAAATTTTGTTTTAAATCTCTAAATGCTTGTGTGTTGTTTTTCAACACATGTGTCGCTTCTTGAATTTTGTTCCTCAATGAATTTTCATTTGCACATTCTTGGGCGAATGTTATGTCTTTAAAATATCCCCAAACAAAAAAATCAATGGGGTTGAGGTCAGGGGAGCGTGGAGGCCATCGTATCGGTCCGTTTCGTCCGATCCATCTGTCTGGGAACCTTTCGTTTAAGTAGTTTCGCACGATCGTTGCGTTGTGGCATGGTGCACCATCATTCTGGAACACCATGTTCCGTCTGGCTTCCAGGCTTGAATCTTCCAGCAATAATGGTAGGCTATTTTCAAGGAAGCTTTTGTAGGCTACCGAATCCAACCTTGACGGCAGTTCAAATGGACCGATAAATTCCACATTGAATATTCCTGACCACATGTTCACACTAAAACGGTGTTGAAATGTCGACGGCCTTGACTGGTGGGGGTTTTCAACAGCCCAAGTATGTAAATTATGGATATTGAATATCCCTGTTCTTTCAAAACGTGACTCGTCAGTCCATAAAATTTTATCAAAAAAATCGGGATCCTCTCGTTGTCTTCGCAGCATTGTCTCGCAGAAATCCACTCTTAACTGGTAATCTGAAGGCATCAACGCTTGAACTCTTTGAACATGATAGGCATGATAACCTTCTTCATGAAGAATATTTTGTATCGATGTTCGTGGTATTCTAAGGTTTTGTGCCATAGATCTCGTACTCGTTGAGGGATTCCGGCTAATTTCTCTGCTTTGCATACTAATTTGGACTTTGTTTGCTAAGAAGTTTGTGATGCATTATACGTTGCGTGAATATGCAGAAATGCATTATTATTATGGCGTTGCTCAAGGCAACGGCGCTTTAGCAGCTCAGCTGTACCGGGAACAACTTATACGCCGAGGCGGACCACAACCTGAGCATTACCCAGACTACCGTGTTTTTATTAACACACATAACACTTTCATGGCAGGCCGCATTCCAGGACGAGGAAGCAATGAAGGATATCCTACAGCTGATCCGGATCGCAGAGAAGTAGTACTTGAAGAAATTAGCCGGAATCCCTCAACGAGTACGAGATCTATGGCACAAAACCTTAGAATACCACGAACATCGATACAAAATATTCTTCATGAAGAAGGTTATCATGCCTATCATGTTCAAAGAGTTCAAGCGTTGATGATTCAATATGGAATTTATCGGTCCATTTGAACTGCCGTCAAGGTTGGATTCGGTAGCCTACAAAAGCTTCCTTGAAAATAGCCTACCATTATTGCTGGAAGATTCAAGCCTGGAAGCCAGACGGAACATGGTGTTCCAGAATGATGGTGCACCATGCCACAACGCAACGATCGTGCGAAACTACTTAAACGAAAGGTTCCCAGACAGATGGATCGGACGAAACGGACCGATACGATGGCCTCCACGCTCCCCTGACCTCAACCCCATTGATTTTTTTGTTTGGGGATATTTTAAAGACATAACATTCGCCCAAGAATGTGCAAATGAAAATTCATTGAGGAACAAAATTCAAGAAGCGACACATGTGTTGAAAAACAACACACAAGCATTTAGAGATTTAAAACAAAATTTCATACGTAGGTGTACACTGTGCATTTCTGTTAGAGGCAGACATTTTGAAAACCTCTTGTAAATAACATAAATGAATAATAATCGGCTGTTCAGTAAAAATCAAACGTGTTTTTGTGGTTTTTGCAATTTTTTTTTCCGAAACTAACAATTTCTATTGAGCAGAGGGTTATCCAATTTTGGGTTCGGTTCTATTTGAGCCACAATTACGGTAGCATGTAGTAAAGCTAGGTTGATGAAATTTTTACGGTAAATAGCTGATACCGTAAGGAAGTTTTTAAGATACTTACAAATAGTAAGAACATGTTTTTTCAATTTTTTATAAACGTTCAAAGTTGTTGCACTTTTTTACATTTTTGTTATGTTCGAAGATTTTGAAAAAAATTAAAAACTAGTATTAGTTACATGACTTGAATGATTATATGATAGTTAAGCCTTAGGTCTTAGCTACATAATCGTGAAAAAAGCAGGCATTTATCACAATTATTAACGAAGTTATGGTAAAAATAAACACAGAACTCAAAAATTCTCGAAAAATCCGAAAAAAAATCATAACTCCTAAACTAAACAAAATCGGACCATATATATGGGGGTGATTTGGGTTCCTCTCGATGTGGGGAATCTAATTTTTTTTTTATGACGTCACGTGTTTGGCCACCCTGTATATACAGGGTGTCCAAGAAGTCGACGTCAAGCCGAAACCGGGTGATAGGCAAAGTCATAACAGCTATCAGAAAAATATTTAAAAAATTTTATGTATGTGTTTTGAAAATTATAGGTCTTTGAAAAAAATATTGAAATTTCACACCCTACGGCAGTCTGTCAACTCCTGTTACTACAAATATTAACTTTTTTTGGATTTTATTTTTACAATGTAATGATCAATAATGCATCTTCATACTGGTGTCTCAACCTTACTGTCAACTTTTCTCGTTCAGGAAAAATTGCCACTTATTTCCCAACCAAGTATTCCAAAGTAAAACTTTGCAAAACTTTAACTGGCTGTACTGAAAAAAAATGTACTACGAGAGGCAAGTAACTTTAAAAGTTGGCGCATTTAATAAGGGTTCCAAAGTGGTATAACACTTAGAAGATTACTCGTTAACTTATGCACAATTTTTATTTGAAGAAAAACTGATGAGAATTTTTCAAAATTTCCTAATTAAACAGCGATTATGAAAACGCACAAGGACCCTTAAGGATAACTGTTTGCACAACAGTGGGCGTCAAAATGCTGCTGATGATGATTTACCTGTACAGTTAATGCTCAAACTGTTTTCCTTCAGCCGCAATACACGCTCGACATCTTCTTAAAAAGATCGGGTTATTAAACGAACGAATCCACGGTTATTAACAAACTCAGCTGCTTCCAATAGTCTTTGCCGTAGTTCAGCTACATTTTGAATCAGCTTGAAATACACTTTTTCTTTTACAGTTCCCCAGTAAAAAAAATCTAACGGATTCAAATCTGGTGACCGGGCTGGCCACGGCATTGTACCAGACCGCCCTATCCATCTGCCTGGAAAGTTTTGATCGAGATACTCTCTCACTGAGAGTGCATATTGCGCTGGGCAGCCAGCATGCTGAAACTACATGTCCCTGTAAATACTCAGTGGCACGTCCCCCAATAAATTTTCTAAATGATTTTGCAAAAAAGCCTAAATAAACCTCAGCAGTCAAAGTCTCTGGGAACTCAAACGGACCGATTATTTTACCATTTAAAATTCCTGTCCAATGGTTTATCTTGAAGCGATATTGAGATTTATCTTCTCTCATCAAGTGTGGGTTTGCTACGTGCCACTCGTGTAAGTTATGCAGGTTCATGTATCCATCTTTCTTAAATGTGGTCTCATCCGACCATAAAATTTTTTCAAAGAACCGTGGATCTTCCCAGTGTCTTTCTAACATTGTGCGACAAAAAGCAACTCGGGGCTCATAATCCCGGGGCAGGAGAGGTTGAACACGCTGTATGTGGTACGGATGAAGCACATCACTTACTTGCTATTGCACACTTTGATACCGATCAGTACTCCTTCGTTTACTGCGCATCTTTACATGTTCGTGCTTGTAGCATTAATGCTAAATAAATCTTCAACAACAACAACAACAAAAAAATAGTAGCATTTACCGCTTCCATAACGAGCTTAACGCCGGATGGTGGATTTTTCATGGATTTCACGACGGTGATATCTGCCGGTTTCAGAGTATCCAGAGCTTCCACGGCAGCTTCCAAAGCCGGGATTGCTTCCGACAAGTCCGATTCGCAGTCATCCTTGATTGCTTGAGCAGCGGCCGCTGCTTCATTGGCTAATGCTTCATCAGCCCCTACGATCTATGGAATCAAAAATTAGTACTCCTTTTAGTATTAGTCCGAACATAACAGTTATTTTGTTATAGAACCGTACCTCTTTCTGTTTCTCGACTTTAACGGTATCCTGCTCGATTTTTATCATTAACTTCTCAGTTATCTCGGAAGCGACTATCAGCTTTGGTTGCAGAGCCGTCAGTTCGTCCTGCATCAATCCGACTTGTCCAGCCGCAAAATCCAGCTTTTCTAAGCCAGTTTCGTAGCGATTTCGCTGCAGCGTGATCTGCTCCACTTTTAACGCGTATAAGGTTTTGAACGTTTGAATCAATTCTGTAAAAATAGATTTTGGAAAAGCTGCCACTAGCTTATGATTTTAGTAATACCCAAGTAGGACGTTGGAGTTATATACGTCTTCCTTTTCTGCTCTCTGAAGAACACCTCTGAAGCTTCCTGAACGGTGACGTGGAAATGCTTACAAATTGATACGCACAGTACGATCATTTCGGGGTTGATGTCTGTCTGCGATAAAAACATGTCTGCCACCTGAAAATATACCAAAAATTGATTGGAAAAAAAGTGATAATCTGTGTGAATAGTTTAAATGACAGCTAACTTAAAACGAAACTTTAACATAAATTGTTTATGTGGGTCTTAAGTAAATAAATCGTAGAACACACACATGGTCTAATACAGGGTGTTATTTAAATTCGTGGGTGATTCATTGAGTAATTTTACTATGATAAGTTCATATAATCTTAGGTTTAGAAATGCTTCATTTTCAAGATACAAATATCTTAATAAACTTTCAGTCGTTTTTTTCAAATTTAGCAGTAGTATTAAGGGCACTAAGGGGCCAACTTAACCAGAATTAGATTGAAATTATTAGATTGTGCGATTTATTTATCGAAATTATCTTTAAATATGTACGAAAAAATTCAAGGGATGACTTTCGTTTAATGTTAATTGCTTAGTTAGTTTGGCGTTTTTGATGGTTTATTATGTTATTACCCAAGTGAAATGCAATAAAGTGCTTTTTATTTTTTATCTCGCAATTGGAGCCAGATATGAAACCATTTCAAAAGACAAAACATTTTGTATTTTTAGCTGCTTAATTTAAGAAAAATATAAAATTGAAGAAGGTCAGTGGCACATAAGTTTTTTGTCAAAGATATTGGTTGGGGCGTTTTTCGGGAGGCTACTGGAGTCAATAAATTCAATCTAGTTGGGACTAAATAAGTCCTTTACTACCAATACCATTGCTGAACTTTAACAAAATCGACTGAAAGTTTATCTAAATATTTAGGGAAAAAAATTTAAAAAAGTTTTAAACCCTGTATCTTCCTATCATTTCTGGACCTATGTCTATAAAAACTTTTCATCTTAATATTATTTAAACAATCACCTCCTGAAGTTTGGCCGCGTACTTAATCACACCCCTATGTAACTTGAAAAAGTATTGTGAATTGTTATTTTAATAAAAGTTGGTGAATGTATTTATCTTACTGTAAATAACAAGTGAAAAAATTTTCAGCCTTATCACTTGGACATTCCGGTTTTTATACTGCTTTTTTTTAATTCACTAACGCTCTAAAAATGAATATTTCAGCCGCAGTAAAGAATCAACGTTGGCGGATTTTGGTTCTTGACATCCTTTACGATCGGTTACGATGCCTAGAGTACGGAGACCTGTACGATTTCGTCAACTTAGTGAGTTTGATAGGGGCCGTATAGTGGGACTTCGGGAAGCTGGACTTTTTTTTCGGGCAATTGCAGTTAGAGTGCAAAGAAGTGTAGACACTGTGGTTAGGTGTTGTCAGGCATGGCTTCGAGAAGGCCGTACGCAAAGAGCAAGGGGCACTGGATGCCGCCGTAGAACAACAGACCGTGAAGATCGCCGCCTAAGATTATTGGCATTAAGGGACCGTTTCTCCACTACCAGGTCCATTGCAAATGAATGGTTTGCAGAACACGGAAGACCTATTGGCATGCGAAGTGTTTACCGACGAATGAGAAGTTTTGGCTTGTTTTCATACCGGCCACACTGGGTCCTCCCTTTAACTCGAGAACACCGACGTAATCGCCTTGAGTGGTGCAGACAACGGTCACTCTGGGATCAGGAATGGAACAGTATTGTCTTTAGTGACGAGTCTCGATTTTGTTTAGGCATGCATGATGGTCGTGCCAGGGTTAGAAGGCGACGTGATGAAAGGAGGAATCCACAGTTTTTTGTTGGAGTTATGGTTTGGGGTGCTATAGCTTATGGTTCCAGGTCACCTTTAATCTCCATCAGAGGTAACATGAACGCGCAGCGTTATATCCACGAAGTTCTAGAACCCCATCTTTTACCCTATCTTGACACCCTGGCAGATCCAACTTTCCAACAAGATAATGCCCGACCACACGATGCAAGAGTCACAATAGACTTCTTTCAACATAATGATGCCACATTGTTACCATGGCCATCAAGATCTCCCGACTTATCCCCAATTGAGCACGTGTGGCATATGGTGGGTAGGAGATTGCTCAATTTGCAACGTCCTCCTCAGACTTTAGAAGCACTTCGAGAGGAGTTGGTGGTTGCCTGGAATGAGATACCACAGGACGACATTGACCACCTGATCAGAAGCATGCATAGGCGCGTTGGAGAATGCGTAGCACATCAGGGTGCATCCACACATTATTGAAGGTCAAAGGGCTTTAAAGCAGTGCAATCATTTTGAAATTTTTATCATTTACTTATTATGCTTCATTAAGTACTTATACAAAATTTTATTAAAATAAAACCAATTAAACTGGGTGTTCGGATTTATATTACTTAGTATATTTTAAGATTCACGCTTAAGTTTACTATAATCATAAAACTCACCCTTTCTAATGCATCGTCTGGCCAGGTTTGGAACCAGTCTATTGTACAACAGTTGATTAAAGATGGAAACATCCTACATCTCACTCTGAACGAATCTCCTATGGGTGACATGCATAGAGCTACATGGAGATTATTTCTAACGCGTTCTATGAAGAAGTTGTACAACGCCAAAGGTGTTGAATCAATCTTTTTGCCCTATAATCAAGAGTGAATCAATTTCACATCTTTCTTCTGTACCTCATTTTGCCATTGCGGCTGCTTCAGTATGGATAAAAAAATATCGGATGCAAGTTAAAAATGATATTAGGCAGTTTTTTCTCAGCTGATGTTGGTCATTTAACCTTATCATGCTATTTAGGAGATACATTTTATTTTTTAACTTTTCGACTGTGTAAAAGGCATACAGTGAAGTCGGTATGTAAAAAAGTATTTCAATGTCATCATTTAAAGGATCTGTATTCAAAATTCTACAAAACTATTTAATTGACAGAAGTCAAAAAACCAAAATTTGGATCCGCATTATCAAGATCAAAAAATATTTCTTTTGGTATACCACAAGGTAGTAAGCTAGGTCCACTACTATTTATTTTATACATTAACGACATTTGTAATATTTTAGATTAATCCAAACTTGAGATATTTATAATAGGGAAATACCTAAAGGAAAATACTATCAGAGTTAGGATAAATGGAGAAATAATTGAAAATGTTGAATCAATTAAATATTTAGGTACTAAATATATTGATAGTAAACTAAAGTTTGAGGATCACTATGAATACATTATTTCAAAAATTGCCAAAAAAACAAATTACTTTAATAGAGCCTCTCATAGTCTTAGTACCTATTCCCAGAAAATAGTTTATAATACAATTATTCTACCGCATTTACTATATTGTTCAACTATCTTGTTCACTGCCAATGAAGCTGTATTCTCAAAATTACAAGTCTTGCTAAATAAAGCTATGAGAATAATATTGAATGAAAATAATTACACAAAAATAAAATCTATGTTACAAGAATTGCAGTGGTTGGATATAAAAAATTTCATATCATATTTGGTTCTTATTTTTATATTTAAAATAAGAAATCATCTTTTGCCAGAACATTTGATTACGACATAGAATTGAATAGTCATTAGTCAAAATTGTAATAGTAATTTAACTAGCAAATCAATATTTCAGAAAGGATTACTTGAATTTAATAAACTAAATAATGATATAAAGTCTACTTGTAATTTAAAGAAAATTAAAGGAATACACCTATAATAATAATGAAAATTCTTAGAGATGCAAATTTAGTTTTTTTTCTGAATGTCTGTATGTTATGTAATTGTTTAGTTTTTTAGAAGAATGTAATTGTAGCAATCATGCTACATAAATCTTAAATAAACAAACAAACAATTTGTCAGGTCCAAACCGAAGTTTCGTTTTAATTTCAATTTGTCTGTTTTCTTAATCACTCATTAATATAACAGCCACAGCAAATATTTTATTCGCCCAGCGAGTACTTACGCTGTCTTTTGAAGCAGTCTGCATCCTTTCCAGTATTTCAGCCTTCTCATCAGGCTGATACAAATTTGGTACATCGGCTGTATTAAGAATCGTGTTGATATCCTCCACGAACAGCTCGTCTTTGATCTGCGTATCTCCAAACAGAAAAACGATAGGCTTACCGTCACAACCTGCCTTCAGGAGTAGTCTTTTTAAATCTTCTCTCCAGTCGGAAATACCATATGTTCTGCCAATTTCTATCTATGATCATTAAAGGAAATTAGTTATACAGGGTGATTCAGAAAAATGTTCCTATAAATCACATATAATAATACTGATATATATATATATATATCATATTATAACACCAGAAAACTTCTCATTTTCGCGATCATAGTTCTTCCTCGCCAATGTCGTGGAAAATGAAAATGTATGAAAATAGCAAAGGCTGATTAAGTAAAGGTAAGAAAAACTGACGCTTGAAATGAAGACCAAACGTATTAACATTCAGCGGGGTATTGAATTGGTTGCAAGGTAAGTAAATTGTTACTGAAATATCCCAATATTTTGCATAGACCACCGTTAACCAATCTTCTTTCGGTTTCTATTGCTCGATGAAACGTTGCATACCTCAAATATCGTGCTCTCGGCCATCGAGGCAGCTAACTTGGCAGAACTGTGCCTACCGGATCCTCCGACACCCACGAGCAACACGTTCCCGTTCGGCTGCGTAAGGACTCTGGATACCCTGGAAACGTGTTCTATTGCGAACTTGAACATCACCAGGTTCATCGGAGACTTTGACAGCATGTTGTATTCACTTAGGTAGTACTCCATTTTTTCTATTAGGCCTTCCATGTCTGATATCTAAAAAAAAGTTCAGTCTATGCGATATACAGTGCTCGTCAAGTTTCTCTCTATATTTCAAGCGGACCAGTTAGCAAGCTGAGATTTCGGGTAATGAAGTTAAGGCATGAGAACTAGACAGGATGTTTTCAAAGTCGAGTCATTTATTTTAACGCATTTCATACGAGGAGTTCATGAACATCTAAATAATGAGTTTCCAAATAGATGGACCCATTTCTTGGCCTGCTCGCTCCCCGGATTTGATGCCTTGCGATTTTTATCTGAGGGGCTATTTGAAATAGTTGATGTATCATGATAGATCAGTAAATACTCTGGAAGAACTTCAACAGCGCACTGAAAATGCTTGTGGTTTAATTCATGGACACCAATATTTTATTTTCGAAGCTTGATTCACCGGAATGTTGCGTCAATCGAACAAATGGGGACAATTTTGAGCAGTTTTTGTAAAAACGGTATCCGCTTAAATTGATAATGATTTTTTTCAACAATTTTGAATAATATAAGATAACTCTCTAACTATGCCACTTTTAAAGGGATGATTTTTCGTATATCAACTTCTTTTAACACTCTGTATGGAGTTGTCTCGGCAACGATGCGATACTTCTATACAGATTCACAAAAGCTGTTTTCTTAATAGTTTCCGAGTAAGAAATGGATCATTCATTTAACAACCTTACCTCGTCATAATACTTGGGATCGGCATCTGGTTCCATGTAATTTCCGAAAAAAAGGTTTCTAATATGTTGGGGACCTAAAGTTTCCTCCTCTCCCACAAGATTTGCACACACTTTATCCATAGGCTGCCTGAAATTTTGGTACGTCGCTTTCTTGACGATGTCGAAAAGCTTTGCCCTGCAATTTTATTGTTTGTGAAAACATGTTTTATGTTTATTTGTTGCAATATTTGGCTATAATATTGGTCACTTTAGATCAGCCATCTTGATGACATTGCAGCATATTTATGTGTATGTGTATAACTCGGTAATATTGCTCGCAGTACGTAGATTTCCGTAGATTGGTGTAGAGCTCTTTAAGAAAAAAAATCGCGAAATTTAACCCACCATAAATCTTGTGCAAATAGAAAATTTCAAAAGTGCTTTGATAGCACCCTCGACCATTGTCTTCTGAACATACTGTAGCGTTTTTCTGGGTTCATTTGGATGTGGATTAAACACACTCGACTCCACAAGAAGAAATGCACTAATTTATTCGAAATATAACACAACTTTAACTTAACTAACTAGAACATTGCTTCCCTCTCCCGGCCGTCGGCTTATACAGGGTGGCGCATCGAAAACGAAACAGACGCATTTACTAGCAGCTCAGTTTTTTTTTTTGAAAAACGCTCAGACCCGTCGACCCTGGGCGGAGGTGACACCAACCCTAAAATCTTGAATGGAGAGGGAGGTCGAGTAATACCTTATTTTAAAGGTCTTTCAATACCCTTTATAATGATGTAAAATACATGAGCTTCAGTAGTTTTGAGGATTTATTGATTTAAAGCTTAAAGTAGACTTTAATAGGTACATCAAATTAGTTTGTACTACTTTCAGAAGAAATTTGACTAAAAGAATTTACTTAATAAGTAAATGCTTTTCTTCACTACGCCCATGGTTTGTTTATCATTTTGTTGTTGAAAATAGCTATCGGAGCGTTTTTTTTGTGGCAAAAAAGTTATTCCTTGAGGAAAGATAAAGAAATATCTCGTACTTATTTTAAATAGGAATTTAGTACAAAGTTTGCGATTGATTTGACTAAACTTTGTTGCTAAAATAACTTGTAACGCTTTATTACATAAATTAACCATGGTATATTCCACAACAGAAAGAGTTGAAATTATCGAAATATTTTTCGAAAATAATCAGTGCGCTAATAGAACAGCAGAAATATTTAATGAGCGACATGAGAACAGTAACGTGCATCGAAAATATGTTCTAGAATTTGTAGCTAAATTTCGGAAAACTGGGTCAGTTGCCAATAAAAAACGCAACATTGAAAATCCCATAAGGAACGAAGCAATAGAAGTGGGGTTTTAGGGCAAGTTTATGTAGATCCTACGTTAATTACCCGCAAATTGGAGACTGTGTGTGGTGTTAGTCGACGTACTGTCCAACGGATTCTAAAGGCCCATAGTTTTCATCCGTATAAAATTCACCTGCTACAATCGATTTCATTCAAGAATATTGAAAAATGGTGTGTCAGTTCCGAAGCAGCTGAACCTATGTAAATGGCTTGAAACTCACTGCGTCGGAGCCGCCTTAAGCAACTGAGTGAAAGTTTATTCTTTTTTATTACTCACCTGTCAGCATCGTCAATGAGTCTATCATGGAACACCCTATATGTTTCGTGGATCCACAATCGTATAAATTTGTCAGGGTCATCCATTTTTGGGGGTGGGGTGAGAAGTAGACCATTTATTACTCTCGAAAAGTCTCTTAACGAGAACGTATAATGAGACTTTGATGGCGTTGGCAAAAAATTCAAAGTCGCTTCTTTGTAGACTTCTATTGTGGCGCCGACACAGAACTAGAATACGCCAAGTTATTCGTTGTAGCTTAGCTCACTTTATATAACTTGACACGTACCATTCAAGATGGGGAGTCACTGAACTTTGCAGCATGTAGTTTTAGCCTATTTTAAAAAACATCTTACCCTTGAAAGCCTTGCTACTGGCTCCACGTATCCTTTAGCGAAATGCCAGTCCAAAATAGTAGAAAATATTTTTGTGAGGGTGTTGTCATCGAAGGAATCAAGTCCAATGATTTGCATATGTCTGAGAAATCTGTCAGTAATTTCGTTCCTGCCACCACCAGGTACACCCATTGCTCCGACAAACATCTAAATAAATTTCGAAAACTAATTTGAAATATCCAGATGCAGTTTCAAATGGGATTGGTACACAATAGGCTAATGTAGACATAAAAACAAAACTCCAATGGTTCCATTACGCTTTTTAAACTAGATCTCTCTACAGAGGATCTATAAAAGAATTTATCAATCCTGGCGGTCCTAATAAGGATAATGCAAAACAGTTATCAAATTATTGCATGGTCATTGGTCCTTGATACGTGTGCGAAGTTTCAAATTAATACAACTTCTGGAAATTGGTGAAAATTATGCTCAAAGAATCTGTTACATACTTACATATATACATACATACTCACATATATACATACATAGATAGAGTCCAAGCTAATAAAAGCGTGTTAAAAGAGGAATAGAAAAATGTTTACTTACAAGGTCTACCAAATACAGAGTTGATGTATCTTTCTCGTACCAATGTCCATGATCGATCCACTGCCTGAGCAACTCAACAGGTGGCTGGGCACCCCAAGTTTCTTTTTGGGGCATACCTACATCGTCGATGAATAGAACGCACTTTTTTCCCATCGACGGACCAAAAACACCGCGTCTTCGTTTGTCTAGTTTTGCCATTACCATTTCTTGAGTCTTATATACAAGGAGATTATAAAATAGAATAAAACGTACTAATATTAGACTCCTGTGAAGCTACTTTGATCAGTTCGTGTGCAGATGAAATTCTTCTTGAATAATTCATCAATTTTTGAAGAAGCAGTCTATCTTTTCTTTAACACAATAACGTATAAACCCCAGTAGTATGGGAAAATATTTATATACCATCATAGTTAATAATCTTATATTGCAATACAATATAATCAAGCTTGATTTTCAAAATTTCCTATGACACTGTCGTACGAAAGTAAATTGGCAGCTATTAGGGAATACGTCATATTTTCCAGCTTCACTAATCTGCCTGTACAGTAACAAGTTCTCGAGTTCGATTCTTCTTGCCTGCACTAATTATGATCCATTGATCGAAACGCATTTTAATACTCACCATTGTAGAGGAAGTTCGTGCACTGAAATTGATAACATTCGGTAGATATTTCTCCTTGGGTAGATTCAGCAGATGGTCTAATACAATCGCGGTTTTGCCAGTGCCCGTTGGCCCGACGAATAAAATCGGAAGTTCGTTATCTAGGCACGTCTTCAGGAAAAATCTTTGGCAACAAGAATCGTTCGTTTGGATGATCAACTCGCTCGCCTAAAATAGTCAGTAATATCTATTTTGTTACAGGTTACAGGTTTATGTAAAACCACAATTTGTCTGTTATAGTATAGCGAAACGACACACTCTCTAAATGTAAGTCTCGTGACAGAGTAAAACAAACCTTTTGAAACTTGCTTCATGAAACGCGAAATTAATTTATTATATCGTCATATAACTCACGTATTGGAATTTTGAATATATTTATTGCATAGCCATACAGACTTGTGACGTCGAGGTGTGGCATGAATGTACTGAGTGAATCTTTAGATGGAGTATGATTTGGTGAATATTTTTTGCTTGCTTCATGCATTGTCAATACACACACTCTCTAAATGTAAGTCTCGTGACAGAGTAAAACAAACCTTTTGAAACTTGCTTTATGAAACGCGAAATTAATTTATTATATCGTCATATAACTCACATATTGGAATTTTGAATATATTATTGCATAGCCATACAGACTTGTGACGTCGAGGTGTGGCATGAATGTACTGAGCGAATCTTTAGATGGAGTATGATTTGGTGAATATTTTTTGCTTGCTTCATGCATTGTCAATACATTAACTTATAAACCCGTTGATCCACTGTCTCTGCGTTCAAACTCTTGTTTTATTTTTTACCTTAGCATTCGCCGGAATCTGTTGCACTTTATCCACGGTGTCTGACCAGTTGAGCCATGAGCCGTTATTTTTCTTATCGAAAATCCAATCGAACACTACAGAACGGTCCGGAAATATCTGGTTCCTTGCCAGCTTGTACGATTTCGGTTTAGGATGATGTTTGTTGTCTCCATTTAGGATTTTTCTGTAGAACACATCGAATGTCCTTTGTCCATCGTGGTTCAGCGTTGAGCCTAGACCCCAGGCGAGGCAAAATAGAAAGACACTTTGGAGCCAGACGGTACTCACTTGGTTTTCTGTTCTCAGTAGGCAAGTGAAGAGACGTGTGAAGGACTAGAAACAACGGTTTTCGATTAAAACGATGGACACAGAATTGCCGTCAAAGTTTTCTCCTTCTCTTAGTTACATTGGCAAAAGTTAATAAGTGCGCCTGATTTTATTTTCAAGTAAAACACAATATCTTTTCGAATTAAGCGAGTATATACAGGGTGGCGCGTCGAAAACGAAACAGATGCATTTACTGGCCGCTCAGTGTTTTTTTTAAAAACGCTCAGACCCGCCGATTTTGTTTTCGAGAGAGACTCAAGTTTGGCAAAAAATCACGTTAGCACGTGCAGTCCCCTGGGTGGCGGTGACACCAACCCTAAAATCTTAAATGAAAAGGGGGGTCGAGTGATACCTTATTTTAAAGGTCTTTCAATTCCCTTTATAATGATGTAAAATACATGAGCTTTAGTTCAGTAGTTTTGAAGATTTATTGATTTAAAGCTTAAAGTAGACTTTAATAGGTACATCAGATTAGTTGGTACTACTTTCAGAATAAATTTACTAAAAGAATTTACTTAATAAGTAAATGCTTTTCTTCACTGCGCCCATGGTTTGTTTATCATTTTGTTGTTGAAAATAGCTATTGGAGCGTTTTTTTTTTGTGGCAAAAAAGTGAATCTGACAACCCCAAACTTTGATAAAATAAACCTGATTTCCTTTACTCACCTTGTATAAGTAGATGAATAAAAACTATACATTGTACGTGTTTTCAAAAAGTTGGTCAAGAACCTCCCGAATACCGCAACTTGATATCTCTTTCCGTTTCGAACATATCGACATTTGAATTTTTGGTAAAATTTCCCATGTTGCATTGTCCACCAGTTTATATGTATGTGTAATAATTATTTAAATAAATTAAGTACATTTGAGTGACTACTAACATAAAATAAATGAATATCCGATGTTTCAACGAACTTCTTGCAATGAGTATTGATATGTTCGAGACATGGCGGAACCAGCCATTCCAAGCACTCTTGCAGGATTTCCAGTTGTTCCTGTAGCAATATTTTTTCCAGTTTCGCCAAGTAAGAATCCATGAAAGGTCTCCATCCGAGCAACGCTGGTTCCATATAAATCATTCCGCATCTAGACACTGTTGCTGGAGAAGCTTGTTCCAAGTCGGCCGGTTCGAAAATCAAATTCATCTGTGGAGACATCTAGAAAAAAATATTTCTTTACATTGATTAAGGCTGAAAATTTTACAGACAGAGCAATCTATTCATTAAAAATAGCGTTATTCAGTTCCGAGCTCAAACTGTCTGATAGGAAAGACAGCTCTGTTGGATATCTGCCTGTTCTTCGTTAACCTGCCGGCTCTCATACTTGATACAACTTCAGTAGCTTAGCGCCTATTGCAACTGAACCTTATTGAGCTTTGTGTACGATGAGCTTTAGTCATACTTATTGTCCATTATACAAACCTGAATGATTTCACCGGACATCAGACATAACTTTTTATTGTCATCCAAAACTGTGTTCATGTTTTCTATCCAGACGGCATCTACTGGGCCATCAAACAAAATCCATTTTCTATCTAGTGTTGTACTGTTTGCAAACTCCCTAAAACAAGCATAATCTACGGTGGTAGGAGCTAAGCCTTCAACGTTCTATTTGTTTACTTAATCAGTAATTATTACGTAAAAGACGTTTAATGTAAAAAAAAAACGACATGATGTCAAAAACAAACCCAACGTAATAATGTCACTTTACAACGAGGTAATTTTGGATTGCGTTCGAAAATGAAAGAAACTTGATCTAAATATTTCATTCTATACTGTGGTTGATGGTATTGTTGTTATTTATATCAGCTTAAGCTTGTAGCAATATATATGTACATATAAAATGTTTCATAAAAGTAGAAGAAACGTACGAATAATTGCATTCTTTTAACAGTAAAGCATATTTATGTTACCGAAAAGTGGTTGCCAATACGCCATCAGACCATTCGTGGGAAGCGGGATCGAACTGCCCATACAGCTGCCCCATTGTTATAGCTTTAGGATTGATTATTTTATAAATAACTGCGTGTTCTATCAGTTTACTGTTTGGATTGCTCGATAATGATCCTAGTCCTTCGGCTAACGACTGAAAAATAACAAAATTGTCAGATTCGTATGATACTCAAAAGAACCGTTTTTCCGTAAATCATGTCGTGGTGATAAATCAATAAATGGAAATTGAAATCCAGTTTTTTTGGATCACTACCAGCAATAACTAAAACTCTGACGTTCAACAAAAATATTTACAAAATTTCTAGTATTTCTAGATGATATATATATTTTATATACCCTGAAGAATCTAATTCCGTTGTAAAACAACTTATTACAATTTCTTCTCTTCAATACTAGATATCCTGGTCTATTTTTGGAAATTAAGCAATGTGTGATTATTATCTGACCTTAATAATATTTTCTCCTCACCTGATACGCACACGTTTTACCTCCCATAGGCTTGCCTACGATCATCAGACCGTGCCTCACGAGTATCATCTCGTATATCTGCATGCATTTTTCCACGTACCAGGGAGTTGGTTGCAAGTTTTTTTTCTTTATCTCTTCAATCAGACTTGCAATCAAGTCCGCCCTCTCGAAAGAGGGCAGTTCGACTCCGGGGAATAAATCGTTGTAGATACCGATGAACAGAGGTACATCCTAAAAGAAAGTACAAAGAGGACCCTAACTAGAGACACAAAAAGATGAAGAAAACAAATGTAACAAAGTAAACCGAGGCGTCCGAAACGTCAGCAAATTTGATCAAATAACATAAGACTTTGTTCCAGTAGAAGCAACTCGAGCAATAAGCATTGTTTAGAGTCTGATTTTGCGGAGGTATGACTATTACTCATAGTCAATATACAAAGTATTACAGATCTTAATCGAAACCATTGAACCCAGGAAGTACAGGGTGTCCGCAAAGTTGGGGTTTTCCTTTACACGACGTGTAGATCTTGAAAACATAAGCAATTTTTCTTAGTACCATATACACCAATGTCTTAAGGGAACCGAGATAAAGGGCTCTGCAACATCAAAAATATCTGAATACCGTCCTGTAGCCGCGACTCGCGATATCCCCGACTGGTACTAGGACGATTTCGGGCAGAGACGTACTTAGCCCTTCTCGTCAACTGGAGAGTGAGTACTTTTTTCTTTATATTTTTTTTACTTGGTCGCCCTCGTTTCACTACACATTACCTTTGTTATTTCAAGGGTAGTTGTTTCTGAAAAGAAAATCCCAACTTTGCGGACTAGCTCCGAAAAATATCCAATTTTTTTTTAACCTTATTCAAAAGGACCCCTTACAACAAATTTGTATGCTAGGAGGTCCAAAATTGGGTCAAGATTTATTTAACCAATTTTCAAATTCCAAAAATTGTAATTTTTGGCTTATGACAAAGTTTTTTTTTATTTTCATTGTACGATCTGAAGTTGGCAGATTTCGAGATGTAAGCGATTTAATTTTTGAAAAAGTGCAAAATATGTCATTTTCGACCACGACAATCAATATAGAAAAACGAAAATTTTAGTGTTGCTAAACATTTTTCAGGCAATCGATAATAAAATTTAAAGGCATTTAAGGGCGTATTGTTATTATATGCCTTTGTTTTTTATTTGTTAATCAACAGCGCGCTGACTAGGAATATATCTTTAGGACGCTTTATTACAGCTAAATTTCTAATAATATCAATAACCCTTAAAATGATTTGAGATTTTATTAGTAGATATTTGGAGAATGTTTAGGAATAACGGCAACATTAAAATGTTCTTGCTTTCATATTGGGGGGTTCGCAAATGGCTTGTTTCGCACTTTTTCCAATATCAAGTGGCATCTTGAAAACCCAACTCTAGAGAAAAGTGTATAAGAACCTTTTTTGTCCATAAGGACCAAGAAAAACTAAACAAAACTATCTGGATCGAAAAAACAATTTATGAAGTTTGTTTAAAAAATTGTCTAAATAGTTTTTGACGCAATTATTTAAGTAACTGTTCATTTTATTGATGTTCTAGACTGATACGTTTTTGCAGCTGGATACTATACCTGTGCTAAGAATTTTGGCAAATTGACATCTATAATTGCCCTAAGGACTAGCTGCCCTTCTTGTGCGTTTGGATAGTTTCTTCTTAGCGCCCCGGCAGCTAGAAGTACAGATTTGACAGCTCGCATTCCGTAATCGTAGTGATTTTGTGAGGATAGCTGTTCCGAGCATAATTTGTACGTGTGCACTATCTTTTGAGCGAGGCTGAAAAATTAAATATCACTATTCTCAATTTTAAACGATACCCAACTTTCGGTTATCTTTTTTTGAATTTTTCCCAAAAAAATTTACTGTGGGAATGATAATATATTACAAAAATTAAAGTATATATGTACTGCAACTTTGCTCAATTGGTTTAAAGAATATTTAATTAATCGATCCCAAATAGTAAAAGTTTCAAAAATCGTATTTCAAATAGATCACAATATAGACGTAAGTAAACCTCAAGGATCAGTCCTGGGTTCGATTCTGTTCTTATCGTATATCAACGAATTAATAAATTTAAACATAAATGGCAAAATCATAGTTTTTGCTGTCGATGCCACATTACTTTGACAAGAAACAGAGACAAATGAAATTGAAACAAAAATTGACAGATATTTAGATATTTAGATCAGACGTTTCCAGATCGATGGATTGGTAGAAGAGGTGCCATTGAATGGCCCCCAAGATCGCCAGATTTATCACCTTTGGATGTCTTTATGTGGGGTCATTTAAAAAGCAAAATCTATGCTACTCAGCCAACATCATTAGAAGACCTGCGACAAAGAATTGTGAATGAGTGCATCCAAATTACTCTCCAAATATTGCAAAATGTAGCCATTTTCGATATTTACTAACGGGTCAGTTCATTCTTGATTTTTAAATTACTTCGCTGCCAAATGTATTGATCTCCACTAATGATGATGTATTAGTTTCATTTAAGCTTTAAATCAATAAATCTTCAAAACTAGTGAACTGAAGCTCATGTATTTTACATCATTATAAAGAGAATTGAAAGACCTTTAAAATAAGGTAGCACACGACCCCCCTTTCCATTTAACATTTTAGGATTGGTGTCACCCCCGCCCAGGGGCCTGCACGGGTTAACGTGATTTTTTGCTAAACTTGTGTCCCCCTCGAAAACAAAATCGACGTCTGAGCGTTTTTCCAAAAAAAAAAACTGAGCTGCCAGTAAATGCGTCTGTTTCGTTTTCGACGCGCCACCCTGTATGTGTATGCAAGAATGAGTAGCAGCTGCGTAAAGATCGGTTTGTGTTTTCACTTAAGAAATCTAAGCTTCGCTTATGGTACAATTAGTCTACCCTGTTCACTTATTTCCTATGGCACTATGAAAAGAACTTATATATTTTTAGATATCATTTATTGAAGGCTCGAAAGCTTATCATATTATGGAGATTCGAGTGGTTTACCTCTTAGCTTGGACAAATCCATAAGAATACAGAGAAATCTCTCCAATCATCGCGTAATCTGGTACCATCATCGCTACAGTTCTAAACAAAACTTTAAGGTTGTCCGGTAGTTCCTGTCTCCCTGCATATCTGTAAACAACATGTAGATCTACACATCAAGCATACTGCCGATATTTACAAATATTTCAGTGAAACATTCTTAAATATATTATATGGTATAATGATTTAATTGTACTGTGTATCTTACCCTGGATTCATTGTGATGAAACAGGTACAAGTTGGATCCAAGGTGATTTCAGTTCCTTCAAAAACAAACTTTTTCAACTTAGCCGCAACCGCCATCTGGATGCTCAATATCTGTTGTGCCACAACAGAAAGTACTTCCAGCTCGATTCTGTTGAACTCGTCGAAACATGCCCATGCACCGGCCTGAGCTAGTCCCTGCAAAAAAATAAGTGTTTCGAGTCACGCCTGAAACACCATTTGGCTGCAACCTCAACGACGAATCCTGATGAAGGCTCCATAGAGAATTGCCGAAAGCTTGATGTTATCGTCAAAAGAGTTAACTAAAGTCTAAAAGTTTGCCAATAAAAAATATCTGAATACCGTCTTGTAGCCACGATATCCCCGAATGGTACTAGGACACTAGCTCAACCCGACGACAAAACTGGGTCGGGGTCAGTGTGTCAGGTCAGTATGCAACCTTCAACCGATGGTTACGGTCACGCGTGTAGAGGTAAACGAACCCATATAATCGATTGCGTTTCAAAAAACAACAAGCACTAGAGACGTGGCTAGAGAAGTGCAAGTATCAAAAACTAAAGTGTGGCAAACGCTGCGTGAAGAGGGGCTGTATCCGTTTCAGGTCCAACGTGTACAAGCCCTTCAACCTGACGATTTTCCAGCAAGAGTGCGGTTTTGTGAGTGGTTGTTGCATCAACATGACAATAATCCGGACTTTTTGAAGTGCATATTGGTGACAGACGAATCTACGTTCACGCGTAAAGGGGTGAATAACTTTCGCAACACTCATGTTTGGTCATTACGCAACATTTTGCCTTCCTTGTTTGCCTGCGTCTGCTCGGTAGCTCCTCAGCTGATTTCATTTTCTGTTGGAGCGGTATGATTTCGGGCAGAGACGTACTTAGCCCTTCTCGTCAACTGGAGAGTGAGTACTTTTTTTTATTTTTTTTTACTTGGTCGCCCTCGTTTCACTACACATTACCCTTGTTATTTCAAGGGTAGTTGTTTCTGAAAAGGAAAACCCCAACTTTGCGGACACCCTGTATATGTACTGAGCATTATTTGTGAAAATGATATTCTCCAAAAATTAATGACGGCAACTCAGAATAAAAAAATTAGAAAGACCTGCACAAGTAACCGAAACAAGCTCATGGATAGTGCAAAAGGTTTTTTAATAGTAATTCGATGCAAAACGTTAATCTGATGCTGCTTCAACTAAAATTTTTCGATAACGTAAAATCCATATAAATTGTTCGGATGAAGTTCGAACTACAGATTTTGCTGGCAATAAGATGTCACATATTAACAGGGGCTTACACTTATATGCGCAATAGTAGCTGCTGCGCACTGTTCTACCTCTTTTTTTTACTATGTATATGTCTATATAACCTGAATCAAGTGTGTGAGATAAAACATTTTTATTCAATACAAAATAACAGAATTATTCTAATTTAAATCCGCGTCTTGCTTTTCGTTCAGCAAAAACTTCCAACGCAGAATCCAAATTGAGTGTATACAGGGTGACTTCGAAGTTGAGTCATTTATTTTAACAGTGAGTAGATCTGATCAAAAGAAATGTTTTTTTCCTTTAACATTTTTGGGGTAAAATTAAAGTAACAAAGTTATAGCCCTTTAGAAGTTTGAGTACCGCCCTGTCTCAATAATAATATTATGTGCTCGTGTTTGGCAACAACGTATATAATCCGCCTTATCGGTTCATCGCATCGGAAACAAAAAAGCGAAAGAATTTGGAACGATGTTTTTACAATTATTTTATTCATTTGTATACAGTCAGTGTCAGTCGGTAACGCGTGAGTGAATAGTGGTGTCTGTTGCGTGGCTCAAACGAAATAAAAAATGGCACATGTTTATGCGGATCGGTTTCCCAATCGAGTGCAACCAACCCCTCGTGCCTTTGTTAATGTAGTACAACGGGCTTGTGAATCAGGTGACTTAAGACCTCACAGGGGACGGCATGCCGGTGCTCCAAGACCTCACGATCAAATACAGGTCCGCACTGAAATACTTGTCGGGAGGATACTTTATAAAACAAGGTAAACATTTTTTTTTATTTTTTTTTATTTTTACACACATATTTTGGTTTATCGTCCTTCTACAATCATTATCTGAAAATTAATGACTCAACTTCAAAGTCACCCTGTATAGATAGATATAGAGGATAGAGAAGTTGTTGAGTGTGTCTTCAGCCAAAGAAGCTCGACTGTATTCTTTAATAATTTTCAAACAGCTCATGACACGTTCAACACTAGCTAAACCGATAGGCAAAGTCAAAAATAATCTGAATAAACTACAGCTCTCTATAAAACTGTCTATAAAAATGTCTTATTCAAACTGAATGCTAACGCGCTGTTTCATAAACATTACGCAGATGGTCATTAAAAGAATATAACAACACTATGATTTCTTGTTATTAATTTTACATTCAGACGCGCTGAACAATATAGACACTATAGCTGATTTTTGCTGTGGGCCAAGGGCCAAGGCGGCAATGTCCATTTTGCCATTACTGAAATCCGCCACTGATGCTTGTGACTTTACCCACCTTGAAGAATTTTCCAAGTGCTTTGTAATCCAACCCGTCGGAGCAGTTAAATACAACACACTTTTTTGCGACAGCTTTCGCCAAATCCTTGCAAGTTTCTGTCTTGCCGGTACCTGCAGGACCCTCGGGTGCGCCACCGAGGTTCAACTTTAATGCACCCATTAATGTCCTGAACAGAAAAATATAAAGCTCAACATTAACAATCCTTGAGCAGATCATTTCGAATGTACTATAAAGAATAAATCGGAAAAATTGATGTCCTTTGGCTCTTGGTATCTTGGATAGAGAGTGAACCGCTTACTACAATGCTTAAATGTCCAGTGGGAAAGTTCAGATTGGGGAGAGGTCTTGATCGACGCGTTCGATCGTTCGGCGTGCGGGTTAAATAGTCACAATGGAACGTTGGACCGGAGCGCAACGTGCTTTTGCTATCTAGACTTACTTTAAGCAGCTGCCCTTCGGAAATTTTGTACACGATGGAACATTCGCCGACCAAGTAAGAACCTATTGAAAAAGTGGATTAAGAGGTTCCGTCAAACAGGCTCTACTCTTAGTTAACCCATTCCTGGCTCACACCTACTGTATCAACCAAAGGAGATATGCGTCGAGTAAGTCATTGCAAATCCTCTGGGTTCTGTACGAAGCATTCCGATGCTTTGGGAATCTCTAGGCATAATAAAGAGAAAAATGGGTTTTCATCTTTATAAAATCCAATTTATGAAACATTTTATATGTACATATACAGGGTGACTTCGAAGTTGAGTCATTTATTTTAACAGTGAGTAGATCTGATCAAAAGAAATGTTTTTTTCCTTTACCATTTTTCTGGTAAAATTAAAGTAACAAAGTTATAGCCCTTTGGAAGTTTGAGTACCGCCCTGTCTCAATAATAATATTATGTGCTCGTGTTTGGCAACAACGGATATAATCCGCCTTATCGGTTCATCGCATCGGAAACAAAAAAGCGAAAGAATTTGGAACGATGTTTTTACAATTATTTTATCCAGTTGTATACAATCAGTGTCAGTCGGTAAAGCGTGAGTGAATAGTGGTGTCTGTTGCGTGGCTCAAACGAAATCAAAAATGGCACATGTTTACGAAAATGCTGAACCTGTGGACATGATTCTTATTTACGCGGCATCACGGATTTATGCGGATCGGTTTCCCAATTGAGTGCAACCAACCCCTCGTGCCTTTGTTAATGTAGTACAAAGGGCTCGTGAATCAGGTGACTTAAGACCTCACAGGGGAGGGCATGCCGGTGCTCCAAGACCGCACGATCAAATACAGGTCCGCACTGAAATACTTGTCGGGAGGATACTTTATAAAACAAGGTAACATTTTTTTTTATTTTTACACACATATTTTGGTTTATCTTCCTTCTACAATCATTATCTGAAAATTAATGACTCAACTTCAAAGTCACCCTGTATATATATATGTAAATATACAGGGTGTTCCATAATTATTGCGACAAAATGATAGGGGTTGTAGAGGGCATCAAAATGAACAATTTTTCCTTATAAACCCCTGTTCGGAAACATGCCGTTTGGGCTGCAGCAAAAAAAAAAGATCAGTTTCTTGAAACAGCTTACCTACAGTAATTGCTCAAAGTGTCCTCCACCTTGCTCAATACACACCTGTGCACGATTGTTCAATGATCGGCGAACTCTGTGGCATACCCCCGGTATGTCCTGAACATGTGCGGACGCGGCCATCACTCTTCCCAGTAGCTCTTGTTGGTTGGGAACAGGAGTTTCGTACACTAAAGCTTTCAGATAGCTCCAGATAAAATAATCCAGTGGAGTCAGGTCAAGTGACCGCGCAGGCCAAGGCACAGGGCCACCTCGGCCTATCCACCTATTTGGAAATTTGTCGTCCAAAAACTGCCGCACTTGTAAAGAAAAGTGGGCTGGACCGCCATGGTGTTGAAACCACATGTTGGCTCTTATATTCAGTGGCACATTTTCTAATAGTTCCGGTAGCACATGCTGTAAGGATCGACCATAAGCATGCCCATCCAAACGTGGTGGAAGCAGATATGGTCCGATGATATGCTCGTCCACAATGCCGCACCAGATGTTAATTGAAAACTGATGTTGGTCTCTATGGATGGCTATGGCATGAGGGTTTTCTTCATCCCAAATGTGACTGTTACGGCTATTAAAATAACCGTCCTTTGTAAAACAGGACTCGTCAGTGAACAAAACGTAGCGACCAAAGTTTGGTTGCCTCAACTCCTGCTGCAGCCACCAACGACAAAAACGTCGACGCGGCAGATAGTCTGCTGGACCCATGGCTTGGACTTTTAAAAGGTGGTACGGGTGTACGATAACAAAAATGTAAACACAGCAGGCTTTTTCTACAAACCGGCGAGACCATGAAATGTGCTAGACGAACATTTTGCAGCTGGTGAATTTTTTGTTTCTCCTATGAGCTCTTAAGGTAAAATTAACTGTAGTGCTCAAACGGCATATTTACGAACAGGGGTTTATAAGGCAAAATTGCATATTTTTATGCCCTCTACAACCCCTATCATTTTGTCGCAATAATTATGGAACACCCTGTATATATGTATATATAAATATGTATATATTCTTGATATTCTTTGGGTAGAAGGGTATTGCAAAAGTCCACTCTTATAACTTAAACTCAAGCTTTCGAAGATCTATGCCTTCATCGTCTGGAGCTGGAAACAATTATTGACAATAGCAACAATTAACAATTACGAGAAAAAATAGTTACTAAGTCGGGGAGATTGTTATATTTTCTTTTCATTAAGTTTGTATTTTTTTTCTTAAATCAAAACTTTCGCACTGGACACCCGTATATAATCTACCTGTAACACCTATCTGTTAAAGGTGTAGCTACCAGTCGCCCAGTGTTTCCCAAGTACTCGAATCCGTACATGACTTCCGTAGTAATCATGGAAACCGTCACAAGGAGGTCGCGCCAGTAATAGCGCAGCTGTGATATCCAGTTGAAATCTGCTACAGACACCACTTTCAATTCCTTCAGCATCTTGACGATGTCTCTACCTACAAAAAGGGAGCAACTGGGTCGATTTGAATTTGGCGTTGGTTGTTTAACGAGTATTTTGGGGCGACAAATACAATATAGAATTTATGAAGGCAGTATTTCAGGAGACAGAAGATGAATTCAAACATTAATCTTACTTGTATTAATAAGATCTTGTCAAATTTCAGGAACTATTACAATAGCTAATTTTTTATATGTTTGTATTATGAGGTTCATGTACAAACACTATTAATTAAGTTACCACCATATTGCCCTGTAATTGGATTAGTCTGTGTCTGTGTATGTATAAATAAATAAAAGAATTCGAAGAAATTAAAAGTACATAAAAATATCGTACAGTGTACATCAATGACGATTAATGCTTCTACGGTTACTTGATTGTTAGGTTTTAGATTGCCTTGCACCATTTTCACACTCTGTTCTATCTGAGTTGTGCACAATGCCTCTTGTTGTGACAATGATCCACTGAAAATAGCATTTGTAACCTGAAAAACAATTATCAGATATTAATTACTAATGAGTCACCAAACAAGCAATATCTAGCTGCAATAGAGTAGTCAGCAACATACGGCAATACTTTTAGTATGCCCCGGCTATATTGCTGTACATAATTCACATATCATACCTATTTTTTATGCTGATGTCAAATTATCAGTACGGGTAATCCTACTTAATATAATATAATTATATTCCGGCCTCGTCTCGTAAATAGAATATATGTAGTCCCCGTTTCCCGGTTAAAACCTTGTTCGCGTGCCACATGAACATCTCATACGAGCAATCGCTGAACACAAATATTAGACAGCTGGAGCGAAGGTGGGCCGATAATTATGATGAGTTCGATAACGACTAAACACTGAACTCCGTTGCTTGTGATGGTAAGTTGTACTTAGCTTGTGATGACTAAGATCGTACGACAAATAACAACACTAAAAGCGTTTGAGACAACGTAAAGGCACAGTATGGTCAAGAATCTCTTCTCATTTGCTAATAGCAAATTCCACCTGGTTTGTGATAACCATGGAACAAGATTGTAAGTATAAACATGACAACTTAGGAAACCGCCAAGGTTTTTTTTTAAATTTTTGATCCTACGTACGTCGTATTACCTGTTGTTGAAAGCCCCAACATTAGTTAGTACTATGGTAAATTTACTTGACACATTGGATTTTAAGAGTGTTGGAGAAGAAGAAAAAAGTAAGTATTTTCAAGAAAACTGCTACTTTGTCATGCGGCATTCTATCAAACGATGAAAAAATCTTTAAGGCGTCGTTCATTCGGGAGAATTTGCAAAGTCTGGACTACGAGGTCCCTGTTCGGACCTCACTGTGTCAGACTCTACGTATCGTGTACTTCAACCTTCGTTAACAAAACGTGAAAGAAGATGGTCCTCAGTTTGTACCCGGCACCTTAAAATTCGTATATCGTACTTGGGCACGCACCCGGCGCTGCGCGCGCGGAATATATTTTCTGTACGTGTGTATTTTGCAGTCAATAGATAACCGTGCTACGCACCAAGTGAGGACCGCAAGCAAGGCAACAATGGTCGGACCGCGGAAGGTGGTCTTGTCGGTTTATAGGAAGACGCGGTGTTCATCTAACATTAAAATAGATGTCGTTTTAGGTGGGAAAGTTTTGAGACAAGCTACTTTCTGCGCAGTGGCGTGCTAATTTTGACGCTCAACGTGATCGATAGATGAAGTAGATTGACCTATTTCTAAATAACCTATGCATACCTCAGCAGTCCATTGAACGCAATCTACACATTGGACCACCTGACCAGGCCAAGCCAAGATCCAAGTCGGTCTTTCTACCGTTGGATAGTGTTTCACAGCATCCCGCGTTATATCTTTTAAAGACTGTATCATGATGCTTTCCACCTGCACCAACCATTTCTCTACCATTCCTTTAGCATCGGCTGGGATGACTTTTCCGGTGAACGGTACCTTCTCTTTTTCGGCGCTGACCATACCAACAACCTAAAAAACGGTGTCAAGTAAGTTGACTCCGCATTTTACACGTAACGCTATCATTATATCATACCATTTATTGACATATATACAGGGTGACTTCGAAGTTGAGTCATTTATTTTAACAGTGAGTAGATCTGATCAAAAGAAATGTTTTTTTCCTTTAACATTTTTTTGGTAAAATTAAAGAAACAAAGTTATAGCCCTTTAGAAGTTTGAGTACCGCCCTGTCTCAATAATAATATTATGTGCTCGTGTTTGGCAACAACGTATATAATCCGCCTTATCGGTTCATCGCATCGGAAACAAAAAAGCGAAAGAATTTGAAACGCTGATCACGATGTTTTTATTCAGTCAATGTGTCAGTCGGTAACGCGTGAGTGAATAGTGGTGTTTGCTGCGTGGCTCAAACGAAATAAAAAATGGCACATGTTTATGCGGATCGGTTTCCCAATCGAGTGCAACCAACCTCCTCGTGCCTTTGTTAATGTAGTACAAAGGGCTCGTGAATCAGGTGGCTTAAGACCTCACAGGGGAGGGCATGCCGGTGCTCCAAGACCGCACGATCAAATACAGGTCCGCACTGAAATACTTGTCGGGAGGATACTTTATAAAACAAGGTAAAAATTTTTTTTATTTTTTTTTTATTTTTACACACATATTTTGGTTTATCTTCCTTCTACAATCATTTTCTGAAAATTAATGACTCAACTCCAAAGTCACCCTGTACATATATACAATGTACAACTGAGTCCTATAAACTATTTTATTATTTATCAGAGTTACGTTATAACATCAACATACTCATCAGCTGAATATAAACAGTGCTCAAGCAATATTTTTTTGAGAAACAGCGATTAGACAGCGAATATATTTAATAATTTAATGTTAAGTGTATAATTTTTAGTCATGTCCAATTACTTTTGCAATCAAACAGGTCTCAATCCACCATTTCCTATAAAAACGCAAAACCGGCAAAGACAGACTTGGACTATTGCTTATACACAATATCTTGCAAATCGGTAGGTTTGATTTAATGAGCAGTCGACGATCCAGCCATTCTTTATTCGTAGAGAATCTGAATTATTTAATTTGCTTACCTCTTCATCTATGGAAAAGTCTAATTGATGAATGCCTTCGAAGCATTTCTTCAGGTGAGGTTGCACCCTTAATGGATCTTTAGTTTCAGACAATATCTCTAGTAGTTCGTCATTTGATAAGAAAAAGAATCTACGAAAAAAAAAGATTTTACTTAATCGCTTGCAGGTCTGTTTCTTGAACACCAGAAAGCTTGACACATTTTAAGAGAACTTAGAACCTATCTACCTTGGGAAGAACAGTCTCTTCTTCTCTAGATAGTCGTTCAGACCTTTCTGAATCTCATCCAATAACCGGTTGTTTTCCTTCAGCAGTTTCAACATATCTTTGAAATCAGTGGCCGCCAAAACATGCGGGTCCTTCACGGTATGGCCTTGAATAGCCCTCCATACCCTATCAACAACCTTGAAGTTCCTCGCTTCAGTCGGCATCTGTCGCATTATGTCTTCCGAGCTAAATATCGGCTCTAAGTACATCCATGTAGCTTGACACTATAATAAAAAAATGAGGTCAGTTCAGTTAACGCATCCGACGCAGTTCTGAGTAACAACGATTACCATCAACCATTGCTCTAAAATGTCCTGCATAGAGATCAGCTTCTCTTCCCAAGCTTGCATTTCTGCCTCAAAGGCTTTCACGTATGGAGATCCTCTCATTGTTTGCGCCTTCAGAATGTGATCGTCCATCATCACTTGAATGTCGTCGACTGCGCTCAAAATATTCACACCAGTTTCCCTAAATCAAAGAGTAAGTTAGCTGTATTGTGAACAATGTTTAACAAAAGTTTTTTTTTGATCGATTACGTTGAGGTCTTATTTTGACGAGTATTCATAAACGTTTTCACATTGTGGAAGTTTCTTTAATCAATAATAAAGACAAAATAAGTAAACTATGCCATAATTTACAAATTCGGAGTTAGCTGATATGCATTTTGCCTACGGACTTGCTGACGGAAATGCGCTTATGACTCGGCGCATAAATCAAGAGCGCTATCTATGGTATTAAAGTTATGATGACGGATTTTGTCTTAAAATTTTAACACCCTGTAACTCAAAAGTTGAGAGGTTTAGGGCATATGTTCATATAAACTTTTCTTCCTAAAATGAGCTAATGACACCCTGTATACTAACGCCAGCAAATTAAGATAAACCCTCCCTCTACTCCAACAACCCCAATACCCCAACAAAAGAAAAAAGAAAATGTGTTGAAAGAGTATCACGGTATCACTATTCCAGGACGGAAAATTATTAACTAATAGTACACCAACCTGTATGGTACCATCTCGAACCTTATATCCACCCATTCCTCTTTCATCTTCGCCAAATTCTTCTCCAAAGCATATTCTTTTGTAGCGGCTGCACCTATTTCTTCCAGTTGAGCAGTAATCTTCGGCAGACCGATCTCTATCATCTCATTCAACGTCGAGTCCTCAGTGATCACTATCTGAACTCCTACCGTTTCGCTGATCTACAATAATCACTGATTGAAGAAAGGTCTATTTAATTCGATCAGACAAACTATAAACAAAATGACGTCGTGCTGATCGGTTGCACTGCTAGAACAAACTTCAAAATTATATACTAAGTGACATATAAATCCGAACACCCAGTTTAAATGGTTTTATTTTAATACAAGTTATCTTACTGTAAATAACAAGTGAAAAAATTTTCAGCCTTATCAGTTGGACATTCCGGTTTTTATACTGCTTTTTTTTAATTCAATAACGCTCTAAAAATGAGTATTTCAGCCGCAGTAAAGAATCAACGTTGGCGGATTTTGGTTCTTGACATCCTTTACGATCGGTTACGATGCCTAGAGTACGGAGACCTGTACGATTTCGTCAACTCAGTGAGTTTGATAGGGGCCGTATAGTGGGACTTCGGGAAGCTGGACTTTCTTTTCGGGCAATTGCAGTTAGAGTGCAAAGATGTGTAGACACTGTGGTTAGGTGTTGTCAGGCATGGCTTCGAGAAGGCCGTACGTAAAGAGCAAGGGGCACTGGACGCCGCCGTAGAACAACAGACCGTGAAGATCGCCGCCTAAGATTATTGGCCTTATGGGACCGTTTCTCCACTACCAAGTCCATTGCAAATGAATGGTTTGCAGAACACGAAAGACCTATTGGCATGCGAAGTTTTTACCGACGAATGAGAAGTTTTGGCTTGTTTTCATACCGGCCACACTGGGTCCTCCCTTTAACTCGAGAACACCGACGTAATCGCCTTGAGTGGTGCAGACAATGGTCACTCTGGGATCAGGAATGGAACAGTATTGTCTTTAGTGACGAGTATCGATTTTGTTTAGGCATGCACGATGGTCGTGCCAGGGTTAGAAGGCGACGTGGTGAAAGGAGGAATCCACAGTTTTTTGTTGAAAGACGTGTTCATCACACTGTTGGAGTTATGGTTTGGGGTGCTATAGCTTATGGTTCCAGGTCACCTTTAATCTTCATCAGAGGTAACATGAACGCGCAGCGTTATATCCACGAAGTTCTAGAACCCCATCTTTTACCCTATCTTGACACCCTGGCAGATCCAACTTTCCAACAAGATAATGCCCGACCACATGTTGCAAGAGTCACAATAGACTTCTTTCAACATAATGATGTCACATTGTTACCATGGCCACCAAGATCTCCCGACTTATCCCCAATTGAGCACGTGTGGGATATGATGGATAGGAGATTGCTCAATTTGCAACGTCCTCCTCAGACTCTAGAATAACTTCGAGAGGAGTTGGTGGTTGCCTGGAATGAGATACCACAGGAGGACATTGACCACCTGATCAGAAGCATGCCTAGGCGCGTTGGAGAATGCGTAGCACATCAGGGTGCATCCACACATTATTAAAGGTCAAAGGGCTTTAAACCAGTGCAATCATTTTCAAATTTTTATCATTTACTTATTATGCTTCATTAAGTACTTATACAAAATTTTATTAAAATAAAACCATTTAAACTGGGTGTTCGGATTTATATGTCACTTAGTATATTTAAGATCAATTTATAATTGTATATGTATAATCTTTCTCAACATTTCCAAGGCGGCTCCTCAATCAAAGCCCCCCATTTGCTCTCCACCCATTCCTTTCTTTGTTTTCCCTTATTTTTTCGCAACTGTGAGTAACAGCAAAGATCCTCAGTCAGTGACGAATAAAACAATATTCTTCGTTTTTTCATTTGAGAGAAAAATATCGATGACTTTGTTTCAGTCAAAAGCAAGACCTTGTTCAGTAGACTCAAAATTGATGACGAGTCACCAACTTCATGGCCACATAATGATCATTTTCAGTACGCCAGCAATAAGGTGCAAACACTGAGAGCAGTTAACGATACGGCAGAAAGAGCGGTCAAGTCAATGCAAGACATATCTTAATCACTGCTGATGAGGAACAAAAACAATTTTTATTATGTTGTGCACAATAACGAAGGCAGGTATATCCTGACTGTAAACAGTAAACTTTGAAAAGAAAATTTTGTAAATAATGTCGTTTTAATGATAAATATAGTCTGGGACAACCTAGTGTCCATTGATTTATGTAATTAACTACACGCGATATTACTTCTGGATGGTGATAACTTGCCTTATTCCAGTGTCTTTGTTGCAACCCTTTATTGCAAACCGTTTGCAAAACGGGCAGAAACTGCCGGAACTTTTCTACTTTGGCTCTGACCATTTCTGCTATCCTTCTTGCGCCGGGATTATCTGTGAATGTCTTTGCTAGTTTATACAGTGTTCTCCATATAGTGTCCACGTACTCCGTTATTTCCTCTGCGTCCAGTTCAGCAAACGGACCGTAGTACCTATAAATCGATAGCTTCACTTCCTCAGACAACCGTTGTGAAGGTTGTTCTTACCACAAATCGTAGTTTTTGTTATACTCAAGGACATTATGCCACAATTTGTCATATGGATCTATCATTGAAATCATCTTGTAAAGATTCATGAACGGCGATGCATCCATATCCAACAACTGTTCCTCTTCATTGATCTGTTCGGCTTCAGCTTTGTCCTCCTGAAAAATTAATGTTTTATAGGTATTTTTTGAAGTGGTACGAATGCGTCAATCGGGAATGCGTACCAGCATCGGGATTGTTCTGTTCTACTTAGTCCGAATTCGCCTAAAGCTAGAAAATAGCACAGCGTATTGGATGATGCACAGACCTCTAGCTTTTTCACTAGGTTTTCGACCACAGACACAGCGTCTTCCATCTCCTCCATAGTGAGCATCGGCGGATCCCTCTTTTTAAAAGCGACCAACATTTTTTCGTGTTTTTTGAGCCTCGCATCGAAATGTACCCGTCTGGTCCGCAGGCTCTGTTCGGCAAAGTCCCTCTTCATGCTGATCCTTTGTAGGGCCAGATCGATCACGGCTTCCATGTCCTTCGGCCAGACGAACACGCGGCAGTTCAATACGATATCATCACCTGGAATAATCAATTTGAAGCAGAGTTTGAATCTGTTTGACGAGGTGCAATATTACATTAATTTTCTCGGTTTTTATATAAAAATAAGTCAACATTTGAATCCGGTATAGGTACTCAAGCTTACGTACGAATCAGATGCGCGTGGTCCATTAAAAACAAGACATTTTCAGCGGTTTTTCTGATTTGCTCTTTCAAGTTATACATAGTAACGTCCCTACACTCGACAACGTAGTTTTGGAGTGCGACCAATTCTGCGACCGTATCTGGACTACCGCTGACCTTCTGAGACATTTCATCAAACGTATCGCAAATCCTGAAAAAATAATTTATGACCAGAGTGTCACACTCGCAAGCAACGGTTTTACTTTCTATTATGATCGTGGTTTTCCTTCACGAAGTGGTCTACGATCGTATTACGAAGTAGGGAGACGACACGATACAGGCTCTCGTTCAGTCGTTTGCAATTCAAATTGAAGAGGTTTAGTGGTATGTTGTTTCTGAGCAATATTATTTCATCACGTAGTTCTTCGTACTTGTAAATTCTTCTCGCAAAGTCCTGAAATGTAACAATACTTTTAGTTTACCTCATTAGTACACTAGAGGAACAAAAATGGAAGATGTTACATGTTATACAGGGTCTAGAAATTTATCTATGCAAAACGATAACTAACCACTGTTACCGTTTGCGATCGATTGCCGGTTCGATAAGGTTGATGAAAAATTGACGCGCTGTTGTCGTGTGTGTTTTAAATATTTAATTTCATGAAACTTACTTACTTACTGACTACAAATTTTGGCTTAACTTAGAAAAACTTAATGCCATTTATTTGTTAATTACTCAATTTACGTGTGCGAAGATTCAAATTAATCAAACTTCTGGAAATTGTCAGGCGAAAGGTTAATAAAAGCGTGTTAAAAATGAGTCCCAAACGATATATCATTACTGATACTTATTCTAATCCCCGCTAATATCTACCTTCAAATACGGGAAAGGGTCCAGGTTAAAGTACTCCTCCAAATCTTTTTTTGCTGTTCCGTTTAACAGATAATAGTAATTCTCGTAAAGCTGTAAGTACTTCTCAGGCCCAATGAAGTTTGTAACGAATGCTTCCAACATTTCGTCGTGTAACGCCACCACAGTTTCGTCTGTTTCCAAGACAGGGTAGAGGTGTCGTTTCTCGTCGGAAAATTCTGGAAAATCGTCAAGTCTCATGAAGATGAATAGCTGAACTCGTTTTCACATACTCTACAACTTTCGTACCCGCACAGCTTTCGCGTCAGACGCGGCAACACGGCAGTGCGGCCAGAATACTTACCGAGACCGGTACGCTCGCCGGTGATCCCAGACAGCAGAAGCGGTGACGCGTATCGAAAGCGTTTCTCTATCTTTCTGCTCTAAGGGATCATTTACGGGGAGATCTGTGATATGTGAATTTTTTCAAGGTCGTTTCGAGTCTGTCATTTTACCTGGAAACATTATTGCCTCAATCTTAGGAAGCTCGTAATTGACAGCTACTATTCGGGAGAAGCAGTCCTCGAACATTTTTCGTATTTCATCGAAAGTTGGAGTCAGAAATATTTTTTCGGTTCCAAGCTCGGGTTGTGCTACTATTGTAAGAATCGGGAGATTGATAAGCGCAAGGTCTCTATATTCGTTTCCATAATCGTTCCCATCCTGTAAAACAAATGTCTGCTGTTAAGGGCGCCCGCAGGGGGGAGGGGGCAAGGATCCCCCCTAGAAATCCAGTTGGACATTAGACTTTGCATAATTTATTTATATAATCTTGATTTGGTTTCCCCAGGGAAAAATTTGCTACCCCCCTCTTCAAGGTTTATTTAATACACGATTCCAAAATAATTGTCAAATTCGTTTCTATTGCAATATTGTTTCATGTGTGCAATCAACTTACCTTGAACTTGAACAGTAAACTGATAAAGTGCTTCAGGCTCTTCACGACCAACGTTCTCAATTGCATTGACATAAGGACATTGGCACATTCGAAAAATCTCTCGATCAACACCGAAGAATCGTGTTTAGTTACTGGAATGTAGCATTTCCATTCTTGCTTGTTCTCCAAGAATATGTCCGCACATGCTGGCAGCCATTCCTTCTTGAGTATTTTTCTTCATAACACAGAAAGCATTAGAATCGATAATTTTAAAAACTTCATGAGTCACACAATTTAATTCTTTTAGGAGATTATAGAAACTGTGTCGTTGACGAATAAATCAGTCTTACAAAAGTTATTTTAGGCTATAGTATACTAAGTGACATATAAATCCGAACACCCAGTTTAAATGGTTTTATTTTAATAAAAGTAAGTGAATGTATTTATCTTACTGTAAATAACAAGTGAAAAAATTTTCAGCCTTATCAGTTGGACATTCCGGTTTTTATACTGCTTTTTTTTAATTCACTAACGCTCTAAAAATGAATATTTCAGCCGCAGTATATTTACATTACAATTACAATTTATTACGTTTTTCATATCATTATTTAACAGGTCTGCAGTTTCAATATCTTTATTAGATATATAGATTACTGTATCATCAGCAAATAGTTGAATTTTGCAGTGTTGTAAAATATCAGAATTATCGTTAATATATGAAAAAGATAGTAATGTTTTTAATGCTTGATAATGTATTATCAATTTTAGTTTTTTGACTTCTATTGATTAAATAATTTTGTAATAAGATGAATACTAAACCTTGAAATCCATAGCAATACAATTTCGATAACAATTTCTCCCTGTCAATAGTCTCAAATGCTCTCTCGAAATCTAAGAACAATGTTACTGTAAACTTTTTTTCATCCATATTTCGCCTCCATTCTTCTACTACCATTTGAATTGCTGTTTCATAACCATTTTTTAAAGATGTTCACTAGGATTTCTATTCGATTTTAATTTTGTAATAGCTTTTGAAAGATGGCTGATAATTATTGTTTGGAATTGATATACAGTATAATATATAACACTGAACAATTTTCAAATGCATTTTCACAGATTTAATGCAGGATAATTTTTGAGCGAGTATATGTCTCGGAGAAATACTAGACCAATGCAACTTTAGGCCACCCTGTACATGTTTCAGAAATGCAATATCGATGATTCAAACAGTAGAGATGATAAACCTGTAAATAAATATCAAACAGCTATTGCATTTAATTTACCGTACCCACAATATGGTAATAAGGAGATTATGGCAGAAAGCCACGAGGCTTCTGTAGGGTATTTTGCTTCACAACATGTGCCGCGTCATATAACTTGTTCCGTGGGCATTTCATATTGCAAAATATGCAGAATAAGAAACTCACCTTGAGTTCTGACATATATCGAGTACTCTCTGTCCAAACTCCCCTGGAGAGATTGGAAATGGGGATTTTTCCTCTAATTGCTCTAGAGGTAATATCAACATGTTCTCGTAGCTAAAATGTTTGAAAAGTATAATCGTGAAGGAATATTAGATCATATTCGATAGAATTTAAGTTTCTTATGTTGGCAAGCATACAATTTTACTCACCTTTCGAACCAAAGGTCACGAATTTTTCTTAAAACAACATTACCGTTATAGTAATGTCTCTCCATTTGTTGTTGATTCAAACAGAAGGCGGTGTGCCATGGAACTGGAGCACGAATCAACATGATTGGGTAATCTATTGGAAAAGTCTCAAAATTCAACCTGGAAGGAAAACAATGAATTTTTATAATAGTCGATTATCACCGCGTTTCGTAGATTCCCCATTCAGATTGTTACTCCTTTTTTCAAATCTGCGCTTACCTTCTCCACTCTCCTGGATCATGAAGGACGTATTGCAATAAATTTTTTCTCATAAAAACACAGTACAACATTAGTATTAAATTCTCATCGGCCGCAATCATTGATTTGTACTCCCTTATACTTTTGTATTTTTCTGGTATTTTTAGACGAACTCGTTTTAGAAGCGATCGATCGTAAGGTAGTATGTGTTCAGGAAGTATTCCCTGAAAACAAGAAAAAAAATTGTCAATTAATATAATTTAAGAGTGCTTGTATTGGTAATGGTAATGTTTGGCCTGCTTCTTTCTTAAAGTTTCTCTATCTATAAGTTTGCAACCATGTCTTCAAAAACAGATGTTTTGTTTTTTTAAGGATGTAATAGCATCATGTATATAGCATGGATTTCAAAATCCACTCCGTACCTCGGTCAGATAATAAACCGTCCTTTGCAAATCTTTCTTTGTGATTGGCTTTTTCATATCTTCTTCGCACTGGTTGAGCAAGTATTCTCGTTGTTCGTCAGGATCCTTTGGTAGTATGGCTTGCAGTTTTTTCATTTTTCTGGAAAAAGGTTCTAATGTAAATCATGTTCGTACGATCGTGATTAAGATTAAGTGCTTCCAAAATGTATGTGTTACTGTGTGTTCAAAATATTTTGTTTTAATAGTGACTCAACCTTATGATCATTTGCAGTTTTTTACTTATTAAATAAATTCTTTTAGTTTTAGTCAAATTTCTTCTGAAAGTAGTACAAACTAATCTGATGTACCTATTAAAGTCTACTTTAAGCTTTAAATCAATAAATCTTCAAAACTACTGAACTGAAGCTCATGTTTTTTACATCATTATAAAGGGAATTGAAAGACCTTTAAAATAAGGTATCACTCGACCCCCTTTCCATTTAAGATTTTAGGGTTGGTGTCACCCCCGCCCAGGGGGCTGCACGTGTTAACGTGATTTTTTTGCCAAAGTTGTGTCTCCCTCGAAAACAAAATCGACGGGTCTGAGCGTTTTTTAAAGAAAAACTGAGCTGCCAGTAAACGCGTCTGTTTCGTTTTCGATGCGCCACCCCGTATAATAGTTTCAGCCTAAAATAGCATGTTTTGATGATGGTATTAACACGCATGTAAAAACGTAGCTCTTCGTCTATGAGTAAGCCCAAGCTTTAGCATACATGATTAAATTTTAAATCTGCCCTGCTTATTTTCAGGTTGTGGCTTGATTTTAAATGTCTCTGTTTTCCTTTCTTAATAAATAGTACACTTGATTTATGAGGATTGAGTTTCATGTTATTAATAGCAGAATAGTTGTCAATACTTTCGAGATCAATATTGATCTTAGCCTCAGCTATTTTGAAATCATCAGGTGGAAAGCTTTATAATATACTAAGTGACATATAAATCCGAACACCCAGTTTAAACGGTTTTATTTTAATAAAATTTTGTATAAGTACTTAATGAAGCATAAGTAAATGATAAAAATGTCAAAATGATTGCACTGCTTTAAAGCCCGTTGAGTTTTAATAATGTGTGGATGCACCCTGATGTGCTACGCATTCTCCAACGCCCCTAGGCATGCTTCTGATCAGGTGGTCAATGTCCTCCTGTGGTATCTCATTCCAGGCAACCACCAACTCCTCTCGAAGTGCTTCTAGAGTCTGAGGAGGACGTTGCAAATTGAGCAATCTCCTACCCATCATATCCCACACATGCTCAATTGGGCATAAGTCGGGAGATCTTGGTGGCCATGGTAACAATGTGACATCATTATGTTGAAAGAAGTCTATTGTGACTCTTGCAACATGTGGTCGGGCATTATCTTGTTGGAAAGTTATATCTGCCAGGGTGTCAAGATAGGGTAAAAGATGGGGTTCTAGAACTTCGTGGATATAACGCTGCGCGTTCATGTTACCTCTGATGAAGATTAAAGGTGACCTGGAACCATAAGCTATAGCACCCCAAACCATAACTCCAACACTGTGATGAACATGTCTTTCAACAAAAAACTGTGGATTCCTCCTTTCACCACGTCGCCTTCTAACCCTGGCACGACCATCGTGCATACCTAAACAAAATCGAGACTCGTCACTAAAGACAATACTGTTCCATTCCTGATCCCAGAGTGACCGTTGTCTGCACCACTCAAGGCGATTACGTCGGTGTTCTCGAGTTAAAGGGAGGGCCCAGTGTGGCCGGTATGAAAACAAGCCAAAACTTCTCATTCGTCGGTAAACACTTCGCATGCCAATAGGTCTTCCGTGTTCTGCAAACCATTCATTTGCAATGGACCTGGTAGTGGAGAAACGGTCCCTTAAGGCTAATAATCTTAGGCGGCGATCTTCACGGTCTGTTGTTCTACGGCGGCGTCCAGTGCCGCTTGCTCTTTGCGTACGGTCTTCTCGAAGCCATGCCTGACAACACCTAACCACAGTGTCTACACTTCTTTGCACTCTAACTGCAGTTGCCCGAAAAGAAAGTCCAGCTTCCCGAAGTCCCACTATACGGCCCCTATCAAACTCACTAAGTTGACGAAATCGTACAGGTCTCCGTACTCTAGGCATCGTAACCGATCGTAAGGGATGTCAAGAACCAAAATCCGCCAACGTTGATTCTTTACGGCGGCTGAAATATTCATTTTTAGAGCGTTAGTGAATTTAAAAAAAGCAGTATAAAAACCGGAATGTCCAACTGATAAGGCTGAACATTTTTTCACTTGTTATTTACAGTAAGATGAATACATTCACCAACTTTTATTAAAATAAAACCATTTAAACTGGGTGTTCGGATTTATATGTCACTTAGTATACTTTGGAAAGAACTTATTACATTTCGGTATCGGTCTATCCCAAGTCGTCAGCTCTTGGACTACATGTGACACAAAAAAAAATTGCGACGGGTCTTCTGATGTCGAAATTTCCCAAAATAGCAAACATTGTTGATTGTTTACACCTTCTGAATGATGCAAAAGTTAACGGGTGTATGGTAATCACATCTCGCACATTTACATAATTTTACATTTTTCAAACACACGAAGCCTTGAAGACTGTAACCTTACACAACATTCTTCGATCTTCGATCCATCCGTAAACAAGAAATACCCGCGATATGGTATTACGGTGTTCTAGCGAAGAATGTTTCGTGTAATGTCATTACAATACCGGTGTATGCATCAGATTGCTCTTTGAGATAAATGCAACGTAAGTTAATTGAAGTGAGCGTGTAGTTGGTGATGTCGAAGATGGACCGATTTCCACCAGGCAGTGACGAAAACTCAGGCTTTCGTTCGCTAAGACATGTAGAGGAGGTAAGAGAAAATTATTTCATAGATAATTTCCAGTAATATGAAAAGAAGTATTATGAAAACATTTTCTAATATCGGGGGAGTAGGCGCGTGGTTTTCTTACCTCCCGAATACCCTGTTGAAGTCTGAAAATAATGTTTCTCATCTATACTTCTTCGCGAGTCTTCCACCACAATTTCTGTAAATCCATCTTGTTTTTTTTGTCAAAATTTTGTTTCCTTCAACGAATTCAATGATTTGTTCGTATATTGATTGGTCTAAGCTTACCACGTATTTTGAAAATGAAGGATTGAGATTTATTCTTCCCCTCCCTGATAACGTCTCACTTCCAATTTCTACCCCATCGAGTTCAAAACACTCTCTACCGTAACTGAACTTGCAGAATCTATATAGTTTTTTTCGCTTATATTTTGATAACCATATTATAATAGATACTTTTTCTAGCAAATGCATGTTGTCGCGCCATCGCCTCATCACACTAGGTCGAATAATAGCGACAGCCATCACTATACGAACCCCCACCACTACGAAAACAACATTCACGATCTGCACGATTCTTCCTTCCACCATTACAATGATATTCCCAGTGATAACGGATATCTGAAAACAGTATCTGCAAGGGTTGATGGAGATTTTGATTATTATTTCAACGAAAGCCCTGCAGCGCAAAAAGATCGGAAAAAATCAGCAAGGAGGCAGATGAATAATTTGCCAGTCAAAAACGATGGCGCAGGTATGAGATTCACTAAAAGGCATTGTGACTCTCGTGGGACATTGTCGTATCTATTCTGTCACTACGAATGCTTGGTCAAGCTCAAGCTTCAGTTAGTTTGGAATCAAAGCAGGATTCAGTGCTGCAGACAGTGTACAATGGGTCACAGTGCCATTTAGTTCAGCACGGAAATGGTTATTTGCTAACATAAAAGGCATGGAATGTTTGAGGATACAAGGGCTGTATGGATTACACTTAATTTGTTATACCTATGAACTGTTACTCACATCCGTACCTCCATTTAACAAATAAGCTAATATCTAGAAATTATATTCATTCAAGAGACATTCGTTTCGTCGAGTCTTTTACAAAGCCTCTTCACAAGACGTCATTTGTTCTTCGAGAAAAGTAGAGATTGTTGCTAAATGTCTAAGTGGATGAGAATAGTCAGTAAACTGTTGAAAGTACTTCAATTTATAAAATACATATAGTAATGTGTCAAATGAAAAACAACACAATGTATTTGAAAACGTTTAGATGGATTTTTAAATTCTTTGATTTCTTGCCTTAAGATGTTTGTATGTCTCTGTTCTAACACACTATTGTAACATTAAGATCTTTTATGTTTTGTATTTCCTACATTTACCTTGGGGTCAAGTGGCAGAACTATTCTAAATATTATCAAAATCAGTAGCAAAGCTTAAAAAAGAAAAAATATTTTCTCACCCTAAAATGACTCAAACTTGCACAAAAAGTAAAGCAACTAAATCAACGAGTTCTTGCTACTATGGAGGAAAGTTCGACTGTTTGAGAGAAAGAGAGTTTTTAATTGTTTAATTAGCTTGTTTTTATTTAATCAAAATCTGCGTATATTTTTTAGGTGGGTCCATAAACTATTGCACGGTGTGCCTCTGGTTCATAGCGATAGGATTTGGATTATATTTTATACCGAAGTTCCTATGGAGGTGAAATGTAAAAGCATATCGGACGCTTTTGTTCCATTTATCGAATATATCAATATTTTGTGGTTTCGCTCAAAAATATTGCCATGATCAGTGTACATGTGTATGAAATATTGTACTTTTATAAAAGTAAATGTCAAAGAATAAAGGTTTTTTAAAACAATAAAGATTCATATTTTTTGATGCTATTTACTGGATAACTCATTCACAGACACTTTTTCAAAAGCACACAAAATAAAAACAACCAATCCTGTCGGATTGCTTTTATTATTAAACAAAAGTAGCATCTGTGACATTTCTTTTTGAAAGTTATTTTTGCAAATGCCACACTTTATCCGATAAAAAACTCTCGTCAGAAAGTTCGGTGCCAATTTTTTCAACTTTGCTTTATTTTCTTACGACTTAATACTCCTAGACTTGTTCATACCACAAGTTTATTATAGTCCAAATAAAAACTGACAGGGTGCAGAAAACAAGACGCTAATGTTACTCACTCAGATTCATCTCGAAAGCCCTCCCATTTCAGCAAATCGACTTTCTTGATCATTTTCGTTACTGATTTCTGCCTTTCTTTCTCTTCTTCCCTTCTTCTATGATACGCCCCGGACAGCAGATCTTCGACGTCAACGAATCCTTCGTTAGTTACCTTCAATCTATTTTGCCTTTCCTTCTCCTTTCTTCCCTCTTCTTCTATCTGTTTCTTTGTCTTTTTCGGGGGATAGCATAATTTTCCTTAAAGGTATTATCAAGTACCATAGTTATTTATGTATTAAAAATCGCAAAGCACTACTTTGACTCTGAGTACCGGCAATATATTTGAGGTATTTAAGGAATAAGGTGAATGTAGAATAGTAGCTTTTAGGATTTTTCACTGTCTATTCAGTGATGACCTTGTATTTGACCTTGAGTATCAACTTGAAAGTGAAATAATTGACCCTGTTGTTACTAGCAAGTACATAGTTAGTGACTTTTTTCGCAACCTCAATCGAGTTGCATTGGAATGGCTTATAGTAAGACCAGTGCCTTGTGTTTTTGAACATCAGCTTACCGTCCTCTCCAAGAGGTCCAACTTTTTTCCGTTTATGGCATCTCATATCTTGGATTTTCAAGTGTTGAGCTCCAGGTGTAAAAGTTGAACCTGTAATTCGGGTTAATTCAGACGCTTTATTCATGGTGTGTGAAAAGTTACTATGGCTGACGTAGAAATTCGAATGTATTTCGAAATAAACTACAAGAGTTCAGGGGGGCGCGCGTCTGGTTTCCTCCCAAAACTCGCATAGTTATCATGATTTGTGTACAATATTTCGAGATCTTTAAGGTCTGGCATCCCTGGGAAATTTTGCTGCCCCGATGACGAGCAACCATTGACGTATTTATCTCTCACTTCGGCTTATAATATATGCATTAACATCATTCTATAAATATGTATACACACACCTTTATCCAATCTTGATTTATTTTACTCGATTAATTCATTTTTATCTTGATACCTCTGCATTTTTATTGTTTATTTTATGAATAGACGTTTTACGTGTTAAGTGGCTTATGCTAAACTTTGCCCAATAAGTATTGTTATTAAATATCTTAAAAATCCCATCAGTATACCTAGGTTCTGAGGTCTTCGTGTTTTATTTTTACGTAATCGTCATTCTGCCAATCATCATGGATTATAATTAAGAATATTTAGCAAAGTATGCAGAATTGAACATCACCTATAGTTTCTGAAGGCTTGAAATACATCTGCATATCCTTCTCGAGCACGCCCTTGGTCCACGACTGCCTAGCGAATATCGGCGGATACTCTGTCTGTTGCACATTGTTGTATAAACAACTATTCTCAGTTTCCCATTCTAGTCTCGCTTCGGGCAAAACGGGAGTCTTGAACGTCATGCGACGTCCATATCTTCCCGCACCGTTTTCCATGTTTCATGTACTCAGTGAAACAATGCGAATGTAGACGCTGAAAGGTCGCTCATTGTGGAGTTAATAGGACTGTTTTGTCAATATAACTAGCAGTTGTATCTGTCACCATGACAATCTTGGCCTAAAGATACCAAGTGCACGTAGTAGATAGTAGGGGACATGCTAGACAGGGCGATCAGAGAGACCTTTGCTCAAGTCTCTCTCTGTCAATTTGTCTGAAACAAGGAACAATACATTGTAAGATCCGTCAGGAGATATTTTAGGGCCAACGGCGTCAGCGGAGGCACTCTATCCTCTTCAGAAGAATCGTCTGAGGCTTCGCATAGCACATTAGCGGAATCCTCCGAGGTTCCACATTGCACTCCAGCGGAGCTCCTAGGTCTTATTATAGTCCTCAAGGTGCGTACAGCACCTGGAAAGTACTAAGCAAATAGCCTAGCTTTTCCCAGCAGCTGCCGCTATTGACAAGATGTGTTCGTGCCGAGATGAACAGCTCATCTTTGGCAGAACTACGCCATCCATCGAAAAATTGTTGCGTCGCCAATCAGTGAAAGCCTCCAGGTCTCTGGTCAGGGAGGAAGTCGTCGCTAGTGCTCTTTTTTCCGTATATAGTGCAGCAAAGGTGAGGATTGGGTTAATCGTACATACAAGACAGGAGGTCGTTGATATGTAAAAGGAACAGTGTCGCAGCTAAGGCGGATCCATCTACAAAGCTTCTCTGGGAGGCCATAGGATGGAAGTTTGCCTCAGCTGATCGAACGCTTTCATGATATCAAGAGCAACGACATAAGCTTCACAATAAGACAGGATGAGTTTACTCCACAATTGCGTGATATCCCAACGTGGACAATTTCGGTTACCGATTAACAGAGAGCCGACGAATATGCGTCAGCGAAACAAACTTCTCTCCAAGGGGTCAGAAAGAGACCCAGTAGGCTACTGGCATGTGAATAAACGCGGAAAGAGTACGGCTCGTCGCCAGCTAGGTCAGCCCTTGGGTAATAACGAACGCTTCAACTGCATCGGTCATGTTTAAGCACAACCAAAACTCATTATGGGCATTGAAATCAGCGAGGAGAACTACCTCTGAAGAGGGGTAATTGATGTTCTGGTAGGTACTCGATCTTGACAGCTAGGTATTCAAGTAGGTCATCCCAGTTATGGTCCGAGGGAGAGCGATAAAGGCTGCGAATAAATTTGGGGGATGTTTTGAAGTTGAGGCGAAGTCACAGCATGTCCTTCTGGTCTGATTCCAAATAAACGCCTCTGCAACAGGAAAGACGGCTGCGGACAAAAGCCGCATACTGTCTTCAATTGGGTGTGACATTAGACCGTCATGATGACGTCATTTCTACGTCATTTTTGTTGGTCGGCGTACGTCAGTAGTACCCTAAAAATGCCGACATTATGACGTCATTGTTTCACTGGGGAGGGGAGGACTAAGAAGCACAATTCCAATCCCTTCGGTCCAGAGCGTTTGTGCTCTTTGGAGAATTTTTCCTCTTCAAAGCGTTGGGCCTACCGGATGGACGACGTATAGGATCAGCGGGGGTCTTGCGCACCCGAGCTTTAATTAGTCATATGTGAACTAAAATCTTGTAATGTACTTGTACGGTGGCATTATCCGCCAAATACCTACAAGCTATTTTTAAATGGCTACAGAGAGGACGTGTACCTTCACTGAATGACAGATCGATATCCTCAAAAATATTAGGTTATATAAACGAAAAACAGCGTATGGATTATTTTTAGATCGAAAACAAAGTTTATTAACATAACTAAAGCAAAAACGATTGGATTGGACTGGAAACAATCGATAATCATGCTGGGAAATGGTATTGTAGGCTCATCATCCCGTCATTTAAGGTTAGAAACTTTTGTTTTCTTATATATATGATATATTTCTTGTTTTGATGCACAATTTAACAATCATGATCAACTTTTCTAAAATGAGGTACTAATCGCGCACATGCTATCCAGTATTTTTTTATTATTAATATTTTGTATATCTAATTTATATACACATTTATTTGCATCATATAAAATCCTGTCTTCAACGTTGTAGATACAAATTAGATGTACGAATTATTATTTAACGAAACATTCTAAACGTAAAATGGAAACTTTCACGCTGTATATTTGAAAGTGAATATTCAAAATTTTTGTTTCATTCCTGCACGCCATCTATACTTTTATGGTGTAACAGCGTTGACTATGATAAGAGTCCAGTCAAATTATCTCCAAACACTAGTTCGATCTGCAAGACTATTACGTAATTCCGACTCCCGTGAATTTCGGGATAGTTGCTGTCAAATATACCAAAAATGTTTGATGCGGTTTGAGGAATTAGACAGTGACTAGTGAAATTTAATGTCGAAATAGCAGTCGTAATCTGTAATGTTTATCCAAAATCACTGCACTATGAAAGTGCAGTTTTCTGCAAGCGGTCTATTGATTAGCTGTGAAGACATGACAACTGACAACCTCGGAGGTGACAACCATCAAAAACCAAAAACCAATAAATGACATTTCGAAAGTCAAATCTATAATGAGTGTTTTTAATTGAAAAATTCAATGTTATATGAAAAAGGTCTGTTTTTTAAACAATCCTAAACGAAAATGCCGTAACAAAAGTGTTCACCGGCGCGTCCAGGATGCATATAAACATTTTCCTGTTACTGCTTTCGCTGAAAATCGTGAGTTCTACGACCGACGGCTACTGTGGGGTGTATCAAGGGAAAATCTGCAAAAAGTACGTCGATAACTCTAAACGTGTATGGTTCAATTGGTCCGATCACAATACTAGTGGAGGCTACGAGAATGAAGTTATTACCGCTGGACTCTGGGAGGAACTCATAGTCACTCTGGATGAGCCCTGCAGGTAAGGCCATGTTTTGTACATGTTGTGTGCAAGTCCTACAAAATATGATAGATACCTAGCTGAGCTGAGAAGTGAGGAGCGCCCAACACTCCACTAACCCAGTAAGGCAGATATTGATAATAAGATCATAAAGGTTTTCATTTCAAAGAGGATATCTGAAAGTACATTAAGTTGAAATGCATCTTCTGGGTCAGGTGTATCAGCCTCATTTAACTGGTCTTCACTTTGCATATTTTCATGCTTAAATCCTGCTCTGCAAAAGCAATATTGCACTGTTTTTTTTATGAACTTACAACCTGTACCAGCAGTCTTAATGTTTATCAGCAGGTGTTTGAGTATTAGACTTTGGTAATAAGTTTTAAAACTCTTGTTCAAGTGTCTGACAAGCGGCTGTACAAATAAGGGCTCAAAATAAGGTTTTTATATTATTTAAGTACATGTTTTTCGGATGCGATCCCACATTGTCTAAAAACAACGAATGTTATGCTTTTTTCTTTAGCCATTTTCCAATCCAGGTCTTGCAATCACTCTTGTCATAATTTGGGGCCATTCCTACAATGAATCTATCGTCCACTGTGTCTTTTCCGCACAGACGTCAGACTAATACTGAATGAAAATTTAATCGAAAGCGTGCACCCAAATAATAAGAACGGTAAATCCCCGACCAACTCGAGAAAGTCCGAGCGAAGATGGCGCTCGGCATGATTGAGAAATGCAACAGAAAAACAAATAGGACAGGCATTAGTTTTTATTTTGTTTTTAATCCGGTTAGGAGGACATTGTCTCGTATCCGCTTCCGTTCATGAGCATGAGAAACTATCCGTTTAAAGGAGATGTCCGTGTATATCAGTCTTTTGTTTGGAAATCCCTTAATCTCTCTAAATTTTCTTAACCTCAGTCTCATCTAGGTATTCATTGGTAGTCATTAGATAAAAATAGAATACTTTTTCTTTTATTGATACACAGTGAGTAGGAAATAATCCTATTTACAGATCAGCTGCTGAGAAGCTGCTGTGCATCTATGCTTTCCCTGAATGCAATGTCAGCAAGCCGCTGCCTTTGTGCTATGAGGACTGCGTGGCCGTCAACAAGCTGTTTTGCTACAAAGAATGGGCCGAAGTGGAAGACAAGAAAGAGAGGGGGGTGTTTATCAAATCGCGGGGCCACTTCCGGCTACCAGACTGTTCAATCTTGCCAAAATACTCGAACAAGACTGCGCTGTGCTCGTACGCCGCCTTGACCGAAATGCAGGAAGACGAGATCACGTACGATTGTATCAAAGGCAGGGGCAGGTTTTACCAGGGAAAGGTAAACGTAACAGCGTCCGGAATTCCGTGCCAAAGATGGGACTCGCAGTTCCCTCACACACACGATTCTCCGCCGAACATATTTCCTGAACTCCGAAACGCGGAGAATTACTGCAGAAATGCCGGTGGCGAAGAAAAGAGTCCGTGGTGTTTCACTACGAATCCCAAGAACAGATGGCAACATTGCGATATACCCCGTTGTCCAAACTCCACCGTGGATCAGGTTGAAAACAAGAATATTGCGATGGACCAATTCTTATCGCCCACTTTCCTTATCACAGTATCAAGCGTAGGCCTATTGATTATCGTTATATGTTTGTTGCTGATTTTGCTGTGCCACAGGATGCACAAAAGACACTTACTCGGATACAATGCCCCAGAGAATGCGGAAATCAACATCGATCTTGATAAATTACCTAGTAATGTTGCGTATCATCGACACGGTGCTCCACTGAATCCGAAACTAGAAAAACTAGAGTTCCCGCGGAACGATATCATTTACATAAAAGACTTAGGACAAGGAGCTTTCGGCAGCGTCTTCCAGGCAAAAGCCCCAGGACTGATTCCAGGAGAAGAGTTCACGATAGTAGCCGTAAAGATGCTGAAAGACGACGCCTCGGAGGATATGCAAGACGATTTTGAAAAAGAGGCATGTCTGTTAGCGGAGTTTGACCATCCGAATATTGTAAAACTTCTCGGTGTGTGTGCTGTCGGAAGACCGATGTGTTTGCTGTTCGAATACATGGGCAAAGGAGACTTGAACGAGTTTTTGAGGCAGTGTTCGCCCGGGAATTACGTTGTGAGAAGTGTTGTGGATGGGGAATTCACAAATAAAGACATATACAAAGATATGCAACTTAGTAGTCTAGATAAGGTCAATATTGCGCTGCAGATAGCATCTGGAATGGTTTACTTAGCTGATAGGTAAGTTGCAAAATTAATAATAATAATGCAGTACTTATAATAATGATAGGTCATAATTACAATTGCATATTTCTGAACCAAATTCAACTAGAAAAGTTCATATCAACATGTGTAATAAAGGGTACAGGGTTATTGCAATAAGGTACAAACTAAAGGATAATAATTATGAATTTAAATGGTATCTGACTTTTGAAAATACGTATTATTTTAAATAAAGCAGATAGAGAAACACTGTTGTGTCTTCTGGTATCTCCCTGTATCTTACTTCATTTTTGAAGGGAAAAAATATGGCAACCTCATCACATGTTGAGACAACAATCCAACCTAATTTGATTCATAATAATTAAATTATTTCACAAAAAAATTGATTGAGATATAGATAAAAAGGATTTTTTTTTAAATTTTATTGAAATTAAGATTTTTTAGAATACATGGTTAGATGAAATCTTCTACTTGAATTTGGCTTAGAAATGCGTCTTGTACTTATCTATCAACAAGTCACACCCTGTATAATCATAACCTCTAAATAATCTTTCAGCTTTAATAAGCATTTTGATAGAATTTAATTTCCTCAGAATTCAAGGATTTCAATAATATTCGAGATGGATAGACGCCAAGGTCCATTAAAATGTGTAATTGATTGCATAACTAATATTTGAAGCAATTTTGATCATTCATATTTTAAACGTGACCATGACAAATTAATTGATTATTAGTTCCGAAAGTGAACAATACCTCATATAATTTTCCTGTATAGATATTTTTTAGACACCACAACAGTAGCTACTTATTAAAGCAAACAATTTTTAGATGCTACACAGTATGTTGCATTATACAGAGTGTTAATTAAGTATGTACCATAAATTTAACAGCCGATTCTTTGAAAACAAAAAGTTTAGATAAACATACAGTAATGGACAAAAGTATATAGACAAATTAATATTGTACTGTATTTATTTTTTAACTTGTTTTATTAATACACCAACCTGTATACATAATTCGTTATAGCATAATACTCACTTATACATAAATAAATCCATTAGACTCCGTTGAATAAAAAATTAATTGAAAAAAATCTGGAACTATGAAGGAAAAAAAAATATATAGACAAAGCAAAACAATTATAGAAAAAAGAAGCAAAGTTCATTGAATTATAGAAAACCAACCATGTTTGTGTTAATATTTTGTAGCATAACCATTATTATCAATCACCGCCTGGCATCGTCCCGGCATAGATTGTAGAAGTTTCTTGATTTAATATTCATCAATCTGTCTCCACTGTTGCTCTAAAGCGGCAAAAATTTCATCCTTTGAATAATTTTTATCTCGTATTTGCTTATCTACGTATTCCCATAGATTTTCAATGGGGTTTATATCGGGAGACTGTGAAGGCCATTTGAGAACTGGTATTTTTTCATCCTGAAAGAATTTCTTTGCGAGATTTGAAGTGTGCTTCGGGTCATTATCTTGCTGGAAGATTGCTCTTAAGGGCATATTGTCTTCCATATAGGGTAACATGACATGCTTTAGTATGTCTGTGTATACAAACTTATCCATAATGCCATGTAATCTATGTAAAGGTCCCATCCCAAACCCCGAAAAGCGCCCCCAAACCATAGAAACACTGACAATTCCTTTTGTCTCGATTTCAGCATTTATTTGTCTTGAGGTTTTAAACGGATCTTTGGACGAAATTACTTTTATTAATCTAACTGATCTAGCATTTAGTTTTCTAGGCCGACCACTTCTCTTAGAGGCTTCCAAGATACCTTTTTGTTTATATTTGTTCAATATTGCCCAAACTGCTTTACGCTTCAGCTTCAAATTTTCGGCAATGTCGACGTGACGTTGACCATCTTTGTATAAGTCAATGATCTTAGTTTTCACTTAACTTCTACTTAACTAATCTTTTCTGACACGAAACTGTACTAAACTAATGTTGAAAAGAATTTGTCTACATATTTTTGTCCCTCATAAAAAGTGCTTATATTCAGACTTGTGATCATTGCAGATAGTGTAAAAAAAAGGAATTTAGTTTTTCTACTAATAACGCATTTGTTTATGGAGCAATGAAGTATAAATTCTTTTTCTAAAGGTATTTAGGTAAATATTCATATTTGTCTATATACAGGGTATTAAAATTGAAAAAAAAAATGTTTTTGTAAATATTTTAAATATCCTTTACCTAATTTTGTTGTTATTTGACGGTGGTATTTAGTTAAAGAGCTAATTTAGTCCTAACTTGATTATATTTATCCAATTTTTATTATGTTCTTTAGATGAAGCATAAATAATACAACTTATTTGTCTCCTGATTTTTTTTATATCTTGCTTAGTTTTTGAGAAGAAGTCCACTTAATTGCATATCCTTGGACCACACAAGGTATATGGAGAAAAGATACTTTTGGAAATTATTTATCTAAACTAATGAATTTTTATTAAACTAACGACTAGTAAATAATATTCAAGGATTGCAGCATTGTTTTAACTTCCTCATATTCCTTGTGTGTTCTAGGGATATGCGATTAAGTGGACTTTTTTCTCGAAAACTAAGCGAAATACAAAAAAATCAGGAGACAAAAAGTTGCATTACTATCTGCTTAATCAAAAGGACATAATAAAAATTGCACAAATTCTCAAAAACCTTGAAATTGCATCTTGTATTGTGTGTCTGATGTAGCATCGATTATTTCATGTGCCGACAGGAAGTTTGTTCATCGTGACCTAGCCACGAGGAACTGTCTGATTAGTGATGATATGATAGTCAAGATAGCGGACTTTGGTCTTTCACAGAAAATTTACCTTCAAGACTACTATAAAGGCAGTGATAGAGACGCAATACCAGTTCGCTGGATGCCCTTAGAAAGTATATTGTATAATAAATACACACAGGTAAGATTCTGCTGATACAGAGAAAAATACTAGTGAAATTATTTATCCGTATAAAAGTGGTCGGTTTTACTATATTTTGTTTTTCTGGCAAGTCAACTCAAAAGAGTCTAGGTTAAGACCAAGGAACACAAAGCAAGGGTGTCAGTTGCTACAGTGGGCACTCAAAAGCAATGCAACTGAAATGAAAATCGGTTTGTTTTTTGTTAGAATGTTAGCATGTTTGCAGCATATTTAGTGTATACTCAACAAAACCCTTATTACGATATAGCTTGCAATTTTCAAAATTTTCGCAGGAGTCTGACGTGTGGGCGTTTGGAGTATGTCTCTGGGAGATATTTTCGTATGCCTTACAACCGTACTACGGTATGACTCACGAGGAAGTCATCAAATATCTGAAGGAGGGAAACGTGCTTCAAAGTCCAGAAGGATGTCCGGCACCTGTGTATGAAGTAATGAAACAGTGTTGGGGTCAAAAACCGATTGATAGGCCGTCATTCCAGCTGATATATCAAACCCTCACTGATATTAGGGTCAATATGTATTCTTTACCTATGCATTGAGGCCTTTCGGTATCCAATTAGGTCTTAATTCGTCGTAGTAAATATACGAGGCTTGTTCAACTGAAACCCGTCTTTAGTCCAGAAAAAATGTATTGGCAAATATATCTACCACTACAATTGTTTGACCAATCGATGTATACAGGGTGACTTGTAATGTCCTGTTAAGGGGTGATAGATTAGGTCAAAAGCAACCGATTGTGTCCTATAATGTCCTTCCTATCCAGAAGATAACCGTTTTGGAGTTATTTGAATTTTATTTTTTTTATTTTTTATTCCGTTTTCAGACGGTTAAATTTGAAATACAAAAAACTACGTGTTTGATTTTGAGTTTTTTGTTATCGTCGCATAGCGGACATTCCAATAGTTCATAATAAGTAATAAAATGTTGAAAACTTACAAAGGTTTTAAAATTACGCTTTTGAAATGTATGATTTTCTTATTTTTTTACTAACTTATTCGATAAAAAATGCAATTTTCTGTAAAAAATCTCCTAGTAATGAAATGTGCAAATTATGTAAATATCTCTATCTAACAAGCTTTCATTTGAGGTTTAAAAGTTACAACTAACTCAAGTACAAAGACATAAAATTAAAAAAAGATGAGTAAAGTTGTACGAACGATAATTACGTAGGATAAATAAAAGGCTTTTATTTTAATTACAGTTTTAGTTAATTACATTTCCTTTAGTATTCCACAGATTCTGCTCAAATTGTAATCCCCTGTTACGAATACACGCCCGCATTCTCTTACGTACTTCACTTTTGGTAACTCTAGTTGTTAAGCGGCTTTTTATTTGGTCAGCTGCACTGATTATCCTTGTAATTAATTCATCGCGCGTTGGTACGGGTGAAACATCGTACACCAGGCTTTTCATATGTCCCCACACGTAGTAATCCATCGGTATGAGATCTGGGCTTCTTGCTGGCCAGGCAATGGGCCCGCCTCTGCCAATCCATTGATTTGGAAATTTAGTGTCTAAATACGCCCGTACTAATCTACTGTAGTGTGCGGGACAGACATCAATGATGCCCATCCACACATTGACTAAAAACCGGCTCTGAGACCCCGTCAGTCTTATTTTTCGGGGGTTTAAAGCTTCTTTATCAGCCCAGTAATGAGCATTATGGTAGTTAGTGATCGCGTCCTTATCAAACTTCGATTCATCGGTCCACAGAATTTTCTTAAAATAGTCTGGATCTTCTGTATCTGCATGTAACATGTACCTGCAGAAATCTAATCGTCTTGCAGGATGGCCCTCTTCAATCACATGCACAGGCGTGTAGTGATAAGGGTATAATCTTGCAGAATGCACCGTAAACCATACTTTGTATTGTGATATACCCAACTGAGCAGCCACAATGCGCGTAGACGTAGTAGGGTCTTCCTGAGACACACGAAGGATTTCCTCTTCGTCTTCAGGAGGATAGACTCGGGGTCGACCAGCATCACTATGAACACAGTAACATGAGGTGTTCGGCGATTCGGGAAACGTTGCCGATATTCACGGCGGGCAACTGCAGAATCGCCGTTACAAAGTCCATAACAGAACATTATGTCTGCGTGTTCTTCATTTGTAAAAGTTTGCCCGTAGCTCGCTATGGCGAGGTCCTGGCGGATCTTCTGCGTCTGCCTTGATGATAAAGAAACCACTCGATATGAACTGGGAAACTCGAAAATAATAATCGTGCGTAAAACGTGTGCGCGTACGCAGTAGTTGACACCAAGTAAACCTAATTCTCACTCGGCGTGCGGCGATGGCGTAACTACAATGATGAATAATAACAGCTCTCTCTCTCTCTCACTCCTCCACTAAGTCAGCTCTTCTCGCTCGCTTCCTCGTCGAGCCGATGCCATAAAACAATCATGGCATGCGAGTCCTTTGAGGACAGTAACGACTTGTTCAAACAGGTAATACAAATTCCTTAAAAATCCAGCCTCTGTGGGTGTCATTGTTGTTTCTCCGCATGTACTTCAGATAATTGAACGCTTAATACCTCAAATGAAAGCTTGTTAGATAGAGATATTATTTACACAATTTGCACATTCCATTACTAGGAGATTTTTTACAGAAAATTAGCTTTTTTTATCGAATAAGTTAGTAAAAAAAAGAAAGCGTAATATTAAAACGTTTGTAGCTTTCCAACATTTTATTACTTATTATGAACTATTGGAATGTCTTCTATGCAACGATAATGAAAAACTCAAAATCAAGCATGCACATTTTTTGTATTTCAATTTTAACCGTCTTAAATAGGAATAAAAAATAAAAACCTTAAAATTCAAATAACTCAAAAATGGTTAACTTTTGGATAAGACATGATAGGACAAAATCGCTTGCTTTTGACCTAATCTATCACCCCTTAATACGAATACGTGACATTACAAGTCACCCTGTATACTGTTTAAAGAATTCTTGTGGCTTCTGCTTGAAGAATTCTTTTAGGGCGACTGAAAATGCTTACATTTTAACGCCTTTTTCAGTGAAAATCGCAAAGCGATACATCGGGATTATTGTTCAAAGTTTCATTTTACAGGTTTGCATTGATATGGACTCTAGGTTCTTTAAACACTATTATCAAAGGTCCTTCATGGTTATGTTAACATGATCTGGCCTGCAGAAGGTATAACTTTAAGTTTCTTTAGTGGCGGCGAATTTGCGTGTTTCCATTGCTTGGATGACAGCTTACTGAATGGTTCAAAATAATGTCAGCACGATTCGTCGCCAGCAATTAATGATCCTATACTCTAACCAACATTTTCTGAAATTGCTCTGATTTTATCTAAGCATGTCTTCCACACATGCCACATTCCTGTCTGTGGATACAGTACTCAGTGCACCTGGTCGCAGCTTATCATTCGCCTCTCTTCCACTCTTAAATTTTCGACACCATTCCTTGACAGTTGGATAAGCAAAACATGCGTTTCCATACACTGCTTGCATTCGCGTATGAATTTGCAATGGTTGCAAACCTTCAGCGCACAAAAACTGAATGACCGTACGCTGATTATATTTGGACGGATTGTTAACAAACTCCATTTTTAGGTCACAATACTTAAAATCGCAGTCAAATACAAATGACAGGAACTGATCTGTGTGACGTTTACAAACACAAGTCAGTTAAATGATTGGAATTGTTTCCAAAGCTAACCTGACCAACGATAGGTTTCAATTGAACAAGCCTCGTATTAAACAAATTCTTGTTTCAACAGGCATTGGTGAAACTCCATATTCTGCAACAATGTCGCAGTACGATATTTTTTGTGGTAGAAACGTTAAATCTTAGCTAATTGCTTTAACTGAAAATGGATTCAAACCATCGACAAATCAGTACTCTCATATTTTGGCAACAGTACAGCTTTTTAGCTTCGGTTTTACACGCAATGTTTACAATGCTATTTTAAATTTGCATCTGAGAGAACATAAAAGTATGTTTAACGGACGATATATCTGGTGTTTCAAATCCGGAAAAATGCGGCATCTTATCAAATTTTAAATGCTCGATATATGCGTAAGAAAGAACAATAAGTCACGAACTCTGTGTAATCTTCCGTACTAGGATATTATAAAGAATAAGAATACTAGTTGTCTATAAATGTATTTGATATATTTAGCTGTCCTATATTAGGGCCGGAAGTAATGTTTAGGGTGTGTGTAATAGCAGACTGGAAATAATTTATTTTTATCATTTTAATGGTTTGTTTGAAACTATGGCCTATGGAAATTCGAGATAATGTTAACCGAGTAACTGATTTCACTATATTCAATTGAGGCGTGAACGCCTGTTCAGATTCTACAATTATACGTGTTTGTAGAACGTCAAATCTTAAAAAAGTACAACACAGTGGCCTGGACTTTAGAAAGATTCAGTAGCTGCCAAATTACGATTTCCCTAAATTAATCCAACAATTATTATTGTAATATAATCATAAATAGCCAAAATAGCTATTAAACACGTCGCATTGTGAAATTCATATGTCAAATGTTAGATTTTTTGCTGTTAAGAATACCCGTCGGATTGGATAATATAATGAATGGCTGACTTTGGTGGAAAGTAGACAAGTCGGAAAGTGATTTAGAGGCGTATCGTAAATATAATTTTACTGTATAAAATATTGTAATTGTCTCTGACAAAAAGCGCCTCTTCATAATGTTGTGTTATTTTATCCTAAAAAGTGCAAAAGACAAAATAGGCGGAAGGCTATTCCAGCTTTCAGATTTGGGAACTGTATTTTTAATCATTCATGAACATTTAACACTATTTCATCACATAATGATAATGTTAATAGACATTTTTGGCAATGGCAAATCCCGCCCTCGTTCACGTTCGTCTTTTTTTAACATTTAGGTCATTGAGGTAACATTTACTTATGCGGTATTTCTGACTACCAACACTCTCACAAAATGAGCGCCTATTTGTCATAATTTTGTGTTATTTATCCTTGAAAGTGCAGAAGACAAAATAGGCTTTTTCAGTTTTGAGATCCGCGTTTTTTGTCCTTTTGTATGTGTTTAATGTTTAACCATTCATGACCATTTAAGACTGTTTCATCGCTTAGTGGTAATGTTAATAAAGATTTTTGGCGATGGCAAATCCCGCCCTAGTTAACGTTCGCCTTTTTTTACATTTGCAGTATTTGTGATCGCCAAAACTCTCTAATAAGTGGCGCTAGCCTGTATTATATTATTTACATTTCATTTGTAAAGTATTATTGAAGGATATTGTCTGTATATTGCGCAACAGACTTATAACACATTCCATACAGTCATTCGTCAAATTTGACTACCATATTTATAGAGATTGTGTTTAAATAACGGAAAGCAACTGGGAGAACTTATTTGTGATGATCAAAAATTCGAAACTTGTTTGATATGGCGTTTTTACCGCTCCTTAACATATACGAGGGAGGTCTGAAAAATTTCCGACTTAACAAAGATATAAAACATTTTTTTCTGATATTTTTTTTTAGTAAGGCGGATGGTCAAGCAGTTCAAACCGTAATTCTGCTTTTTGAAGATAATCTATTAAAATAACTCCATGACTGAGTTTTTCGACGTCCCAAACGTTCATCTCCCAAGCTCCTATGGCCACGTTTAAATTCAGCTTCCCAATATTTCACTGTGGTAAATGATGGTGCAGAGTACCCATACACAGAATCCAACTCAACTTTAATTTGCGTAGGCGTATTGATTTTCAAAAACAAATATATAATGACGGCTCGAAACTCGATTTTGTCCATTTTCCCAAAAACACATCAACTCACTCAAACGCCTGTTACATAACAACTCAAAAATGGTAAGGAACAACGAAATTCGCTAGCTTTTACTTACGAGTGCTTCACGTTGAGGTCGGAAACTGTTCAGAACACTCTCATGTATTTTATGCTTTACTTCTCTCAATATTTGAGTCATGGTATCTTCCATCATAAGACTAGTATTATTTTTCATAAGCGTATGTGGTTTTATCAATAAAGCTTTTCGATTCAATCGAGAAAGGAGTCAAACATACACAAGTTTTCATATACTACTTCAAACGAACCATCATAGCTTTAATGTACGTCGCAAACGAATCTTCAGTACTGTCGGCAGTAAACAGAGAGTTATCGTGAATGTATTTGAATTTTATATATTTTAGGTGTATGTATATTTATTTTGATGCTTACGTGAATGTGATCGATATATTTACCAATTTTTTATCTGTTTATTATTGACCAAAAATTAAATTAAGTAGTATTTTATCCCTGTAATTAAGCTTCTAGCACATAGGTAGTTTTTTATATTTGTAAATGTTTAAATATACATTTTTAATGAAAAATATTTCTTCTATATCATTAATTTTTTATATCCTATCTTCCCAAAAAAGTACTTGTACAGTGTGAAGCAGCATAACATCGTTTTTCAAAACTTAACAAAACCCGTAATAATGCCTAAAATTTTGTTTTACATAGTTTTGAAGATCAAATTAGATACCATAGTAAATCGATTTCTGGCGTTTGTCATGACTTTTGCCGACATAGCAGGCGTAATGTTGGCACTTTCTTCCTAGATTTTTGTCTTCGTATCTTGTAGGGTCCTTGGGCGGTTCACTTAAACAAAAAAAAACACAAAAAAGGAGCCAAATCGTCAGTGCGAGCCGGACCCTCCAAATCGTCCCTATTTGAGATGAGGCGCTCTGGGAAGTATCAGCTAAACAGCCATTGATGCTCCTGAAATGTGATGATGACTCCTGCATTGTGTCGAGATAAAACTGTATGATACCTTGAAAAAAAGAAGTTATGCTGTCGCACCCTGTAGAACCTTGTTATGTAACTGTACTGCATGTTTCTTTATTACGCGTCTTGCATGAGATTAATTTTGGTTGCAGTTTGGTCCTACTAATTGCAGGAAAACACTTTTGTACAAAGGCACCTCGTCAAAAAATTCCGAACAATATTGGGTTCATTGGAGATGGCAGTATGGCTAAGGCTATTTGCAGAAGTATTAAAAGAGCAGGTACTTGTTGGACGTGATTTTCAAAACACTTTTTGTACAGTCAGATTTTTTTCAAGGTCTAATCGAATACTCGCAAGTTTACGTGTCGAGCCCGTTTCCAAAAAACTTGGACAGTTGGAAAGAACTTGGGGCCAACGTGTCAACTGAAAATGCGTATGTCGTCAAAGAAGCAGATATCATATTCCTAGCAGTGAAACCGCACATTCTTTGTGATGCTATCGGCACGATAACCGCCAGTTCGGTTGCCAAAGAGATAAAAAATAAACTGTTCATATCTATCCTTGCAGGTGTTACTATTAAAAATCTTGAAGACGTAAGTAATGATTTTTTCCGAGCGAGCTTATAAAAATAGTTGACGGCTGCTCGATATCTATTAAACACGGTGGCTCAACGAAAAGGTCGTCCATTTGTGACTCTCCTAGTGTATTTTGGGAAAAACGCTCGGACACGTCAATTTTGATTTCTAGGTGGACATCAAATCTGTTATTTAATATTTGTTTCTCGGATGAGTGTACGTTCTATTTGGTGTTGTAAATAGATATACAGCAGACGCTCCATAACGTAAACACGGGATAATAAAAACTTGCGCTAATGTAAACACAAAATTCGTTCTATAGGATCAAACGGAACGCGCGATAACGTAGACAATGTGTACGCTCGATAACGTAAACAACTCTCGGCGCACGAAAACAGCGCGACGGTAAAATGCTGAAGCCTCGATGATTTATGTCGGGCGTCGGGGAGTCCCCGATTTATGATGTAGAGTGTAGGGGATTCACCTCTGCGATAAAATACGACAAACTCGGTCAGTCGTATGATCGTTTAGGATACGTTTATACGTACGTATGTATTTCATTTTTGAACTTAAGTGAATACATTGCACGCGTTAATATATTTTACGACTATGGCATCCACATCCTATAAAAGAAAGTGTTTAAAGTTGAGTGAGAAAGTGAAAATCATACACCAAGTTGCACTAGGTGCGGGAGTGACACGGTTAGCAAAAAAATATGGAGTATCGAAAGCAACAATCTGTAAAATTAAGCGTATGAAAACTCAAATTTTACAAAGAACGTGCAATACATTTGGAGATCTGGGAAAAAGAAAAACTTTAAAAAATGCGAAGGCACCTAAAATGGAAAATTCCCTGTATAAGCGGTTTTTAAAACAACGGGAAAATCATGTACCAGTTAGTGGCGAAGTACTTAAACACAGAGAGCGAGACTGTTAAATGAAAAACTGAAAATTTCGTAGCTAGTGATGGCTGGCTACAACCATTCAAAACAAGATATGGAACTCGACTGTTGTCTATATCTAGTGAAAAATTATCAGCACAACCACAATTAGTGCAACCATTCAAAGAAAAATTGACGAAAACAATTACCGAGCTAGATTTAAGAATGGAACAAATTTACAACGCAGATGAAAGTGGCCTTTATTGGAAAATATTACCAGGGAAAACCTATGCTGCATCATTTGAAAAATCTGCCCCGGGAAGAAAGCCGGAGAAACAACGAATAACGTTTCTAGCCTGCACTAATGCTAATGGTTCACACAAAATAAAGCCACTGCTAATTGGGAAAGCAAAAAATCCGCGCTCATTTAAAAATGTTAATATCCCTGTTGATTATGACTGTTCAAAAACCGCTTGGATGACTAGCAGTATATTCCTGAAATGGTTCCACAGGTGCTTTGTCCCTCAGGTATGACAATCAATTATCACAAATGCTCTATTCATAATTTGAAGATGTGTTTTCAATTTGTAGGTAAAAGGTTTCCTAAAACAACATAAGCTTCCAATAAAAGCGTTGTTACTATTGGATAATGCACCAAGTCATCCTCCCGAGCAACAACTGATGGATCAGAATATAATAAGAGTCACCAAACTATACTATAGGAAGTTTCTACTTTCGTCTGTCTTATCAAAGAATCCTGAAAACTTATCTGACGCTTTAAAAAAAGTAACATTACGAGAAGCTGTTTTAGATTTACATATGGCCTGGAATGAACTTAACCAGCAAACTATTCAAAAATGTTGGAACAATCTCTTTTGTACCAATAATGAAGATGATGAAGAAGACGATGTCCCCTTAAGCGTAATTAGAGAACGTTTGCGATCCAATAATGATAATGTTATTAGTGTGTCATTGGATGTTGTTGATTTATTGAAAACAGTGAATCCCAACACTGTTTGTACTCCTGCTGATATTAATTTATGGAACGAAGATAAGCAGACGAATGGTGCTGATAAGGAGGAGGATATGGACAGTGAGGATGATGAGAACGATCCCATTGAAGTCAGAAGTGTAGTGACTGACGCGCAAGCTATACAAGTTTTTAACCAAGCTTTAGATTGGGCTGAAAGAAAAGAAGTTGCATACACGGATATATTAGTTCTTCGTAAATTACGGGCGCAGGCATTGGAAGACAATGCTAAGCGCAAATTTACGCAGACAAAAATTGTTAATTATTTTTCTTCTCATTAAAAATACTTATCCGCTGTTAGAATATTTGTTTATTTTGTTATAAATAGCATGTATTAAATGTTTCTTTTAATAAATCAAATATTATATAAATTACGTTCCACACTTGGATTAAATTAGTTTACATTATCGAGCGTCTGTTGTAATTGTCGATATTAGAGTGATTCGAATCCACATGTTCGAGAAGTACACTCGCAATTTCGTGAAAAAAATAAATGTGTGGGCCGGCATTTTCGGAAATCATATTGTAGGCTTTATTTCTGGAAATTTGATGGCGAGACGTACTTCGACATGTTAGAGAATACAATAAGGCCACGAAAACATTGCCGAGATAATGGAAAATGACGTTAATTATAATGAAAATTACATTCATTTCCAACAAGATAGTGGAACGGTAGACGAGACCGCCGAGATCTCCGGGCCTAAGTCGTTTGGATGACTTTCATTGGGGTTTGGGGGCATTCGAAAAGTAAGTTTTTAGTACGAAGCCAGATTCCATTCAAGACATGCTTGAAAATGTGAGGCATAGATTCGAACAAAATCTTCGTCATTCCCTAGAAATCAAAATTGACATGTCCGAGCATTTTCCCCAAAATATACCAGGAGAGTCACAAAGAGGGGTACTACCTTTTCGAAGGGTCACCCTTTATACAAGAATGACAGCTGTTTCTTATAGCAAACGCACGTTTTCAGCTACTAAAGCATTTTGAGGGATCTAGAGTTGTAAGGGTGATGCCAAACACTCCGATGCTTATTGGACAGGGTTGCACAGTATACTGTCCTGGAAGTAAAGTGAGCGACAATGATCTCAAACTGGTAAATAGTATCTTGGAGGTGACTGGTATGTGCCAGATGGTTCCTGAATCAACCATCAACTCGATTGGTGCAGTTACCGCTAGTGGCCCAGCTTTTGTAAGGAAATATGAAGTGCTTTACGTCAGCGACTATTTGAATCGAAACGAACGAGTAAACATTTTTTATCTTTTGTAGGTATATGTTTTCATTGAGGCTCTATCTGATGGCGGTGTAAGGATGGGCTTACACAGAGACGTATCCACGAAATTCGCCGCACAAACTGTGATGGGCGCCGCCAAGATGGTACTAGAAACGAACAAACATATGGGAACGCTCAAAGACGAAGTCTGTTCGGCGGGCGGGCAGACCATTGCTGGAATACATGCGCTCGAGAAGTGCGCTTTGAGGTAAACTTGAAAATTGACTGTCGTTTGAGAAATGATCTCTGCTTGGATCTCAAACAGTTACGTTTCCTTGAGGAAGGGTTTGCATTTCGCAGTAGGCTGTAACATTTGGTTTCCAAAATTTTGGAGTTTGCACGAATAATTGATAATTGTATAAGCATCGTTTACAACTCAATAACAACATATCTCGGACTTTGTAGCGATAATATCACTGATCAACAGCCAAAAAATATCCTAAATAAAATCAACAAAATATTACTATTTTTAATGTGCTAAAACCGGAATGAAACTTATTTTTTCAATATTAGTTCAAGTTTTAGAGATACGGTAATTATATGTGTTCCTGCTGTGACAGTGTTAATATACTGTAATTCACAAGAATGCACGTGCCACATTTTTATATTCGGCAAGAAAAGATGATGTAATCGGCATGATTGTGTTACGTTATACATACGTGTACATTATATTGTTTTATATTAGCCATTTTTTTCCTCAGTTGGCTGACAGCGTTCATGCAAGATGTCTCGAAAGTGTGTAAACAATCCAGATCAGTTTTGTTACGTCTGTGGTGATGTGACTTTTGCGTCTCAGAGACGGTCTATTACTCCACTAATATCAAAGGCATATCAGCGTTATTTCGGTTGTAAACTAGGTGATCAAGACAAACAGTGGGCACCCCACATCTGCTGTAATACATGTGCTTCAAGTCTGAGGAGCTGGTTAAATGGCAAAAAACGGTCTATGCGCTTTGCTGTCACAATGGTTTGGAGAGAGCCTACATATCATATTAATGATTGTTACTTTTGCATGGTATCTTGTGATGGACAAGCCACAGGTATGTCCAAGAAAAAAAAATCGGTTATTAACTACCCAAACATACCATCTGCGATGAGACCTGTATCTCACAGTGACGAAAATCCTATTCTAAAACCCCCAGAATCCTACACTTGCGAATCAAAAAACGAATCAGATCATGGCGATCGAATGATTCGTCAGCAAGAAGATATGCCATCAACGTCAAGAGATCCTGATTTTATACCGAGCACGTCATGCCACCAATCGCACAAAATAACACAGTCAGAATTAAATGATCTTGTAAGAGATTTAGAACTTCCAAAATGTAAGGCAGAGTTACTTGGATCAAGACTGCAGCAGTGGAACTTGTTAGAAGACGATGTTTCGGTATGTGTTTTTCGTAAACGCCACAAAGACTTAGAACCATTTTTCAATATGGAGAATAACTTGGTTTTCTGCAGTAACATTAACGGCTTACTGGCGGCTTTAAATATAAACTATAACCCAGAAGAATGAAGATTGTTTATAGACAGTTCAACATGTTCAACATGAGTTTAAAGGCAGTGTTATTGCATATTGGAAATATTTTACCATCTCTTCCTGTAGGGTATGCAGTTCACATGATAGAATCATATGACAATATGAAGTACCTATTGACATGCATAAAATACGATGAGCACCAATGACATATTTGTGGGGATTTGAAAGTTGTTACACTTTTAGTTGGGCTGCAGCTAGGCTACACAAAGTTTTGCTGTTTTTTGTGTGAATGGGACAGTCGGGCAAAGGCACTTCATTACACCAGACAAAACTGGCCTGTTCGTCAATTCCTAGAGCCAGGTCAAAAAAATGTACAGCATATGCCATTAGTAGATTCGAAAAAAATTTTATTACCACCACTGCATATCAAGTTGGGCCTAATGAAAAACTTTGTCAAGGCATTAGATAGAGATGGGTCAGCTTTTCAATACCTGCGTCAGAAATTTCCAAGACTAAGTGAGGCAAAGGTTAAAGAAGGTATTTTTGTTGGGCCACAGATTCGAAATATTTTGAAAGATACACAGTTTGAAAACACTTTAACAGGTATTGAAAAAACTGCTTGGAATGATTTCCGTCTGGTGGTCACTAATATCTTGGGAAATAGAAAAGCTGACAACTATAAAACCCTTGTCAAAAATATGCTGTCATCGTATCAAAAGATGGGCTGTAATATGTCTCTTAAGATACATTTCCTACACTCACACCTGGACTTTTTTCCTGACAATTGCGGAGCCGTAAGTGATGAGCACGGCGAACGTTTTCATCAGGATATTTCAACAATGGAAAAAAGGTACCAGGGAAAGTGGAATCCTTCCATGCTTGCAGACTACTGTTGGACTCTTTTTATAGATGCTCCAGAAACGATCCATAAAAGAACAGCAAAAAGACAGCGCATATAGTAATTCTTATAAGTATATGAATCTTGTTACTTTTTTAATATATCCTTAAAAATAAAAATTTTTTTTCTAAAGCGCAACTAATTTTTTTATTTCATTGTCATTTTTGGATTCAGCGCCCCAAAATTAACAAAGAAGTGCACTTTTCCCACAAGATACAATTAAAAAACTAAAATTTGTTGTCCAGTGTATTTTGTCACCAAACTTTTATTTTCTATATCATTTTCAGAGGTTCTATAATGGACGCTGTGCAAGCAGCTGCTTTACGTGCTGCAGAACTTGGCGAACAAACTAAAAAATAATACTACTAAAACGTAAAATAATGTGATGTCTGACAAATAATCATTTTATTACTTAGATATTTACTTAGCAGTATTGATGTATATTGTATATGTACCTATATCATATTGATGTTTCGTAATTTATATTTTTCAAATATAGATTTGTCAAAAAATGTAGTTAATGTTAGTCCTATGATTCCTGTCCATCAGGATGTCCTCGACAAAAAAAAAGTTAAAACGCGGGTGGTGCTTAACTTCATAGCTTCTGTTAGCGAGTGACGGGCTTTGAAAAAATTATGATCAAGCATCCCTTCTAAAAACGACACCGAATATTGACTGATTTATTGGATCACTTTTTTAAAACCACATTTTGCAATAGTACAGCTAATGTCATCAAAAAAACTAGAGAACTTATACTAAGTGACATATAAATCCGAACACCCAGTTTAAATGGTTTTATTTTAATAAAAGTTGGTGAATGTATTTATCTTACTGTAAATAACAAGTGAACAAATTTTCAGCCTTATCAGTTGGACATTCCGTTGGCGGATTTTGGTTCTTGACATCCTTTACGATCGGTTACGATGCCTAGAGTAAGGAGACCTGTACGATTTCGTCAACTTAGTGAGTTTGATAGGGGCCATATAGTGGGTCTTCGGGAAGCTGGACTTTCTTTTCGGGCAATTGCAGTTAGAGTGCAAAGAAGTGTAGACACTGTGGTTAGGTGTTGTCAGGCATGGCTTCGAGAAAGCCGTACGCAAAGAGCAAGGGGCACTGGACGCCGCCCTAGAACAACAGACCGTGAAGATCGCCGCCTAAGATTATTGGCCTTAAGGGACCGTTTCTCCACTACCAGGTCCATTGCAAATGAATGGTTTGCAAAACACGGAAGACCTATTGGCATGCGAAGTGTTTACCGACGAATGAGAAGTTTTGGCTTGTTTTCATACCGGCCACACTGGGTCCTCCCTTTAACTCGAGAACACCGACGTAATCGCCTTGAGTGGTGCAGACAACGGTCACTCTGGGATCAGGAATGGAACAGTATTGTCTTTAGTGACGAGTCTCGATTTTGTTTAGGCATGCACGATGGTCGTGCCAGGGTTAGAAGGCGACGTGGTGAAAGGAGGAATCCACAGTTTTTTGTTGAAAGACATGTTCATCACACTGTTGGAGCTATGGTTTGGGGTGCTATAGCTTATGGTTCCAGGTCACCTTTAATCTTCATCAGAGGTAACATGAACGCGCAGCGTTATATCCACGAAGTTCTAGAACCCCATCTTTTACCCTATCTTGACACCCTGGCAGATCCAACTTTCCAACAAGATAATGCCCGACCACATGTTGCAAGAGTCACAATAGACTTCTTTCAACATAATGATGTCACATTGTTACCATGGCCACTAAGATCTCCCGACTTATCCCCAATTGAGCACGTGTGGGATATGATGGGTAGGAGATTGCTCAATTTGCAACGTCCTCCTCAGACTCTAGAAGCACTTCGAGAGGAGTTGGTGGTTGCCTGGAATGAGATACCACAGGAGGACATTGACCACCTGATCAGAAGCATGCGTAGGCGCGTTGGAGAATGCGTAGCACATCAGGGTGCATCCACACATTATTAAAGGTCAAAGGGCTTTAAAGCAGTGCAATCATTTTGAAATTTTTATCATTTACTTATTATGCTTCATTAAGTACTTATACAAAATTTCATTAAAATAAAACCATTTAAACTGGGTGTTCGGATTTATATGTCACTTAGTATAATTTTGAAAACATGTCTAATCGCTGCTAATTGATGCTGGCTATTTACACTGTAGCGTGAAACATTACAAAAGACTAAGGAAAACGAGCAATTCAGGGAAAAAATAATGCTCTTGTCGATAAATGAAACAGATGTTGAAAAATGCTTTACTAAAGTTTCAGTTGTCTGTTTTGTCAGCAAAATGGGATTTGGCAAATTAGCATTGCCATCCTTTCAAGAAAACTTAGTCAAATTCTCAATTGGATGTTTCTGCATCTCCAACATCAACTTTGTTTTTCTTATGGACTTCATATTGGAATTTTACACAAGCAAACACAATCTTTGATTCTGTATTTAGTTGAAACAGGTGCCACAACCAGACATTAATCATCTCATTTTGTCGATGCCTAGACGTATACAGGAGTGTATTCAGCTGCGGGGTCGCCCAACACATTATTTTTTTTCTTGATGTCAATAAAATTTCGGGAGAATGTTATCGTTTCATTCTTGATGTAAGACTACCTCATTGCCAACAAACTCGAGTAGATGAAATTATTTTTTCTGGGCGTAACACTCCTGTCACTGTGTATACTTTGAAAAAAATTGCTTGAAGTCCAACATGACAAGTTGTAAAGGGGATTGGGTGATTAAAACTTCAAACATATTTAAACGCAGTTTATATTTTATAAAAGAAAACTTCATATTCAGAATGATTCATAAAAATAACACAACTCAGTTGCAATAATATACTTTTTGAATAATAATACTATCATTACTGGAATAAAAAAAACGAAAATGTACAAAAATAGGTTATTAGAAATGAATGGATTTTTACGGCGGAAAATATATTTGACTGAACATCTCTGAATGAATTATTTCTATAGAACTAGGCGACTTCTTGAAAATGCCGAGATTTGAAAGCAATTCACCGTCATTTCCATGTTATCAACATTCATACCCATTCATAATAACAAAGCAAAGCTTTTAAGACAAATCCTTGTAAATATATTATTCTGTTTATGATGTTGATTGAGCGACATTACAGCACCAATCTCAGTATCATGTTTATCAATTTTTAAATGATTTCCACATTACGGATTAATGTTTACGTATCTCTAAACAAATAAAATGAATTCTGCTAACATTGCTTGAACAGAAGTAAATATGATCATTGATTAACGTGTTCTACCTCGAGATAGGCAACTCTAACGGAAAATGGTATCTGGAAGATAATAGCGCAATCTATGAGACAGTAGCATAACCACACTCCTCAAAGTATGCAAATTCATTTTTATGGTTTCCTATTATGCCACAGATGCCGTTAAAATCTTTCAGATCCCTTTTTGGGCGCTATCATATGGTTGACTATCCTCAGATAGAAAAGACACTTCATATATTTTATTATATTCGTTATGTAGCAGTTAATTTTGAGCTGTACAAAGGCCTTAAACAAAAATATTGCTGATCATGCTGCAGAGTCGTCGCAAAATATAATAGAGATTTACTAGAAATAATTTGAGTACACTTTGGTATTATGTACTAGTGAATTTAATTGAGGCTTTTAAATTTTAACTGTCAATTTATTTTTTGTCCACATATAAAAATTGATTGTTAATTGTATCTACAAATGCTTCAGAATTTTCCAGGAGCTACATTTTTATACAGATCAATTCGCGATGGTATGATCATCAAGCTCAAGTGAGAAATTAAGTACAAAAAGGTAAGGATATTTTATTACTAACAATACTCAATAACGAAATCAGTACGAAAATGCGCCTTCCAGCAAAAAAGGTGTACCTGGTTGGCGAATGGATGGCTTATTGCTCGTCCGCAGGCGGTTGCTCCTCAAGCGGAGCATCCTCTGCGGGCGTGTTCACCGCTTCTGCACCTTCTTCAGGTGGAACCTCTCCAGGCTCATCTTCAAATAAATATTACATTAAATTAGAAAACGTCACAATTTCTGTGATTTATGAAGTTGACCAAATAGCTCCAATCAGGCTACATACAGTGGACCCCCGATAATCCGGCGCCCCCTGTAATCCGACATGTCTTTGAATATGTATTACATGCATACGTATTTGACAATCTTCCCTAATGTAGATCACGCAGGTTACAACTTGTACGCGCCACCGCTATCGTGCTCGACGCGTAAGCATTGTTTTACTTAGTTTGAATTTGACTTGACTACTGGTGATAGCGGTGCGGCCTAGCGTGCGTTCATTGCTCACTATTTATTCATTACGTATTAAGTATAGTACCTAGTAATGTCATCACAAACTCAGAAGCGAAAGCACACATTGACAATTAAAGAAAAATGCGATATTTTAGACCGCTTAAATCGCAATGAAACTTTCAGTAGTTTAGCAAGTGAATACGGCGTAGGCCGATCTACAATTTATGACATTAAAAGAAACCACGAGAAGATCAAGAAGTTCGTGTCAACTACTGACTGCGGGCCAGGCAAGAGACAGACACTCAAGAAAGCTGAACATCCAGAAGTTCTTCCACTTCTGGCTTTGTACATGTGGTTTCTTCAGGAAAGAAATAGGCATGCACCAATTTCAGGACCCATGTTGGCCATAAAAGACAAGTTTTTTTATAAGGAAATAACAAAAAAAGATGATTTTGTGGCCAGCAAAGGATGGCTAGAACGTTTTAAAAGTCGTCATGGCATACGTTTAATGACTATTACAGGAGAGAAACTTTCTAACGATGCCACCTGCATAGAGCCCTTTAAATTAAGATTTTTGCAAAAAGTGAACGATTTAAATCTTGACCCGTCACAGGTGTACAATGCAGACGAATCGGGGCTTTTTTAGCGTGTGATGCCTAACAAAACTTTCGTTTCTTGTAACGAAAAATCCGTACCTGGACGAAAAGTAAGTAAAGAGCGTGTAACCATACTACCATGTGCTAACGCTGCGGGCATACACGCGCTTAAGATGATGGTCATTGGGAAATCTAATAAACCACGGGCATTCAAAAACATTGATTTACCTGGACACTATTACGGACAAAAAAGTGCATGGATGACAAAAGACCTTTTCAAAAAGTGGGTTGATGAATGCTTCGTACCTGAAGTTAGAAAATGGTTAAAAGATCATAATTTTCCTCAAAAAGCGTTGTTGCTTCTTGATAACGCTCCCGGTCATCCGTCTGAAGAAGAACTAACAACTGAGGATAAATGCATCACTGCGATGTTTCTTCCGCCAAATTGCACTGCACTGATTCAACCAATGGACCAGAATATCATTCAGTTTGTCAAGCAAGACTATAAGAAAAACCTACTTCTGAGAGCCGTATCAAAAGGCCAACCAAATGAAAAAACTTTAAAAGAATTTAACATGAAAGACTTGGTTTTTGCTCTTTGTCAGTCGTGGAATGCGTTACCGTCATCAACTATTAAATCGTCTTGGAAAAAGTTATGGCCAGATATAGTCACCACTCCTAGCAACGTTGCACAAATCAGTGTTACTTCGGAAGTTATAGAACAAGTCGCTACTGAAACACAGATACGTCCGGAAGATTTGGAAATCTGGTGCCGTGGAATGGATAAAGAGGAAAATGTTTTTCATGAAATGTCTGACGAAGAGATTATAAAAGAGGTTTCTAATTATTACAACAATGAGGAAAATAACGACGACGTGATTGCAACTGCTCCACAAGTCACAGCACAAGACGCAACTAACGCCTTTGAGCAAGGTTTACAATGGGATGAAGAGAATGATACATCCTACAACAAACTTTTACTTTTGAGAAGACTGAGGGACAAAGCTCTGATCTCGCGTTATAACAACCTTAAACAAAACAAAAAATTGATGAATATTAATGATTTTGATTATTAATTTTTGATTATTTTAGTACTTATGTATGTGCATTTATGCTTAATTTTATAATAAAAGGTAAGCTCTCTATGTTATTTAATTTACTAAATTTGACATACATAAACTATGTATGATTTTTACTTCAAAGTACATACATATACATAACATATATAATCTTACCATTGGATATGTAATTTGTCGGATTACAATGTACTTTTTTATAAAAAATTCTGAACTATAGGGGGTCTTAGGCAGTGCTGTATAATCCGACATATTCGCTAGTCCGACACTGCCCTGCATAATGTTTGTCGGAGCTCCACTGTATTCAGAAATTACCACTGTTTGAAGTAATGTTACATCCAAAATCCAACTAGACTAAACCAAGTTAGTATAAGTCTATGTACCAGAAATGTTGAGTCTAGCTGATATTTTCTGAAACCGTTAGTTGCATTTAACAAAAAGTGAATACTTCATTATTTTATTACTGCTTATTTTTTTTCAGCCACAAAACTGATACTCAAAAACTACAGATTTTTGTACAAAAAATTCTATACATAAAGCTCCTTTCTTTTTTGATTGAATGCCCTGTAGAGGGATAGTTTGAACTGATATGAAGGAAAACATCAGGGATTAATTCTTGAAATGACGAAGCAGAATAATGGAGAGAAAAGTGATTAATAGAACGGTCGCTCCCTGAGTTATTCTCGGGGGCAAAAGTCTCGCATTCGTCCATCAGTCACATCTCTAAAGACGAAGTTGTCTTTATGATCAAACCCAGGGACATATTAAATTATTTTACTGAAAGAGGATGCGTTCACGAATGTGTTTGACAAATGTCAAGAAAGATATGCATGCCCACATTCTTGTATATAATACTGGGCAAGATGATTTCTCAAACAATTATTTACCTTCAGGTCGAGGAGCCATAGCCACGCGAAGTTGTTCAAGCTCTTCTTCTAGTGCCTTGACATGATTGTTTGCCTCTTCTAGTTTGCTAAGAAGTTGTTTCTGGGTTTCTAGACCTGCCTGAATTGACAGCTTGTCTAGGATATATCTGTCGTAGTTATTAAGGAAAATTGTAAATATATGGGATTAATTCCTAGAGACAGTTATCTATGCTCAATACTGACCAGAGATTTAACATTACGTTTCCAAGACAACTTATCACACCTAAGTATGTATGACACTATAATGCCAAACCCTTGAAAAGAACTATTGGTGAAAGATAAAAGGTTTTTCATTGATTACTGGCTAGGAAAATGCGAACAGAAAATTGGTTTCAGCTTCGATTTTTGACTATCTTTAACAAGGCTGAAGACTAGAATGACATAAGGATACTGTAAAGCATCTTCTGGTTTATCAGGTTCTTCATACAGATTCACCAGCACCTTTGTCAAAGCATCCATAATGCCATTTTTCTCCAAATATTTTCGAAATTCCTCACGTTTCCCTTCGGACGGCTAGAATCCACAATATTCGATATAAAATACTCAATAGTCGATAGGTCTTCATCCTTACCTTATAAGTTTGATTAGTAGTCATTGTGAAGCAGTTCTTGTAGGATAGGAATGCTCTTCAAAATATGCTGAATACGACTTTTTTATCAGCTTTTTTTTTGTTATTGCAGAAATGACAATCTTCAGTCAATCCTAAAAGTTTGTTTTGAGAGATAAGTTTGATCGATGGTCAATATGTCAATACAAGTTCGATCAAAATTTTGCTACGGTCAGTGATATATTTCAACTTCGCCAATATTTAGGTAAAAATTGATCAGAAAACTTACAAAAGTGGAGAAAAAATCTATTTCAGGTTAGTTTCCATTTTTTATATCACAAAACCACAGACACGCTGGAAGTAAGAAAGTAAAGACGCGGACACTGCAGAAGCGACAGCTACTATCGGTCCCTTTGATCACCGTGTACTCAACTGTTTGGCGCGTTCCCTACCAAATTTCACGGACGTTCGGAGTAATTTTTCCCAAGGCTGCTTATGCTTCATCAGTCTCACGTTACGAATGACATAGGCAAAACTACAGAATCATGAAATGTTTCATTTGCCCTTATATTTTTAGGCAAAATAATTCTTCGTGTGCTTTTTATATTCCGTATAACGGTCCGAATAAAGATATCATGGCCACGCAAGAGAAGAGAAGACTATCCGTAGCGAAATTTTTGCTGAAATCGTTGCACAGCACAAAGAATACAAATGAAAATTGCCGCTTTGTCGTTCTAAATGTTCTGTGGATACCCCGGGATAGACATCCGTCTTGACAGATAACCTTGTCATTCTTGCCAAATGAATTGTGGCGTTGTCAGCTTACCGGACGATTTTGCTACCTCTACTATTTTGATAGAATGTTATTGAAAAAAAGAAGTTTTAAATAAAATATTGGGGAATGCCAAAAAACCAAACAAAAGCTGTTATTTACATTTTGCGTCGCCTAGCGTCCAAGCGGCGGAACGTTAATGTCTCTGAACATTTTTTAAATGCCCAGTTTTATAGGATAAAATACTTTTTGATCTTAATAGGAGAAGTATGATTTTCATTTTATTCTACTATTTTTAGTATCCGTCTTATACGCCGAGATATTAGGCATTCATTTTGAGGAAGCTAAAAATGGACAGCTTGATAACTTGAATTCAACTTATAACTCGTCGATCATGTGGAATTTGACATTTGGTGCCCACGTATCCTCCAAGGTAAGACATTTTAGTTTCCTAAGCACGGGGCTGAGATTCCAGATTTGAAAACGACAGAGAAACAAGGCTTGATTTTCATCACCATATTTGGTGTATACTGTCAATTATAGACTATCACCAATTTCTTGGACTAATAATAGTGTCTGTTTCGAGGCTTTGCTAATATTTTTGAGATTTTGCAGAGAAACCGAAGCGTGCGAGTGCTGTACCTGGACCTCGCTGCGGCGATACGGCCGGGTAGTACAGCCCCCTTTCCAGCTCCCACTCCGCGCGCGTCAACGTAAACATCGAGTCGCTTCGGGAGCAGACGCGCGGCGTGGGAGCTGGAAAGGGGCGTGGCTGTACTACCCGGCCGTATCGCCGCAGCGAGGTCCAGGTACAGCACTCGCACGCTTCTTCAGTCTCTCGGCAACCGTCGGCGCAGCGGAATGTCCACGCGATCACAGCTCCCTGCAGAGCTCTATTCGGTTTAGCTACATTTTTTAGTAGTAGTGTTCACTATATTGTTCCCGATTGTCTCTCAGTGGTGCTTTGGTGTTGTGACGTGGGTGTCAAGTGTTTCCAAAATGGAAATTCGGTCTACCTTCAATTCTTCTGAGGGAAAGAGAATACATGTGCAGCACAGTAGGTGAGCCTTGCATACTCATCTACTTGTGTGTTAGGGTTGACATCCTATGTTTTTTAAATAAACTGCGCATATTGCACACGCTGAGAGATTAGTCCAGTATTCAAAAAGTATTTTATCCTAAAAAACCTGGGCATTTCTAAAAGCATTCAGAGACATTAACGTTTCGCCGCCAGGCGATGCAAAATGTAAATAACATGTTTTTTTATTTTTTTTTGTCAAACATTGCTACGCCTCAAATTTTGTATATCTCCATTGGTATGCCTCAACATTTTTTCCAAAGCTTCTTTTTCTTTATAACAGTCCAATGAGCTGGCAACGTCGGAATCTAGGTGACAAGATCGTCTATCCCGGGGTAACGACGGGGTCAAATAGTACGTCAGAGCGGCAGCTTTCTAATCTTCATTTCCATTTTTCAAGCGGTATGCCACAATTTCGAGAAAAATTTCGCTACGGATAATCTAGTAGAGTATATTTCAATAGTTGTATTGTGTGGCCATGATACTCGTGCTCATATAACAACCAACAACAGTAGAAGTATGTAAATCAAATATCTCTAAATGTCACAGCAACGGAAATCCGGCCAAATGCATACGACTCAAGTAGATTGAACTTGATTTTTGACAAGCTTTCGCCTCTCCCTCTGGTAGTACTCTGTGACACGGAGCAAAAGGTTGATGTTCTTCTAATTTGTGTAGTGTCCCAATTCCCAATATATGTAAACATTCCACATTTTGAAAAGGACAATCACAAAATTACTCTTAATTGTTGAAAAAACATACCTTGTACAATTTTTGGTGTGGATCAAACGTGGTCACGCAAGACAACTGGCTTGATGAAACATCCACTTTTTATATCTTGATATTACTAGTATATTGTTTTGCTTTGTGTCAGTGCTTTTTATGTATTTACAATTCATTTTCCCTAGGAAGCGCTTTTACATTCGAATACTATTGTTGCATGTGTACAAAGTTGAGTAAATGATTCTCTAAACATAAATTGTTTCCAGTTTAGTAGGCGAAGGGAGTCATATTCTGGAATAGTATTTTAGTTTAATGTCGTGATATTTCAACTACCATTGTGACCTTTTTGAAGTACAATTGTAGACAACTGAGTCTTATGAACATGAAAATCGTAGGACAAGTTTCAGGAGTCACATATTCAGGCATCTCCAGAAACAGTTGGATCTTAGGCCTTGCCCTAATCAAATAGATTCAGACTTAGATATGTGCATCATATTAACTAGGGAATGTAATATAAAAACTTTATTTTAGTCTTTTCCAGCACAGATAATTCAAAACTATATTCAACATAACATTAAGAAACTTTGAGTTCACTATGTCTACAATTATAGCTTGCTAAGTAATAACAGTCTTTAAGTCTCAATAATATAAATATTCATTTTGAATACTAAATCTTCTCCACAATCTTAGCCACAGCACATTTTTCTTTCATTTTCAGAATCTCTATCAATAGGCGCAGCTCATCAAATGATTTCTGAAAAATAAATACAAAATTTAATTAGACATCCGAGACAAAGCCTATGGCTGAAGGAGCACCAGGGCAGAGCAATATTCTAGCCCTATTTTCACATATTCACATTGTAATTTTGATCTTTTCTGTTAGCCCTTTGAAACCACCATGTTGGCCAAAATATCAGGATGAGTCTTGGCTGTTCGATGAAGCATCTGTACTCTATGGCAGCTGCAACGTTACAAAACTGATGCCTATTGAAATGACCCAGCCCTGTGCGCGAATGCTAAAGCATCACGAATACTCACTTCATCTGTTATTCCTAATCTTTCAAGTGCCTCTTCACCAGCCTCTGTTACAGGCATAATGGGTTCAGATTTTAGTTGTTCAGCATTGTCCTGGATATCGGTTGTATTTTCTAAAGCTGCTAGCAAACACTTTGTATTGTAATGTAGTGCTGCAGCAATATCTGATGATCTCCGATATTTCACGATTTGATCCAGAATACTTTTAACATACGAATACGATTGAATGTGTTCATCCATTCTGAATGGTACGACAGACACAAACACAAATCTCCCCAAAAGATGACGATTAAAAGGAAGACAAAAACAGCGTATATTTATAGGAATTTGTTGATTTTTCAAATATCCACTACATAACCCCAAAACTTTAACGGATGTTGCTGTCACTACCACAAAACATACACTAGGTTTACCTGTCATTTGGCAGACGCGAGCGCAAAATATGACATTAGAGGGATACAGGTGTTCCGACCTACCATGTTTATCCCCCGGTTTCCTGTATTTCTGCGATCTATACCCTATTTCACGAGTATCGACCACGCTTTGACGTCTACTGAGGCGAACAGCTGATTAGTAAGTGACATTTTTGTGATAGCTTGCAACGTTGGCAATAATGAATCGGGAGTAAATCTAGTAAAACTTGTTTGTTGCGCTTTGTATGCAAATTATATATTATCATAACATAAAATAGTTGTTAGCAAGAACAAAATGAATCTGTAGCAGACAAAAAACAAAATGCTGCTCTGACTACGTGACGTTGACGGATTCGTCAGAATTATGTGTCCTGTGGGTATAGTAGACACGATGCACAATCTGGCGCAACCATGTGGGATTCAGAAAAAATGGCGATGACACTGACATTAATCAACCGTGTATACGTTTTGTGGTAGACACATCTATATCCATAGCACATATCGTTTCTTTGTGTTCTGTGTTTGAAAATTTGAAATTCCATGTTTGAATAAAAGAAACACGGTAAAATTTTGTTGATTTGTGTTTCTCGTGAATCCGAATAAAATGGGTAAAGGTGCAGGATCACACCATTATTCACTGAAAAATTTTGAAAGCGGGGAAATTATTAGAGCCAAAGCTTCAAATTTGACTGTGAAATTTAAAAATATGGTTGAGGTTGCATCGGCGATTCGTAAAATGACCATTGCTAGAGCTAATGCTTATCTGAAGAATGTATTGAATCACACAGAATGTGTACCCTTTAGAAGATTCAAGAGTGGCATTGGGAAATGTCCACAAGCTAAGCAATTTAAAATCGTAAACGTAAGTGAAACGTATCGCAATGCTGCTGTTTACTGATTGCTAGGGTAATGTAAAAAATGGAGGATTCTTTTTGAGGTCGCCTAAAGAGACAGTAGTCTCCCGTCTCTCCGCAAAGTCGCTGTTTGGGATCTGATAGTTTCATTGAATTTGGCCCAAAATTGATCTCTGTTAAATGCCGGCATTCATTTAACTCGCGGGTAATTCCTGAAACATTCAATTATTTAATTTTACAGGGTCGCTGGCCAAAAAACGCCGCAAAATGCATGATAAATTTGTTGAGGAATGTAGCAGCCAACAGCGAGTTTTACGGCAAAGATCCGGCAGACTACATTATCGGACATATTCAAGTGAATCGTGCGGCTATTAGAAAAAGGAGAACCTTCAGGGCTCACGGAAGAATCAATCCTTATGCTCGTCACTTGAGTCATGTTCAAGTCGTTCTTACTGAGAAGCCTGCTAAAAAATAGTTTTGTCAAAATTGTTGGGCAAACGTCCCGAATATTAAATATACCTCAGCGACCTTGGCATGAACATAGCACACACATATCTTATGTTTTTCAGTTACAGGGTTTTCTAATTTACTTGGCACTAATGTTTCCAATGTGCTGTTGTTGATAACTTGTTACGTTGTTGAATAAACCATATTTAAAATCATGTTGGCTCTTAAAATTTTCGCAAAGAAATTTTATGTACGGATATTGCACAATTATTTCTTTATGTTATCAATTAAAAATCCATATGTCGATTTAGTCGACACTATCCTGTTAGGAACCTCTCTAATATGGCCCTTATGGCCTCCTATTAAATCCTTTGGAAATGCAGGTTTTCGTTCTTAATTGTCTCTTTTGCCTGCCTTTGCCCTGACTAGCTGTTCCGCCATTGTAGAGACTTTTTCATAGTTGAATTTCTAACGGATTGATTCAGTTTTAGTTTGGTACACCAACAGAAATACTTTCTAGTTTGATAATGTCGATCCAAGTTTGCTTTTTTGACTTCTGTCAATTAAGTAGTTTTGTAGAATTTTGAATACAGATCCTTCAAATCTATAGAGATGCAATTTTGTAAGGAATTTATCCCTGTCAATAGTTTAAACGCCCTTTTGAAGTCCAAAGACGCTGTCACTGTATGGTTCCTATTGTTCATACATCTCCTCCAGTCCTCTAAAACTATACTAAGTGACATATAAATCCGAACACCCAGTTTAAATGGTTTTATTTTAATAAAAGTTGGTGAATGTATTTATCTTACTGTGAATAACAAGTGAAAAAATTTTCAGCCTTATCAGTTGGACATTCCGGTTTTTTATACTGCTTTTTTTTAATTCACTAACGCTCTAAAAATGAATATTTCAGCCGCAGTAAAGAATCACGTGGCGGATTTTAGTTCTTGACATCCTTTACGATCGGTTACGATGCATATAGTACGGAGACCTGTACGATTTCGTCAACTTAGTGAGTTTGATAGGGGCCGTATAGTGGGACTTCGGGAAGCTGGACTTTCTTTTCGGGCAATTGCAGTTAGAGTGCAAAGAAGTGTAGACACTGTGGTTAGGTGTTGTCAGCATGGCTTCGAGAAGGCCGTACGCAAAGAGGAAGGGGCACTGGACGCCGCCGTAGAACAACAGACCGTGAAGATCGCCGCCCTAAGATATTGGCCTTAAGGCACCGTTTCTCCAACTACATGTCCATTGCAATGAATGGTTTGCAGAAAAATGAAGACCTATTGGCATGCGAAGTGTTTTACCGACGAATGAGAAGTTTTGGCTTGTTTTCATACCGGCCACTCTGGGTCCTCCTTTAACTCGAAAACACCGACGTAATCGCCTTGAGTGGTGCAGACAACGCTCACTCTGGGATCAGGAATGGAACAGTATTGTCTTTAGTGACGAGTCTCGATTTTGTTTAGGCATGTACGATGGTCGTGCCAGGGTTAGAAGGCGTCGTGGTGAAAGGAGGAATCCACAGTTTTTTGTTGAAAGACATGTTCATCACACTGTTGGAGTTATGGTTTGGGGTGCTATAGCTTATGGTTCCAGGTCACCTTTAATCTTCATCAGAGGTAACATGAACGCGCAGCGTTATATCCATCTTTTACCCTATTTTGACACCCTGGCAGATCCAACTTTCCAACAAGATAATGCCCGACCACATGTTGCAAGAGTCACAATAGACTTCTTTCAACATAATGATGTCACATTGTTACCATGGCCACCAAGTTCTCCCGACTTATGCCCAATTGAGCACGTGTGGGATATGATGGGTAGGAGATTGCTCAATTTGCAACGTCCTCCTCAGACTCTAGAAGCACTTCGAGAGGAGTTGGTGGTTGCCTGGAATGAGATACCACAGGAGGACATTGACCACCTGATCAGAAGCATGCCTAGGCGCGTTGGAGAATGCGTAGCACATCAGGGTGCATCCACACATTATTAAAGGTCAAAGGGCTTTAAAGCAGTGCAATCATTTTGAATCATTTACTTATTATGCTTCATTAAGTACTTATACAAAATTTTATTAAAATTTTATTAAAATAAAACCATTTAAACTGGGTGTTCGGATTTATATGTCACTTAGTATATTCTTAGATCTGCTATTATTTTTTCGCTTGTCATTACCCCATCGTCGAACTTAATTGTAGATAATACATTTCTTCTAAATGGAGAAAAAAAAACAGCAAACAATTTCAAAACATATGATGTGTCAAACAGAGAAAAGCACGCGACAAATACAGCTGATTTGTAGCAACAAACACGTGATTTGGAGGCGTCATTTCATTGCTTGGATCGGCCACGACAGAAAGTGAAAACTTCGTTAAGTCTAGGGTCAACGTTGCGTACGAACATTAGACTTTATAAATCGGACTTTAGCGCTCATACCCTATATTAGCCCATCAAAGGTGTTGCAAATTTACTAGAAAAAGTTGAAATTTTCTTTTTTAATAAAATCCAGTAACGACAAGATCTGCGTAAAGCAAACAAAAAATAGTTTTTATTTTTTATTTATTTAAGGCACATATAGCATTCAATAAACTTGACAAAAAAAATTGCAAAATACAAAATTTACACATAAACGAATGGCACTATCAAATACAATAAATATTAGTGCTTTATACATGTATATAAAATATATGCACCTTTTTTGCTCGAATATAAACATTGATAGAATTCTACAAAAATCACATGTATTAACAAAACAAAAATAATATAAAAATGCGATATACGAGATTGTCTTTTCTGGAAATGTTTTTCATTTTGTTAATGATTGCTTCAAGAATATCTTATTTTGAATAAAGCATAAACTGATATATTGATTTTCTATTTGTACATAACAGCTGGAGTTTCAAACATTAAATGCATCTAAAAGACAATCCCTGTATGAGACAACAATGGATACAAGATGTTTATAATCAGATAAATATGTATAGTAAAAACAGCTCAGTGTATATTAATTTGTGTAAAAGTTCTATGAGGCACATATAAAGGTAGTATTGTTAGTTGAATATCCTTTAAAAAAATAGCGAAACGATTCGTATAAAAATTTATCTTTAAGTACCTAAGAATATCAAGCCGTTAGTAACACGATATATATTTTGCTTTTAAGTAATAAAAAATCAATACTGAAAATTGTAAAAATAATTTAACCTGCTAGCATATTCATACAAATGTATGTATTCGTTGTACCAAAGCTTAGCTTCTAACAAATATATTTTAGTCACTTTAGTGACTTAAACATTACAAACAGCAATTCTACTTTCGATCAACAAACAATAGCACATTTTCACTCAAAAAAGTAGAAAAGACTACATATAAGGAAGTATAAAGAATATAACAAATTTATTTGCTTTAGAAACATTATACAGGCACTTCCACGATACATAATATAAATATATTTTATGGAATTGAGGTAATTTTTAAATCAGCTCAAAGCGGCGTTTGAATCACAAGATTCTCGAAGGCTTGGGTCAAATATTTTGTTCAAAATTTCCACTACCACCAATTACAAACCCAGTGATATTTCAGCGCATAAGTAAAGAAGCGGCATTGCAATCAAGTGGTTCACACGGATGTATCTTGATTGTTAAGTGATCATCGTCATCACCAATTTTATTATCGTTCCTTAGCATAATTATATTTTCTTAAGCGTGGGCAAAATTACATTTTATAAAATAAGCCAAGAGTAGGTAACATTAAGATATAAGAAAGTTTCTTTTCAAACGTCTACAAACCTAAATGTGGTCAGGTTGGCCTTGCTGACAGTGCGACTACCTTTTTGGTTCCGTACAGTTGAATAATCGGCCTTCGTCTTTAGAAATTCGCCTGTTAGGTTTTTGTACTAATGACTTCCTTAGCACTATCTAATAAAGCGAACAGACGAACGTACACATCTACATCTTCAAATGGTCGTTGTGATTATTTCCGTTCTCCATGATGTTGAGGGTGGAGGGTAGGAGGTACGCGATACTGTTGCCCTCTTTCCTGAACGTCGGCTGCGATTCGGCCGCTGACACTTTGATGTTTATCATCCGTTGCTTACCGCCCAACGAGCAGGCTATTGTTTTCGATACTCGTACTGGCAAGTCGAAGCTTTTCAATCTAGAAATTGATCACTTTAATTGTACCTCGAAAATGGAAGATGGCGAAATGAATGTGTGAATGACGAACGCTGAAGCAAGGAGTTAAATTCCGTCAAGTTGTGACTCGCCATCATGACCGCTACTTTGTTTATTTGAAATTTATTTAGGATGCTTGCTACGTCGCTACGTATTCAGAATCGTTATCGAAACGTCCCATTATGCAAAGAATATAAAAATTGATATACTTACTGGTAATGTCTGTTGCACAGCACTCCAACGCATTCTCCAACTCTATCTTCTTGTTTAGGAGAATGTAGAGAAACAACTAAATCGTTTCCTCCTGGACAGTGAAGGATAATAAGTTGATCTTTCCCGGGTGAAACACTCAGACCCGTTAATTCACCTAAGGAAACACAAAACTCACTACTCCATCTATTTAAGAGGCACATGTACATGAAGAAAAGATACATTTTGTAATAATTGTCAATGTACCAGCATCATTTAGCGAATTAGACATATTTATGTAAGAAAGCCTAATTGATTCCCCGCTAAAATGAGCGAGTTCAGATTTTCAGTTGAAATGTGTAAGTTTTCAAAATATCACGTTTGAAACAATGTCTCTGTTTAGTGAAAATTTGTTTTGAGCAAATGAAGATGACTTAATTTTTTACGGAATTCAATTACGCACCTATAGCTACACCTTCCTTCATGTTCCTGAATTTTTCACAGTCCAACTTGTAAATGTGTTGGTCGGTGACGAGCATCACTCGCTCCGCGACCTTATTGAACTTGTTAAACTTCGTGACGTACGAAGAAAACAGAACTTGCGTAAAATGCTTCGTGTTCCGTAGATTGTTCACAGCCTCGTTGAATACGGTGTAGCTGGGATTTTCCATGTGGGTAGACAGGTAATTCCCTTGAAAAGTAGATGTTGTATAGAGATATTATCGGTAGTTTATTCCTGAGATCAGACAGACGACAGATAGAAACATCAGACTGAAGTGATATAATTTTTCGCCGAGTCCAGGTCACAGGTCAATTTATCCGTAACAGGTCAATGGAAGGGCGTTTCGAGGTCATTTCAAGGTCAAATTGAGAAAATGCCGGGAAATCAAATCTACTAGACAACTACATAGGTTTGTGGGGTCGCCAAGTCTGGGTTTGGGGTCAAATTGAAAAATGCCGGGAACTCGAATCTACTTGATTAATACGTAGTTCTACAGGGTCGCCGAGACCGGGTCTGAGGTCGGTTTGTCCGTATCAGATCAATGGAAAGGCGTTTCGAGGTCTTTTCAAGGTAAAATTAAAAAATGCCGGGAACTCGAATCTACTTGACTAATACGTAGTTCTACAGGGTCGCCGAGTCCGGGTCTGAGGTCGGTTTGTCCGTATCAGATCAATGGAAAGGCGTTTCGAGGTCATTTCAAGGTCAAATTAAAAATGCCGGGAACTCGAATCTACTTGACTAATACGTAGTTCTACAGGGTCGCCGAGTCCGGGTGTGAGGTCGGTTTGTTCGTATCAGATCAATGGAAAGGCGTTTCGAGGTCCTTTCAAGGTCAAATTAAAAAATGCCGGGAACTCGAATCTACTTGACTAATACGAAGTTCTACAGGGTCGCCGAGTCCGGGTCTGAGGTCGGTTTGTCCGTATCAGATCAATGGAAAGGCGTTTCGAGGTCATTTCAAGGTCAAATTAAAAAATGCCGGGAACTCGAATCTACTTGACTAATACGTAGTTCTACAGGGTCGCCGAGACCGGGTCTGAGGTCGGTTTGTCCGTATCAGATCAATGGAAAGGCGTTTCGAGGTCCTTTCAAGGTCAAATTAAAAAATGCCGGGAACTCGAATCTACTTGACTAATACGTAGTTCTACAGGGTCGCCGAGTCCGGGTCTGAGGTCAGTTTGTCCGTATCAGATCAATGGAAGGGCGTTTCGAGGTCATTTAAAGGTCAAATTAAAAAATGCCGGGAACTCGAATCTATTTGACTAATACGTAGTTCTACAGGGTCGCCGAGTCCGGGTCTGAGGTCAGTTTGTCCGTATCAGATCAATGGAAGGTCGTTTCGAGGTCATTTAAAGGTCGAATTAAAAAATGCCGGGAACTCGAATCTACTTGACTAATACGTAGTTCTACAGGGTCGCCGAGACCGGGTCTGAGGTCGGTTTGTCCGTATCAGATCAATGGAAAGGCGTTTCGAGGTCCTTTCAAGGTCAAATTAAAAAATGCCGGGAACTCGAATCTACTTGACTAATACGTAGTTCTACAGGGTCGCCGAGTCCAGGTCTGAAGTCAATTTATCCGTAACAGGTCAATGGAAGGGCGTTTCGAGGTCATTTCAAGGTCAAATTGAGAAAATGCCGGGAAATCAAATCTACTAGACAACTATATAGGTTTGTGGGGTCGCCAAGTCTGGGTTTGGGGTCAGTTTGTCCGTATCACGTCAATGGAAGGGCGTTTCGAGGGGTCATTTCAAGGTCAAATTAGAAAATGTCGGGAACTCGAATCTACTTGACTAATACGTAGTTCTGCAGGGTCGCCGAGTCCGGGTCTGAGGTCGGTTTGTCCGTATCAGGTCAATGGAAGGGCGTTGCGAGGTCATTTCAAGGTCAAGTTAAGAAAATGTCGAGAAATCAAATCTACTAGACAACTACATAGGTTTGTGGGGTCGCCGAGTCCGGGTTTCGGGTCAGTTTGTCCGTATCAGATCAATGGAAAGGCGTTTCGAGGTCATTTCAAGATCAAATTGAGAAAATGCCGGGAACTCGAATCTACTTGACTAATACGTAGTTCTACAGGGTCGCCGAGTCCGGGTCTGAGGTCGGTTTGTCCGTATCAGATTAATGGAAGGGTGTTTCGAGGTCATTTCAAGGTGAAATTGAGAAAAGGTGTGGGGTCGTCGAGGCCGGGCTTGAGGTCAGTTTATTCGTATCAGATCAATTGAAGGACGTTTCGACGTAATTTCAAGGTCAAATTAACAAAATGCCGAGAACTCGAATCTAGTAGACTAATAGGTAGGTTTACAGGGTCGCCGAGTCCGGGTCTGAGGTCAGTTTGTCCGTATCAGGTCAATAGGACGTTTCGAAGTGACTTCAAGGTCAAATTAAGAAAATGCCAAGAGCTCGAATCTACTAGACTCATGTGGATGTCTTTGGAGTCGCAGAATCCGGTTCTGAGGTCATTTTGTCCGTATCAGGTCAATGGAAGGACGTTTTGAAGTCATTTCAAGGTCAAATGTAGAAAATGCCGGGAAATTAAATCTATTAGACAAGTACATAGGTTTGTGAAGTCGTCGAGTTCCCAATCTGGGATCAGTTTGTGTCAGGCCATTTGCAGGGAGTTTTGAGGCCATTTCGAGTTCATTTGGTAGACTTGATTTCCCTCAGAATTTTCTCGAAATGACTTTTAAAAGACCTGGAAACACGTTTCAAATGACCTGTTCACGGCCGAGTTGACCTCAGATTCCGAGTTAGTGTCCCTCCCAAAGGCCTACGAGCATGACATTTAAGTGCCTGACACCTTATAACTTCGAAATTTCACCTGAAACTGGCCTTTTCCTCCTAGAAGTGCTGTTTGTGGTCAAATCGTTATTTTGTATACATTTAACTAAGCAGTGTCTTGATATATTTACCTTCCCATTTTCTACTGAGTCCGTACTCTACTCTCTTATTGATCAAGGCACTGGCGGCGCTGATCTTCAACTTCATTTGAGGCCACTCGCTCTTGGTATCCTGTTCAGAATCATGAACGCGCGCCACCTGTTGTATATCGACCGCAACATCTTAGCGCTGTTTAAAAGCGACCTAAAACATATTATGATTTTACGAGTCACACTCAACAGATACGTATTCAAAACATAGCCATAATATGCAATGACAGCTCGCGTACCTCGGGGGTGCTGGCCAAACAATGCTTTTGCCATAATCTTTCATGGTTTTTACCCTACGGAATTTGTTTTCTAACGAGCTTATGTACTCGCGCAATTTCTTCTGTCTGTAGCACTTGACCATCGTCAATAGCGCCTTCATCTTCTTGTACTGTTGCCTTGCTACAAACCCTGAGCAAACAAAATAAATAATAGTCACGATGTCAATACATTTTATAGGACTACTATCAACTGTTACATACTATTGATGTGAGAACAGGAGGGCATTACCTCTCCACGTTTTCTGTATCAACGTTACAATTCCAGGGATGAGATCGTTCCTAGCATTTTCCAATTCAAAAAGAGTTTTCGGTGATCGTATAAATATTTTCGTTCTTCCATACTTGACATCGTCCGCGAACCTCTTCTCGTCCATTATCACCTTAACAGCATCTTTATCTGATCCGGATCTGAAGTTTGGCCATGTGAACTGCGAAATCATTTTGTACCTGAAAAGACGTAACGTAAACAACTTACGAGAAGCTCTTTTCGAAAATATACCGAAACATTTTCAAACTTGTCCAAAGTTTCTTCTTGAAGCTAAAGTATATTTGCGTATTAGCCATCGTGGGAATCTAGAGTCAAGATTTCATTACCAAAGTGGGACTTTCACAGCTACCTTGGAGTCAAGAATTGAAGATGTATAAAAATGACATATAGCATCAACAAAAAAGAACAGATTTTACAATATGTCAATACTTTTCGTCTGTTGTTGGCCAGGAAACAAATACGAAGAGCTTTTCACATAACGATCCGTGCAGGAGAATCGCAAAATGTTTCACAACGATTCATACCTTTTCAAGAACCTGTCGTATCTCTGTCTGTAAGCGAAACCAGCTCGCCTTACTCTTACGTTCTCCACCAAACCTAGGTAGCTAACTTGGTGCCGTACCCTTTCCTCATCGAATGCCGTCGCCGATTTTATTTCGTTTGGTTTTATGCAACGGACGTAGTGCGGCTCTTTGTTTTGCAAGTTTTGTACCAATGCCTGCATCGAGTTTTTGAATAGCGTTCCTGCGGTCGGAGGTCGCTTCGTTATCTACAAAGATATCAAAGGAAATACAGGAAATAAAATAACTCTATAATGTTATATATATATATATATATATATATATATATATATATATAAATAGGGAATTGGCAAACTTTAAGGCTTTAGTTAACGCTTTTGACGATAAAATGTAGCTTTCGGCAATTCTCTATGGAGCCATCTTCAGGAGCTAAAATCACAATTATGATGCTAGCAACCAATACGGCAAAGAGGACTCTTTATACTTTTTTTAATTCTCTCTAGCTTTCAATGGATTTTGCCATCATCATCAGGAGCTGCAATTACAATGATAACAGTAGCAACAAAAGTGTAAAATGAATTTAAATTGAATCAACTTACAGTAGTATGTGAGGATGTTGCTAATTGTTGTTTTCGTATAGGATGAGGGAAACGTCCAGTTACATGGTGAGAGCTGGATACATGGTATAATGGTTAAAATTATATAAAATATGACAAGACAAGTTAATGACAGATTAAAAATTATTTAGAAAACATTAGAGCATTACGTCATGAAGCAACTTGATGATTGCACAAAATGGTGGTCATGGAATAATGAGTGAGATGAACCTTTGACAGAAGGTCGAAGGTTGTCAATGTCTGCGTTGAAAGATGGAACGAATTGTGGGCGTGTGCCAAAACGTTGCCAAATCACTTCAGATGATGTGGTTTTCAGAATGTTATGTAAGAAATGGTTAAACCGACCAGAGGCAGTTGAATAAACTATATTTTAATTAATGGGAATTTTAAATTAACAATTATTAATAAATCGTGAGAAGAGAATTATTAGATTTTGAGTGGAAAGAAATTTGTTGGTGGAATCGGCCAAAACACAGATTATATTTATGGTTGTGAAAAGTCGAAATTTGGGGAGATATGTAATTTCTCTAATTTTTCGCAGTTTAGCAAATATGAGTAAATGACACTCAGTTGTTTAATATCTGTCTTTTTGTTGATACAGTTGTTATTCATGAAAATGTGGGACATTTCCAGGAATAAACGTTTGGAAAGGTGTTTTTCTTTATCAAGTGTTTTGGCCGATTCCACCAACAAATTTCATTCCACTCAAAATCTAATAATTCTCTTCTCACGATTTATTAATAATTGTTAATTTAAAATTCCCATTAATTAAAATATAGTTTATTCAACTGCCTCTGGTCAGTTTAACAATTTCTTACATAACATTCTGAAAATCACGTCATCTGAAGTGATTTGGCAACGTTTTGGCACACGCCCACAATTCGTTCCATCTTTCAACACAGACATTGACAACCTTCGGCCTTCTGTCAAAGGTTCATCTCACTCATTATTCCATGACCACCATTTTGTGCAATCGTCAAGTTGCTTCACGACGTAATGCTCTAATGTTTTCTAAATAATTTTTAATCTGTCTATAACTTGTCTTGTCATATTTTATATAATTTTAACCATTGTACCATGTATCCAGCTCTCACCATGTTACTGGACGTTTCCCTCATCCTATACGAAAACAACAATTAGCAACATCCTCACATACTACTGTAAGTTGATTCAATTTAAATTCATTTTACACTTTTGTTGCTACTGTTATCATTGTAATTGCAGCTCCAGATGATGATGGCAAAGTCCATTGAAAGCTATAGAGAATTAAAAAAAGTATAAAGAGTCCTCTTTGCTTAAATTTTGTCGAAGTACCCAACAAAAGGCGGAAGCTTTAATTTTTCACCTAACTGGTTTAGACGACAATGACCACGTCTCAAGTTATATATATATATATATATATATATATATATATATATAATGTTAAAGTATGAAAGGTGGTTCTCTTACCTCTGATATATGTTGCGCTCCTTCCGGCCACATTTCTTTTATGTTAGGATCCTTCGAATTGTAAAGCAGTCTTTTGAAATCCTGGAAGAGGGTATCCTTATTTTTGTCCAAAAATCCGATGATGCAGTACGTCACATCGCCTGCGTAGTGGGTAACTCGGAAGTCAATTTTATGCCGCAGCGTTTTCTCGGGAGGTTTCGTCTGCCGTGACATGTAATGCTTGTGGCCTACAAAAAAGTGCCGTCATATAGATTGACTGTGTACTTCTCGATAAATGCACGTACGTGTACGAAATTACGTACCGTAGCGGACAAAAGATTGGGAACAAATAAATTAAAATGGTGAAGGAACAGATAATATAAATATTAAAGTGTCTCGTACTAATACAAGATTTATCTTATCAATATTCAAATTCTCAGAAAATAAAAACACGCGTTTTTTTTTTAATACCACAGTTTTTATAACGACAAAAGTGTGAAAACATTTCAGTTTTGCAGTATTTACGTGTTCTGCGATAGTATGATATTGCGTGCGGTAAATATTAACATCAGTGAGAGGTGGAAAATATGCTTAATGAGATAGAATCAAGAGAAATCGCAATTATTGACTTTGAAACGTTACGAGAGTCACTCTTACAAGCCAATATCACTGAAACTTACTTCTCAAAAATTATGGATTGTATGGAGAACGTGGTATATCAAAGGAAAAAGCCAACACCCTGGTTTTCACAAATATTTCTAGACTCTAAATTGAAGCGTGATAATGATTATAAAAAGTTTATGATCACACAAACTGAGGAAGATTGGATACAATATAAGAAATCAAGAAACAAGTGTTTAACAAATCTTAGGAACGAAACGAAAAAATATTATGAAAACAAATTCGATAGCAATAAAAATAACAATAAAATGATGTGGAAAACACCAAAAAATATTGTATCTCCCAGTAGGAAGAATGAATTATCAAGAATGTGCTTTGAAGATGGTATAGTAAAACAAAAAATATTGATTGCAGAACGAATGAATGCTTAATTTAAAAAAGTATAAATGAGATAGTGGAATCATTCGAAGATGGGGATCCAAATCTATGTCACATGCAAGTTACTTATAACTTCTATGAGACAATTCCAAACAATAAATATCAGCCATCTTTCAAAAATCGTTATGAAGGGATGTTTCATCATTATTGGAGAGAAGTTATTACTGTTAGTGAATCACTGTTTAGTGTATAGCGAATTTCCTTCAAAATTAAAATGTTCTACAATTACTCCTGTTCCAAAAGTGCAAAATTCTGAGTCATATACAAACATGCGGCCAATTAATGTAAAATGTCGAGAAGCTCTTAGAAGGAATCATATATGAACAAGTCATTCAATATATTGAAGAAAATAAGATATTGACAACATTTCAAGCAGGATTCAGAAAAAAGTACTATACTGAAACAGCAATTCAAATGGTATTAGAAGAATGGAGGCGAAATATGGATGAAAAAAAGTTTACAGTAACATTGTTCTTGGATTTCAAGAGAGCATTTGAGACTATTGACAGGGAGAAATTGTTAACGAAATTGCATTGTTATGGATTTCAAGGTTAATCAATAAAGTCAAAGAACTAAAATTGGCAATACATCATCAAACATTAAAAACATTTCGGTAGGTGTGCCACAGGGTAGCAAATTAGGTTACTATTTATTTTATATATTAACGATATTACTGATATTTTACACCGCAAAATTCAACTATTTGCTGATGATACATTAATTTATATATCAAATAAAGACATTGGAAATGCAATAAAACTGTTAAATAATGATATAAAAAAACGTAATAAATTGGTTAAATGTAAATAAACTTAAACTAAACACAAACAAAACAAAATATATGCTGATAGGAAGATCTTTAGATCAAAATACGATATATCTTACAATTACTCATGAAAAAATTGTGTCAATCGAATCACTTAAATATTTGGGCATATACGTAGACAGAAAATTAAAATTTTAAGGGCACTGTGAATATATTATTTCAAAAATATCCAAGAAAATAAATTACTTTTATAGAATTTCGCATAGTCGAAGCGTTTATTCTAAAATAATTGTGTACAACACTATCATTCTTCCTCATTTGTTATATTGTTCGACTATTTTGTTCACTGAAAATGAAACTGTATTTTCAAAATTACAAATATTACAAAATAAACCTATGAGAATCATCCTAAATCAAAATTTATTCTAGTATATTTTTATTTAAGAGATAGGACTGGTTAAGACTAAAAAATGTTAATGTTCTTGCATGGCCTTCGCAAACTCCAGACTTAAACCCTATAGAACATCTCTGGGAGCATGTTAAAAGACAACTGACAAAAACCTTTAAAAATAGGAACTATTTATTTGATTATGTAAAAAATATTTGGCAAAATATCCCAACAGACGTTTGTAAAAAATTGTTGTCTTCTATGAGCAGCAGATGTCAGGCAGTGTTGAATGCTATACTATTAAATATTAGCTAAACAGTATTTTTTAAATGTTTTTGTAGAGTATTTAATTTTGTAATAAAAAATATGTTTCCATACTTTTGTCGTCTCTTTTCCGGTCATAAAATAAAATGCAGGTATTTTAATGTTAGTCTGTAGTACCACAGCAAACACAAATTGTTATTTGTATCCTCAAGACTGTAAGCAAACTATATGAGAAAAAAAATATTCCTTAATAATAAAGAATAAAAAAATAGCTGTTCTCCGCCAATGTACATACCTTTAAGGTATTTGTCCATAGCTTCCAGTAGCAGTTCATCGGTGACTTTTTCAGCTGTCATTTTACAAGCATCATCCATTATGGAGATGATACCCTTATGAGGCGCTTCCACCAAATCGCAGATGATTTGGTTATTGAAGTATTCTATGTTCGTCCAGGCGATTCCTTCGCGATTGTATTCTTCTTGCTCCTGTTTCAAAACCAGTTCTGAAAATCAAACATCCTAGTAAAATATCTCACGCAAATGAATAGTTTGTCGCTACATATGAAATAACAACTACTCACCGATAAAAAGCTGTTGTAGTTTCTCATTGCAGTAGTTTATACAAAACTGCTCGAAACTGTTATTGTCGAAAATCTCGAACCCGTAGATATCCAAAACGCCGATCAATGAACTTTTGTATTGCGCCGAATAATTGTTTTTATCTACGGCTATGGCATCGTTGATTTTTCCCACAATCCAAGCGAATAATCGGTCGTACACAGCCTTCGCAAAGGCGTCTCTTCCAAAAGATGCCTCCGTTTCTGTAAAAATATCGAAAGATCAACGAAGAACAATATTAATAAGCTTAAAGACAAATGAATTCTAACGACCAAATTCGCCTCAGCCGTTTTCCATCACCAGCTGTAGAAAAGATTTCCAAAACATTGCATGTGGAAAAGTCCTAAAACTTGGCCAAAACATAAAAGATTCACTAAATTTTACCAAAATGTTTTCAAAACATGTTTGCAAAAAAAATGTTTGGATTACGCTCAAATTCGAGTTGTTTAATGTTTTTGAGGTCGCTGCTTTCAAATTAGATATGGATATTTTCAAAATCAAAATGGCGTGACCAGTGGCGTAGCTACCCGGTGCGGAAGTTGGTAGATTTTATATGATTTATAAACGTCATGGATCATATTTATATTTAACATATTGAACAAATAACAAAACGCAATAAAAAGTAAGCAAAAATATTTTTATCTTATATTATGTATTGCCTCGTGTTTACTTTACAATGTGCAATTTTTTTATGTTGGTACACTGTCGTTAAAATTGAGTCACTGGGTGGGTGTCATTGGGCAGAAATTCAACACGTACTTTTTTGGGCTACTTTCGAAGAACCGTTCTGTTTCAAGTGTATAAGGTTAATAAAAATTCGGGTGATCACATTTATTAGTAAGAATCACAGGCAAAACTCACGATTATTTTTTTATTCCGAAAACGAATAAAAAAATCGCACATGGAATATGTTGGACAAACCTGTGTGTTCTTTTCTCATAATATCTCCTCTGGCAGCAATCACTCTTTCGCATAACGCCTTTTCCAAGTCGCTTTTTTCCACTTTAAGTAATTCCGCCACATTGTTAACGCTCTGACCTTTCTTCAATATAAGTTTATCTTCATCTACGTCGAACTCAACGTTTCCCAAATGCAGAATTGCTGCCACTACTCGCCACAGTGTGTCCTGAAATACAAGCGTTATTTATTGTTTAGCAACAATTACAAGCGATCTAGCTGCAGACCTCCAGAAAACGTATTTTTCACACGGGTTAAAGGCTATTTCAAAATTGAAATCTAATAAAAATCCAAGTGAGAATCTCTCAAAAAATATTCTAAATGATTGTTTCAATATAATTGGATAGAAATTATTATTAATGATGAAAAAATTGAAGAGGTCGAGTCATTTAAATATCTTGGTATATATCTGGATAGTAAGCTACTGTTTCACGAACATTACATTATTTCAAAAATTTTGAAAAAGATAAATTACTTCTATAGAGTTTCCTATAATCTTAGTATGTATTAAAAAAAAATATGTATAACACTATAACTCTTCCCCATGTTTTATATTGTTCAACCATCTTCTTTACAGCAAATGAAAACATATTTTCAGAATTACAAATTCTACAAAATAAAGCTATAAGAATCATTTTAAATAAAAACAAATATGCTAGGATTAGGTCTATGTTAGAAGAACTGCAGTGGTTGGATGTGAAAAATTTCATATATTATTTAGTTCTCGTTTTCATATTCAAATTGAAAAATCATTTATTACCACCACATTTAGAGAACATCACAAAATTAAATAGTCGTTATCATAACTACGAAACTAGAGGCAGTATAGATTTTCATCTGCAAAATTGTAATAGTAGCATAACTAGTAAATCTATATTTCAAAAGGGAGTATTTGAATTTATTAAATTGAATAATGATATTAAACAGAGTTCGAATTTAAAAATGTTTAAGGTGAAATTAAAAATCACTTTATGAATAATCAAAATACACAGAGACGTAATTTTAATTTTAATAGGCAAGAATGTAAAATTACAGAAAATGGATTGAAAAAAAATATGTAACCGAACCACTATACACAATCTACATTGTAGCATTAATGCTAAATAAATCTTCAACAGACAAACAAACTTTTCATTTTTCTTCGTATTGCTGCTTTCGGTATCGCGTAATCTCGGTACAGTCCGCACCGATTTTGCGAGGTCATTAGTCACTTTTAGTGCCAACCTTTTCAAATAGAAAATCCCATGAATAACTTGAGTTACCTGGTCGTCCTTAGAAAACTGTAACGTATTCAGTGAATTGGTTACTTCTCGGTAATCATTTCGATCATTTATGGTGTCCACCTTTGCTGCGTTGCCTTGTTTCACGTAAAAGAAGTTATCAGGATTACGGGTCAATTTCAATTTCCTTAGTAAATCATCACTTGCTCCACAAAAAATCTGGAATAAAAAGAGATGTGTAAGTCTACGTTTGAAAATTAGTTGATTCTTTTCTGTATGATTTTAATATGGTTTGGTAGTATTTTCATCCTTAACATCATACATAATATATTAAAAATCACGACTATTACGTCATTCCATAAATTGTACTGAAGTAATCGATGGACGTACGTCGATGATAAAATCACGATGTCAGGAACATAATGTCAACAAATTTATATTATGATTTTGGGAAGTTAGGTTATTTCACTCATTACTTTTATTTTCATTTTATTTCATAGTTGTGGATGATACCTTAATAATAATTTTAGCGAGGAGTTTTTATTTTGAAAAAAAACAGTTATGAGTAGAATACCTTGAGACAGGAACACTAAAGTATTATTCGAAAACAACCTAACCTGCTTTAACATAACCTAACTATTCATCTTTCAAATATGATCGATCCTGCAACATGAAAACATCGTCTGTCGTTGTCGGATACATGCAAATTAACAATACAGTTTAGACAATAAAATTCTGTTTGTCTCTGCCTAACATATCTGAAACTTCATTAAACATATTCACAAATCGCTGTCATTTGTCTTTACTACAGACTAAAATGAAGACGTCATCCTCATCTTTCGTGATTTCGACTATAGTTTAGCATTTTATTGAAATGTTATGTCAAGTAAACACGTGCATCTGACAATATTCGTCTGAATGAAGACAAGAGTCATTATGGTAATATTTATTATTAAACAATAAATAAATATTGCTCTGTAATCACCTTGTTGTAAGACAAAAGTCGTAAAATAACTTTACTGCAATCATTAACACTGTCGTAAACCGATCATGAGGAATTATATCCTTATGCTTATTGTATTGATCTGTCCATGCCTTTGTCATATTAGCAATCCCCTGTGCAATTATCCGAATAAGTACATCTATATATTCAAAGTTCTTATACAGGGTGGCCCAACGAAAAGGTGGAAAATTTAATGGAAAATCTAAAATTGAAAAAAACGGGGGTTTTCATTCAAAAATCTAAAGCGTAACGCAATATCTTATTTTTGAATCATCCTGTATTGTACGGCTATAAAAGACGTGTCCGAACGTTATTTCAAAATATCCAGGAAAGTCACAAATGGGGGGGGGGGGCGAACTATTCGTTGGGCCACCCTGTATAGTATACCTTCTACAATTATATTGAAGAAAATAAGATATTGACAAAATTTCAAGCAGGATTCAGAAAAAAGTATTCTACTGAAACAGCAATTCAAATGGTAGTAGAAGAATGGAGGCGAAATATGGATGAAAAAAAGTTTACAGTAACATTTTTCTTAGATTTCAAGAAAGCATTTGAGACTATTGACAGGGAGAACTTGTTAACGAAATTGCATTGCTATGGATTTCAAGATTCAGTATTCAATTTATTACAAAATTATTTAATCAATAGAAGTCAAAGAACTAAAATTGGCAATACATTATCAAACATTAAAGATATTTCGGTAGGTGTGCCACAGGGTAGCAAATTATGTCCATTACTATTTATTTTATATATTAACGATGTTCCTGATATTTTACAACACTGCAAAATTTAACTATTTGCTGATGATACATTAATTTATACAGGGTTATCCAAATTAAGTGTCCACCATTAGTAACTTTGTTATTAGTGAAAATACAAAGTTGTTTGAATTAGCAAACTAGTAGCATTTTTAACGCTGGTAAAAATGAGAATAAAAAAAAAACAATTGAGAGTCGTTATTTTGATTTTTTTCAGTAAAATAACATTTTTTTAAATGAAAACCCCTGTATATTATATTTTTTTCTGTTTAAAGCATCAAATTTTAAACAAAAAAGTTCATAATGACTTTTCCGCTAAAGTCAAAAATAAAGTCAAAATAACGATAAATATTTTTAATTATTTGCAGTGTTATAATATTAAGACGGCTATGAAAACAACATGGCGTTCGCGATTTGACAGCATTAAGATAAGCGACAAATTGTTAAACTGGACATACTCGCAACTAGAAGGCTTTGGAAAACAATGATAAAATCAAATAATGTCAAACATTAGTGTAAATACTTGTTTATAAGCTTTATTGTGTCATTAATTTAAAGAAAAATGTTCTCCCATGAAGAAAAGTGTGATATGTTAGAATGCTATTTAGTGTGCAGAAAATCCTCCTTGAGAGCAAGAGAATACTACAGTGAATTATATCCCGCTCGCATTCAACCGTATGAACGATATTTTCTGAGACTTTATCGAAAATTTAGGGGCAACGAAAATGTTTTTGCTAAAACAAGGGCAAAAAAGAATTCATAATAAGCGAGGTCACGGAAATTGCAGTTATAGGATATTTTGAAGCTTATCGTGAGAATTCAATAGCAGATATTCTCAAGGACTCTAATTTCAGTTATGGTACTGTTCAAAGGATTTTAAAAAAATACAAATTTATTCCGTATAAGTACCGACCAGTTCCAACGCTTTTGGCAGGGGATCCAGAGAGAAGACTTGTTTTTTGCCATTGGTATCTTAGCTTCTGTCGCCAAAATGTAAATAACTTTCGTTACCTTTTATGGACAGATGAATCAAATTTTTCAAATTCTGGAATGTTTAATAGAAAAAACCACCATTATTGGTCAAGAGAAAATCTTTTGTTAGTACATCCAAGAGGCCCACAAGTCCGTTTCAGTTTCAACGTTTGGTGCGGTATAATTGGTTCAAAAATTGTTGGCCCGTTCTTTTATGAGGGAACCCTAACTGGTGAAAGATATGTGGAATTTATGTCAGAAATTCTGACTAATTTCTTAGACGAATTGGATCTTATAAGTAGACATCATCTGCATTTTCAGCAAGATGGCGCACCTGCCCACAACTCCAGAGGTACTTATCATTTTCTAAGTACTACTTTTAATGATCAGTGGATAGGAACAAATGGCCCAATACAGTGGCCTCCCAGATCACCAGATCTAAAGCCACTTGATTACTTCTTGTGGGGTTACTTAAAGAACCAAATTTACAAGCGAAGGTACGATAACCTTGACGCGTTAAAGACTGCAGTTAGGGAAAAGATAACCCAGATAGATGGTAGGACCATACTTAAGACAGTTCGAGCAGTTGAAAAACGTGCCCAAAAATGTATTGAAGAACAAGGTGGTGTTTTCGAGCATCTTCTTTAAAAAAAATTGTTATTGTATTTTGTAAGATTATAAGTTGATGTTGAAAATAAAGTTTGTCGATACAATTTAATTGTTTCAGATTGGAGGCCATAACTTCAACAATTTGTAACCTAGGAGAAAAGTTATTGTAAGCTTTTTTGTTTAAAAATTGATGCTTTAACAGAAAAAAATATAATATACAGGGGTTTCCATTTAAAAAAATGTTATTTTACTGAAAAAATAAAAAATAACGACTCTCAATTGTTTTTTTTTATTTCTCATTTTTACCAGCGTTAAAAATGCTACTAGTTTGCTAATTCAAACAACTTTGTATTTTCACTAATAACAAAGTTACTAATGGTGGACACTTAATTTGGATAACCCTGTATATCAAATAAAGACATTGAAAGTGCAATAGAGCTGTTAAATAATTATATGAAAAACGTAATAAATTGGTTAAATGTAAATAAATTTAAACTAAACACAAACAAAACAAAATATATGCTATTAGGAAAATCTTTAGATCAAAATACGATAAATCTTACAATTAATCATGAAAAAATTGTGTCAATCGAATCATTTAAATATTTAAGCATATACGTAGACAGCAAAATAAAATTTGAAGGGCACTATGAATATATTATTGAAAAAATATCCAAGAAAATAAATTACTTTTGTAAAAAAAACACTATCATTATTCCTCATTTGTTATATTGTTCGACCAGTTTGTTCACTGCAAATGAAACTGTATTTTCAAAATTACAAATATTACAAAATAAAGCTATGAGAATCATCTTAAATAAAAATAAATATACTAGAATAAATTTATAGATTTAAATATCAAAAATTTCATAGTCTACTTGGTTTTCATTTTCATATTCAAGTTGAAAAAATCATCTTCTACGAAATCACTTAGAAAATTTTATTATATTGAACAATGAGTTTCACAATTATTCTACTAGAGGAAGTATAGACTTTCATTTACAAAACTGCAGTAGCAGTATAAGGAGCAAGATTGTACAAATTTAATAAATTAAGTAGTGATATCAAGATGTGGTCAGTTTAAAAATGTTCAAAGGAAAATTGAAAAAATATCTCATGGAAAACCAGATATCATAGTAGTAAAATTTTGTATAAAATAGTCTTGAGATAATATATTTTGTGATATACTGTGTAATATGGATATTATGGACATTGTAGGATTAATGCTAAATAAATCTGAAACAAAAATAGTTAGAAATCCTAAATTAATACAATTCATAGGTTCATAGGGTGGTAATGATACAAGGAATCCAGACTATTCCTAAGTGCCAAATTGACAATCTCTATACGGACCTGATAGAAGCAGTGGAAGTTTCTCTCTCCAGGCTGTTGGTGAATAACCCTAGATTTTTCCAGAAGATACTTGTTGATATGGCCGCCAATAGGATCGCCTTTAAAGTCGAAATGGATGTCCATATATTTCCCAAATCTGGACGAATTGTCGTTTCTGTTCGTTTTCGCATTACCGAATGCTTCTAGGATGGAATTCGATTGGATAAGTACGTTCTTGACCCTTTCTATTTCTTTCTGGCCACCTAAAATATTGTCGCAAATTATACTAAGATTGGAATTATTGTTTATACAAACTCAAACGTGTTCAAAAACCGTTGCGAGTTCGACTTACTGCCTTTCACACTATTACGTTATACAAGTGAATCAGTAAAGCAGTGTTTGGATTTCTGTGGCAGAAAGTACGCTAAAATGTCACTAAAATTCCTATAAGCCTAGGTTGAACGATGTCTTTTTGTAGAGATACAGAAAGTAGAAAAATGTGAATCCTAACCTATTTTTCATTCCAGCGTATTATTCTAAAGTTCTGCTAAATCAGTTCTTTTCGGAAATCTATGATTTGAAGTGAATAGTTAAGCATGTATTATAAATTTAACAGGCAGATGAGTTATTTCAAGACAAAAAGTTAATATAAAAATAGGTAAGTTCGCAAATTCTTCGTTCTCAAGATACCGGGTATTAAAAAAATAATCTTTCTTAAATATGCTTTACCTAATCTTGTTGTAATTTGGCGGTGGTATTTATAATATTGAGGAGCTAATTTAGAACTGACTCGATTAAATTTTTTCAAGTCCAGATACTGCATCTGAACGAAGATTTGTGACTAAAAATTGTACGTCAGACTTTTGTGCAATTTTTATTATGTTCGTTGGATTAGGCAAATACAAATTCAACTTTTTTGTCTCTTGAACTTTTTTCGAATCGTGCTTAATTTTCAATAAAAAAGGTACACTTAATTGCATATCCCTGGGCCACACAAGGAATTTTGAGAAAAGTTTTTTTTCGAAATTATTATTTCTAAAATCTTTTTTACTAATTGTGCAATACGAAATAGCATTAACATAATTAGTAATAAAAAATAATAATTTCCAAAAGAATCTTTTCCCCATATTCCTTGTGTGGTTCAGCGATATGCAATAAAGTGGACCTGCTTTTTCTCGAAAACTAAGAAAGATATGGAAAAATTCAAGATAGAGAAACGTTGCATTTCTATTTGCTTAATCCAAAGAACATAACAAAAATTGTCCAAAAGTCAGTAGCGTACATTTTTCGTGAGAAATATTCGTTCGGATCCCACTCGAGGCGCCACTAGACTTAGTAATGTTATCAAGTTAGGGTAAAATTATCTCCTTAATGTTATAAATACCACCGGCAAATTACAACAAAATTAGATAAAGAATATTTAAGATATTTACGAAAAAACAATTTTTTATTTAAATTTCAACACTCTATCTTGAGAACGAAGAATTTACGGTCCTGGATTTACCATATATTACTCAAAGACTCAACTGTTAAATTTATGGTATATACTTAATTAACTTCCTGCATTATGAATTCTCATGAAGGATTATTCTCTCAATTTTGAAAACAACGTCATTGAAAATTGTACAGAGTACCGAGAAAAAATGCTAATCTACTAAAATAATTTGGATAATATTTTTATGCCTTATATTTGTAATGCCCTGTATTTTAGCAGGAGTATATTTTGGCTTTGAAATATTGTTATTCAATCACCCTGTATAAAGATAAAGAACAACATGTTATGGGATAAAATTTAAGAGGTCTCATAACTTTAAAGTTGGTGTTAAATGAAAATGCATATAGTACACACAGAGGTGCTAATTATTGGTATAATCAATATTTACTCGTAAATCAGTTTACGGTTTTGTAAATTGTTAATAAACTAATAAGCAAAAGCAAACTATCTGACAGTTTAAAGATACTGTGCGTATTTGCACAGAAGCAGTTGCCAAAAAGCACTGCAGTACGAATCCAAGATATATGATCTCATTCAAACAGGTCTTCAAATAAATGTGACATCATTTAATTATTGATCAAACCAATTGTCTTATTTCTTGATAAAAATTGATTGATTTATAAGCTATATACAACCAACAAATAAATGTTATCGATGGTTAGAATGTAGCTGGAAAACATTAACACTCGTTAATAATATTGTTGTATATGTACATATAGATAAAATATACACCTGACACCTTGAAAGGTTTTTAAGTATACTGCTGATTAACAGAAAATACACAAATCACACAAGTACGTGTACTTACTGGGGTTTCGAAAACTATCTGAAAATTCACAACACTGTGTTTTAATGTGCATTCATTACAAAATACGAGGTTTTGTTGACCTGGGTCCTTCCTATACCTTATGCTAGCTGTTTGATGAAAAATAAAACATCTATCAACATGCAATTTCTCCCTGTCAATAGTCTGAAACGCACTCTTGGAATAAAAAATTTTTTTTACTGTAAACCTTTTTTCATCCATATTTCGCTTGCCCACTTCTATTCCCACTTGAATTGCGGTTTCAGTAGAATACTTTTTTCTGAATCCTGCTCGAAATTTTGTCAATATGTTGTTTTCTTTCATATATTCAATGATTTGTTCATACATGATTCCTTCTAAGAGCTGGCAGTACATTAATTGGTCGCACGTTTGTATATAACTCAGAATTTTGCACTTTTGGAACAGGAGTAATTGTAGATCATTTTAATTTCGAAACAACACTACACAGTGATTCACTAACAATAATAATTTCTCTCCAATAACGTTGGAATATTCTTTTAAAACCATTTTTGAAAGATGTTCGATTTGATTTTAATCTTGAAATAGCTTTTGGAAGATGGCTGACGTTTATTGTTCGCGATTGACTCATATAAGAATTATGAGTAACTTGCATGCGGCAAAGGTTTTTTATACTTTCTGTAAAATAAGTGTTCATTCGTTCCGCAATCATTATTATACCATACATACGAGGGCGGTTCAATTAGTACCCGTGTTAGAAATGAAGACAAAAAACTGCTTTTTAATTTTCAACATTTTCTTAACCTCCCAAAAAATTGGCTTTGTCGAAATCTCCAAAATACGCCTTTGTCTAGGCGATGACTTCCTCGTTTGAGCTAAATTTTTTGCCCGCGAGCCATTCCTTCATGTCGGGGAACAAGAAAAAGTCGCAGGGGACCAGATCGGGTGAATACGGCAGCACTTTATAACGCAATTCATGCAGTTTGACGGCGACAACTCCGGATGAATGTGCTGCTGCGTTATCAAGCACCTTCTTTTTCGTCAAATGTGGCCGTATCTCCTTCAATATTTTGTCGAAGCGGTCCAATAACTCACTATAGTATTGTCCAGTGATCGTTCTTCCCTTTTCTAAAAAATCTAAGACGATGACGCCGTTCGGATCCCAAAAAATCGCCTCCATGACTTCTCCGGTCGATGGGACCGTCTTCGCCTTCTTTGGAGCAGATTCACCGGAAGAATCCATTGTTAGTTGCTGGGTGTAATGATGAATCCAAGTTTCATCGACGGTGACAAACTCGACACAAAAACTCCTTCGGATTTGGCTTAAATTGCTCCAAACACTGCTTCGAAATTAACAGCCGCATCCGCTTGTTGTCCACCGTGAGCAATCGCGGCACTCATCGGGCAAACAATTATTTCATCTCCAACTTATCATGTAAAATATCCATTGAAGTTCCAGGCGACACACCTACGTCCTCTGCTACTTTGCGCACTTTCGTTCGTCGATCAGCGAGAATCATGTCGTGGACTTTTGAATGATTTCCTCGGTAAATACGTCTACGTTTAAATTCGTTGAACCAATATCTAACTGTGGTCATAGATGGCGAAGTGTCCCCATACGCAGCATCCAACTTTGCTTTTATCTCCTTGCATTTTTCCCATCCAAAAACAAAAAGCGAATTACCGAACGATACTGCTCTTTTCCATTTTAGCGAGAATCACGAAACACGCGTTACTCGAATGGCTGCCAAATCCAAACTAACCTATCAATCAGACTGAAATTTGTTGTGCCGTCGTTTGATAGATGGCAGCACACGTTCCCTCAGGAACGCCCTCTGTCGTGAAACACGGGTACTTACTGACCCGCCCTCATATATATAGACAGGCCAGACTAATAAAAGCGTGTTAAAAATTTTAGATCGCACGAGCTAAGGGAAATATGATCAAATACATTTCTAGCGCATGCAGCAAATACCGGATCGATAACTTTATTCTCCATTTTTTAACGAAATAGGCGAGAAACCGGTGATCGAAAGTGTAAGAGCAGAACGCGACGATGCGGATCCGCGGCCGAACAAACGGAACAAACCGTGGAACAAACCAGCCTAACGAGCGATTCCAAGATCGCGGCTGTGTCGAAAAGACCCAGGTCAACTGCAGTTCGCGTCTACGAAGCGTGTCGATTGCTCCCTTACCTTGATTCGTCACGGCCGCGATGTATTTCATGATAATTTTGGATGCCTCCGTTTTGCCAGAGCCGGACTCGCCGCTGATCACTATGCAGGTGTCTCTGCCTTGCTGTTTCATCACCTTGTGCGAAGAGTCCGCTATCGCGAAGATGTGCGGCGGGTTTTCGAACAGCTCTCTGCCTGAAATAAGATCACATCACAATTAATCATTAATTTTAACTGCATATTAGATAATAGCTCATTAGAGCAAATGTTACAGTAAGCAGAGATTCTCAAAACAAGTCAAAAAGTTCATATGTCGCATGGTCCAAAAGTCAATAGATTGATTGGCTTTATAGTTTACAACTTTAAGCGCGTTATATCGACCACATTACCACAATCTTACTAATTTTTATAATCTAATCTAAAACGTTTTTAAATTTGGTAATCAACAAATAAATGGCATTAAGTTTTTCTAAGTTAAGCCAAAATTTGTAGTCAGTAAGAATCATTAAATTAAATATTTAAAACACACATGACAACAGCGCGTCGGTCATTCATCACTCTTATCGAGCCGGCAATCGATCGCAAACGGTAACAGTAGTTAGTTATTGTTCGTGTACGTCGTCGTGTTTATTTACAATGTTCTCGAATCAAGAGTTCGCCGACATGTTGTTAGTTTACGGTGTAGCTAGTCAGAATTCAAATCTTGCAGCTCAAATTTATCGCGACAGATTTCGCCAACGGGTACACCCAGACAGTAGGACATTTGTGCAAGTGTAGCAAAGACTTCGAGATACAGGAAGTGTTCAGCCCACTAATATTCGCACTCGTGAAAGACAGCTTACTGTAGAGTAGGAGGAACAGATTTTAAATATCGTGGAAATCAATGCAAAAACATTGAAAATCCGGATTTTTTTTAAAAATATTCTAACGACGGACGAATGTATACTTTATCTGAAGTCACTTGAAATAGCATAAAAACCTTTGGTCGGCGCGTCCTTTGTAATTTCATGACGTATCATAGGCGTGCGGTCATTTATTTAGAACGATAATAATAATGTTTTTATATCACAATAAATGGATTTTACTATCTTCTTATTTTTTTGATTTGGGATAAAAAATACTTATATTGGGAGTTTAATTTATGTTGACTGAAAGTTAAGAAATGGAAAAATTACAGAATTCCAACGTTTGACATAGGCAAATATTTACATAGCAGGTAGGTATATAAAAAGGTATAAGACTTACATTATAGGTATTTATATATCATCCTCGCCTTCAGAGCTGTCGCTAGAGTCATCTTGTAGAGGAATTACAACGGGATTTACAGGAGGCAAAACACAATATTCATTTTCTTTTTCAATAATATGCCTAGAACACTGCTTCCATAGGTCTGTGGCAGCAATATGAGATACTGCATCTCTTATTGTGGCCAATAGCGATTCACTTAATTGAGGGGTCTGATTATGTTTTCTTACTTTTTTTTTTAAAGCAGCCCAGACCAACTCAATCGGGTTAAAAATGCAGTAATAGGAAGGTAGACGTAATACTTCATGGCCATTTTGCTGAAGCAGATTGTCAACAACATACTCTTTTTCAAATTTTTGTCGCTTAATAAGATCCAATAATATGGCTTTGGTTGATTTTTGTGGTATTTCCATTCCCTTGTCCTTCATAAAATCAATAATGTCTTGTTTTTTTGTGCCTGTATTCGAAATTTTGTTTTTCTGTCGGGAATGGTATGGCGCATTGTCCATAATAATCACTGAATTTGAGGAAATGTTTGGTATTAACTGCTGCTCTATCCACTTTTCAAATAAGTCGGAGGTCATGTCCTCATGATAGTCGGCACATGATTCTTTGATATTTTTGGCAGATAACAGCAAGGCATTAGGTATAAATCCATTTTCACTGCCAGCATGGAGAATAATGATTCGTTTTCCACGGTTGCATGGTGCATTTAAAATGCACTTGTTGCTGTCGTCAACCCAGCCGTACTGCACAACATCATGGGTATCGTACCATGTTTCATCCAGGTAAATCAGATTTCTTTTCTGCTCTCTATAGATTTTAACTTTGTGCAAAAATTCTTGGCGCAATTCAACGATTCGAGACGACTCCATAATCACCATTCTTTTATCTAATTTTTTGTATTGAAAACCACACAGTTTTACAATACAGTGCAGTGAGTCTAAGCATTTGTAATTATAAAAATCTTCAGGATAATCTTTTAATTTATCCCGTATCATTTCCAACGTGGGCACCAAATTTTCTTTATAAAATCCGTATATTATACGACGAATATCTTCCTGAAAACCCACGTCTATTCTTTTTAATTTTTGCCCTATGCGCTTTCTGTGGAAGGAATGATTGACTACATCTCCCCTTTTTATAACCCGATAAATGGTAGACCGACTGATTTTTGTCAGGATACAAATTCTGTTTAAAATTTGATTTTGCGAGGAATCTGGATTTTCGTTTTTCAGACAATCATACATATTTAGGATTACTCTTTGGGTCTGTTCCTCTAAATCTTTATGAAAGAATTCTGCCTGCACACGTTCATCAACCATCTCCTCGTGGCTTGGAGCATTTTCCTAAGGTCTCCAAAGAGCCATATTTAGGATACACAAGAACAATCAACACAACAATTAAATCAACAAGTAAACTGAGTATTCAAAAGTCAAAAACACACAAACTAATAAAATCTATGAAAAAACATGGACAGACTAAAGAAAACACGTTTATTCACCGCTACACGGCACTGGCTAAACTGTTTCAATTTTCAGTAGCCACCTGCACTTGTTCGGAGCTCTGGAATACACGCTTTCTCATTGGCTATGTCCGCGCATAGGCGTGCTTTACTCCACGTGGACCGGTGAAACTGCCTTTGATCTTATACGGGGGATATTTGCTTCGAAATTTGGCGATTTTTCGAGCAACAGAGCGTGTTAAATATAGATATATAAAACGCACCCGGTGTTTCACAGTGTTTCAAGTGACTTCAGATAAGTAGTAGATCAAGCAGTTTATTAAGTTCACTCGTTCGTTAAGAAACATATTTTTTTCCACTAGTTTCATGTTTGATAAATTAATAAAAAATAAAGTATATTTTTTAATACCTGTGTGTTTCAACCTATAGCCCGTTTAGTTTCGTTTTGCAAAATAAAATCAAATTTAATCATACTTACAAAAAGTAAAGGGTTGTCCATTAGGGACGCAGGAAAGTAAACGTCAATTTGACATAGACGCCATCTTTGTTTTCTGTCACCGACATGTCATTTTGTTAGTTGAATGTTTACCATTGATCGCTATGGAGTCGTATTCGATTGAAGACCGCATTAAAGTTATTCAAGAGTACTACAAAAATGGTGCAAAAATAAAAAACACGTTTCGCGCGCTTCGTGAACATTTCGGTCGCAACAACCGCCCAAACGAAACAACCATCGGTTGTTTGGTGCGTGAATTCGAGGCAACAGGTTCTGTGGCAAATCTGCCAGGCTCTGGCCGGCCAAGGAGCGTTCGCACACCGGAAAATATTGCTGTTGTGAAGGAGAGTGTGAGAGACGATCCGAAACAATCAACAACGCGTCGATCCCAAAAATTGGGCATTTCGAGAACCAGTTTGCTCCGCATTCTCCACAAGGATTTGAATGTACACGCCTACAAGATCCAACTGACGCAAGAGCTGCGTCGGGCCGACCATTTTTCGCGCCGAACGTTCTCAGATTGGCTCCTTGAACACCGCCAAATTGATGCCAATTTTTCATCAAAAATCATGTTCAGCGACGAAGCGCATTTCACTTTGAATGGGACGGTAAACAAGCAAAACTGCCGCATCTGGGCGAACGAAAATCCCCGTGAGTATCAAGAGCAGCCGATGCATCCTCAAAAAGTGACTGTGTTGTGTGCATTGTGGTCAAAAGGCATCATCGGACCTTACTTTTTCGAAAATGCGGCCGGGGACGCCGTTACCGTCCATTCTGAGCGATATCTCGTGATGATAGAGGACTATTTTTTACCGCAACTTGAAGGAATGGATATGGATGGTGTTTATTTCCAACAAGACGGTGCAACATGCCACACAACCAACGTCAATATCCATCGATTGCAGTCCTTCTTCGGTGATCGCGTTATTTCGCGCAGAGGAAATGTGCCATGGCCACCAAGATCGTGCAATTTGACTCCCTTGGACTTCTTTTTATGGGGATATTTGAAAAGCAAAGTCTACGTCAACAAACCAGCCACCCTCCAAGAACTCAAAAACCACATCATTGCCGAGATAAATGCCATAGAACCGACCATGTTGCAAAATGTCATTGAAAATTTCGACCATCGCGTGGACATCTGTAAATCCAGTCGTGGTGAACATTTGAGCGATATTATTTTTCATACATAAATGGTATAAATGAACCTTCAAAATAAAGTACCCAACTTGATTTGATATCTTGTTTTAATATGCGTTTACTTTCCTGCGTCCGTTTTGGACAAAAAAATGGAATCATTCATAAACGACAAAAAACAGTGTTTAAAACACGTTTTAAACAGTTTAAAACACCTTCATTGTTTTAAACAGTGTTAGCATTTTGATTAAAACATAACAACCCTGATTGTTGATTAATCGTCTTCATTAAGCTCATGGACAAGTTTTAACTTCTACGGGTGAAATTTATTATCTTTCAAAATTATCCAATTTTTCCAAGGTGTCAGCGCGGATCTGAGCACCTTGCAATAGAGAATAAAATTGCATGTTGCACGTAACGCGTGTTTTTGCCTATTTTATGCAAAGCGCAACGCAAAGAAAGGTTTGATTGATTGACGGAGCATAGAAAGTTCTCTTTTCGATAAAAACATTTTAAATATGCGGCGTACGCACGGAATTAAACTATAATGAATTCTTAATCAGTTTATAATTAATGGAGACATAAGTAACAATAAAACAAGAAGCCTGTGAATCATTGAAGCAGCGAATCCAAATTAACTTTCAATTACGTATAGAATTTCTTGAGTCATGCGTGAATCATGTCGCGCAACACGAGAATGATGCATCTAGAATCTTAAATTTCTACAAAACATACATAATTTTTAAATTACTTTGCTGCCAAATGTATCGATCTCCACTAATGATGATGTATTAGTTTTATTTAAGCTTTAAATCAATAAATCTTCAAAACTACTGAACTGAAGTACATTAATTT